CCTTATTAAGTGTAGTGTATACCAGGAAGTTAGAATAATCCAATTGATTAAAAATGCCAATGCTTTTAGGCGGTATTGATTTAAAAGGATGTAATGTAAATGTAAACAGAAAGTTCGTTCGCTAAATTCAAACTAGGGAGGAAAAGCCTGAGTACTATTTTATTTTCCTGAATCTCAAATGAAATCATAGTTCATGTTAGTAAACTAATTTCCACATAATAATGTTGCTGCAAAAATTGATGAAAACTAAATATTTGTAATAAAAACCGATCAAAGCCCAAATTAACAAACACTCTAAATTTCAGATACAGGCATTTCTGTTTGGAGTTCAAACATATTGCGTAATAAAAAGCGTAATCGAGCCAGCTCAACTTTAAAAATGATAACAATCTAACTAACACTTTCTAAATACACCCTGCTAACTGTGCAAATTTATTTCTGCAAATCTTTGCAACCTCATTCTAACGACTATAATAAGTTTTCGTCTGGTTCTAACTGATTATAAGAAAACATTTGCATGCTGGTTTTTCATTTAGCAATATGCAGTCGAACAAGAATGATCAGGATAATATAAAATTTATTCAGGAGATTTAACATAATCAATAGCAACGACTTTGTTTATATTCGGAAGAATTTTGACAAATATTTTGTGGGACTGTATGCTTTAAACATCCTTATAATTCAGTGAACAGTAATTTTTATGAAAGATTTTATGGCAAATTATTACAACGTGGGTATGTTTATTTGTAAGCATTGTCTTGTAATCAATCAAGTTAAGAAGTTCACACGAAAATGGAAAAACTGAAAATTTATACAAATGCTACAACACCAGAATTGACTTGCATTTCCACCATAATATGTCAAAACCGTTAAATTTTCATCGAGTACTCAACAAGTCGCATTTTATTACCATCAAGTCGAGGTACATGAGACATAAGCAATTGCCAACGATGTTGGAATAAAAAATTCTGACTGCTAAAGCACTTAATTAAAAAAGCCCAATTAACATTTGACAGTCACACAAGCATCAATCTGTTCGCTGAATATATCAATCCACATTTGAAGGCTCTTGTTTCTGGTAAATTTTTCAATAAAATACTATTCGCAAGTTGTCAAGTTCATGTCTTGTAATGGAGCACGTTCGCGTCGTCTATACAGTCATCTGATCTAATGCACACAGTGGTAATTGGCGCAACAAATTGAGTACTGTTTTATAAATGATAAAATTATGTAACTGATCAGTATCGTTAGTGGAATATTAATGTAATACTAAATCATCGGCCGTAACTAGATCCTGCTCATTGCGCATTAAAACCAGAATTTTTTCTCCGTATCAAGTTTGCTTTTGCTTACGCGGAAATAGCATTGATTAGATTGCAGTTTTTCCAAGTGTATGTGAAAATTAATGAGCCAGAAATAGGCTTCTAGCTTACACTTCTGGTGGCGTTGTTAGAAAACATGATCCTGTCGTTTCAAATTTTTGTACACACATTACACATTTTGGGGAACACATTACAAAGTCGAGTTCGTTGTATATTTACTATTCGTCTACTATGATGTATAGTTTCGCACCGCAGAATAATGTAAACCCTAAAAACGAAATGCAGTCGAATCATTACGTTGATTTCCGTTCATAGAATGAACTTCCGCTCTGAAAGCGACCAACTCAAACTCAAAAAGCGGCAACAGGTATTTTCAGAATAAGTACACTCAGATTCCATAGGTCGTTTTAATATTATCAACGCGAAAAACATCGAACACATATACATCGAATATAAATTCACTATTTCACCATCTACGCTATGCTATATTATGACACATAAATACTATAAGCACGGTTATATGTCTAGTTTATTTACACCTCTAACCTGTAATATATATTCAATTCTGAATTGGTTCCTGTTTACGCCAATCTTTAGGGCATTCAGTATAAGGACGCAACGAAAGTTATTATTCGTCTGACCGCTGCAAGTTGATACCTCAATGAAGGAAATTTTATATCGGTGCAATATGACACTGCACAATCTATTCGTGGCATAGCTCAGTTTTAATTATTTTTTATGAGATAGTCCACGGTAATGAGAATGCATCGTGTGTTTCCATATACTCAATAAATTATTCTTTGCTTCACAGCCAATGGCGTATAAAGGTTGGGGCTGGGTCTATTTCCGCGTTATAATATAGCACTTCTGTTTTATTTCAGCGGCGATGAATAAACAAGTAATGATAAATTAGATGAAGTATGCAATGGCTAGGCTATTTATCGGCAATTCGTACACAATCATAAACACTGCTTTACATATCTTTATTCAAAGCCTAAATAGTAAAGTCAACCGCAGGTGACCATTATGAAATATCAATATAACAGCATAATGGCTTGGGCTTGATCTTTCCAAGATTATAATGCTATTTATACAAATTAGATAGACTGTAAGCATAAGCTTCCTTTCCTTTCCCCTTATATCCCTATTCATTTTCTAAACACCGTCGAGCACTGAAAATATAACGTATACAAATTAAAATGTGCAGTGTTTCCTACATGATGTTTATCAAGTCAGTAAGCTAACTGAGTAGATATGAGGGGTTTAACAAATAGCAGATGAGCGATTGTTTGTCAATATTTTCATGACATAACCTCATGAAATAGTCAGTATACCTCCCATCATTTAGGGATAAATTGCTTCGAATTTTTCTTGACCCTGTGGTCGAAACGAGCAAAGTTTAAAATGAAATACTCAATTTTCGAATTCTCACTCAGGACACTACACGCATACATTAAAATCAAACATCCTTCCACTGTTACTGGGTTCGAAATACTATTTCACTAATCCTTAAATTGAAATCAAGTGAATTCTTAATCAAGTAAGGTAATGTATTATTCCACTATTTCCGTTCCGGACGCAAACATGTTTGTGTATATTGAATAAAAACCTATAAAGAGTTAACGTTATTGCAATTCAATCTTTCAACTTAATTCCAGAATGAAAGCCTATATGCTGTATTTCCCACAAATTGAAAACATAAAATGCATTGATACAATAGACGACGCATTAGGAAGTAATTTAATACCAACGCTGATATGTGCTGTCGCATTAACATATTTGCATATTCAATAATGGCGTTTGGAATTGCGGATCACTGTCTTCATATAGTACTAACTCGCAAGCAAGTTCACGAACTCAGCGAGTCCTGTTTTGTTAAGCAATATGGCTGCCAAACTTTCATTGCAAACTACATATAGCAATGCTGGCTCAGCCTATAAAATGCTAAAAAGAATTGGCTTGATTTTATAAAAGAAATGATGAATGAATCACAGTACTGTGATTGTCAGCATACGGGATTTGCACTCTCTGGATACTGTGTTCGAGTATGGTTTAAAAAAAATGCGATGTAAACATACCAAAATAGTGCGTAAAGTTTCAAAAGATCAATCAGTGACTCAATGGCATTCTTACCAATGAATTATACATCGCAGAAAGTTCAAATTCCAATAAGCGGGACGGATAGCGAAACTGGGCGCATTTTTAAGTTTTAGGTTTTGGCTCTCTAAGATAATTCATTATAGGTTTTGTATGCAGTAATGATTTTATACATCCGTTTTATCGACACTAAAATTGACGCAAACATCACATGAAAATATCTCACTATTTTACACGTTATTTTCAATCAAATTTTGTTTTGTAGCACGTACAGCATGGTCGTCTCTGCCTAGATTATGCTACGTCAGTTGCTGATATCAGCGGACATAGGCAGTAATCCACAATCCTCGTTTCCTAGTCAATTATCAACTGTATTACAATCATTCATGACCATGACTATACTTTTGCTTCAATATGTTATTTTAACATACGGAAGGAGATTAGTGGGCCCATCTGGTGACTTAAGTTTAGAATTTAATATTACCGTATAGATACTATTGAGCATAGACTATTTTCCACAGATGCGGGTAATGTTCCCAAATGATTTTATACATCGCGTGTGAACCAAAATGAAATGTTACCCAACGACCATTCAACTACGCCTCACGCTAAACTAAGTAAAATAAACTAAGAAAAGTAAAACTGAAGAAAACAGGAAAATAGTTAACAAACTTCTGTCTAATTATAAATTAAAAAAGACATATTTTAAGAACCTAACAAGAACTTAAAAACATCAAGCGAAACTACTCTGGTTGCCAGACACTTATATATAATATTATTGAAGAAACACGCAATGTGACGATGCCCGTTTGACTCAACCACTTCCGTTGGTTAATAGGGTTGCATCACGTTATATGCATTATAAATTGCTTATTAAAATTAAAGCGTAATCCACAAATTAAAGAAAACCAAACATATTTGGGTTTTTGCCAAAAGCGGATTTAAATATATAAATAGCGTACATTTCTTGCTGCTTTCTCCCCATTATACGTTTTCTTTATAAGTAAAGTTCAATATTTTCGAAATAATACGTCATCATAATAATCAATGACGTCATGATAGTATAAGCTGTTATATTGATATACAAATGTATATGATTTTATATGAGTATTATATTATTAGTTTTATTCAAATTAAAATAGAAGTACATGACTTGTGAAAACCAATAATAATCCCTCGAAAAGTCAGTGACAATTAATACAAAAACGTGAAATAAGAAACCTTTGAATAATGAATAATGAAACAAATAGACTAATAGAAACGACTAATTTCATTACGAAAACTGTTGTAGAGATTTTATAAAAAGACGGACTCAAGAGAAGCGATTTATTGATCCCTATTATTCCTATTTTTCATTACAAACTGAAAATATAATTGTATTTTATTTTTTATTATGGTGAATTTTTTCCCCATAATATTTCGTTTTGCTGAAATTTCGCCTTATAATAGATTGGGAAGAAAAACTAACATTGGCGCCGATATATTCAAAGAAAGAATAAATATAAAGTGGAAAGATAATACGTGCTTGATTTGTACATTTCCAAGTGGAACTGTAAGGTTGCATTGTAACCATCAACTTACCCATTTAGCAGAGCCTTGGAATCTGTCATCGTCTTTGATTCTTGTTTTTTGAATTTCTTCCGAAGACTCATTCTCGACGAAAATTTTTTCGGAGAAAAGTGTTTTCCATCACTGTTGGGAAATAAAACAAATTGATTTAATAATTGATTTCCATTCACAATACTTGAGTCTTTTGTGTTGTTTTGCAAGGGGTGATTAAATCATAAGTGCTACACTATTTGCTGAAAAAAAAATATTGTTCATATTCATCGTATAAGCGCGATGTTTTCGAGTGTATGCGGAAAGCTCAATTCGTAATAACATTTTTATTGTATCGTAGCGCCTACTAGAGGCCATTAGAAATATTACTATTGGTGAAACGGAATTGGTCGAAGTATGTGGAATTTCTTTGGTCCCTCTAATTTTTTACATTGCTGCAACCGGCAAGCGCCTGTTATCAATTTGATACTAATATTTTAAAGCAAAAACATTGGGTAATCTCCTAACGCTTTAAAGATTCAAAACTTTGCAATTACTACCGTGTTTTACGACCATAGAGCGCACCTTAGACCCCCTTTTTCTCGAAAATCGACCGTGCGCTCTACAAGCTGCAGCGCAAAATGTATAGATCAGGTATATGTGGAATTGCCTAAACTCAAAACTAGTACCGGTATTGCTTTACAAACCGCTGCGTCTTATATCCCGATTCCCTTATAACCCCAATTGAAACAATTTATTGACAGTGAGCCTTATAATACTTATGTTGTGTCTTGTGGTCCGTAGAAATACGATAATTCGATTTTATTCAGGATATTCACATGAATCTAATCACGAGTTGTTGCCAGGCGACTACAACCTACAATACTGACTTGGTTAATAAATACGTTGGCGTTTGTCATTTTTGATATCAAATAACCTGCAACCAAATTGCAATCTCAATGAATGAGAATCAAGCTATATACACACTTATCCATTATATATAAAAATTAACACAAGAATGGATGATATTTTCAGTCCGTATCGCACACAATGTGCTTACGGATTTTGAAACAACAGTGAGGGCTATAAAAGCGTAAACAACGTTACTGAAATCTGGTTTTCGTCAAAAATATTTGTGACATTTTGACTCATCAGCACGCCATTGCGTTTTCACATAAAACTAGAAAGAGTACTTCAGTAATGTTTTCGGAAATTCAGTTTTGTTTGAGACTGAATAGCGTATTAAACCAATGTTTTTATTAAAATACGCACGACGGAAGGTCAGGATTCAACAGCAATTAATATTTGTGTTATTGCTAACATTTTCTTTTCACATTTTTCATTTATTGGCGCATTTTTAGTTGGTGGGCTTTCCACACCTGTCCCACGGGTTGGAAGAATTAGTATCACGAAGACGCCTTGAATGTGATACCGCTTATGATTTTTGCCAATAAAAGGCTCTGTAAATCCTTTCAGCGCGTAAGCAATAATTTATGTTAATTCAAAATATATATCTATAATTACGTCTTGTCATCCATGTCTGATAAATCCGCTTTATGAATTTCAATCGCGTTTCTTCTCACAAAATTACGTCCAGATGCCGTCACTGTCGACGTAGGTTCGTGCGTTGGTGTTGAATTAGCTGATTTTGCATATGATCTCTTGAAAGGGGATTCTGCAGTTACGTTTGTTGTCAGGCTGCTGCTACTTCCGCCTGTGATATAGCATTTAATTTTCAAATATCATTCAGAAAGCTATTTCTCTCGCATATGCATATTTCAGTCATTTCTCAAAATAGAGAACAATGCATTATATAGTATATAAATAGAAAGCAGTTTGTTGTTAGAATAGTAACATAAATCCAAATTACAAAATATTTAATATCTCCGGCCACCAGTGATGCAACTATAGATGATGCTCAACAAACAGTCATGTGGAATTGAGGATTTCATTGGCATGGATAGAACGTGTTTGTATGAAATACATGAAAAGGATTCATTCCCATCTTGATAAATGTGAAAAATTTCAAGAACAAACAATATTGTTTAAAAGATTGTATAGGGGAAAGTGGGGAAGGTTGGGACACTTTTTTCATTTTCATATTTTGAGTCCTTTATTCTGCACATTCATATGACTTTGCGGGATTAATGCATAGGGGGGTAAATGTAGTTCTTATTCGGCGACTAAGAAATTCCCTTGCGAAACACATCTGACCACCAAAATGCTTTGAAAAACGTTTGTCAAGTGTTCCACTGTACCCCACTTGTGGGGCACATTCGGACAGACCCTGGGGCACAATGGGTCATTCTGTTAAAATTCAACGAAGTATGCCCTTAAAAATAAGCAATCAATCAGCATAATCGTCTAAAGAACATGGAGACCTCGAATTTGAAGATTTAAGATTTTTATAACCAATGTTCAACCGAAATATATATTTCAGATATTTCACCAAAAAATTTGCTTACAAATTAAATTATTTTCTAATCCGAATCTGAATCTGGAAATATTTTTGATTCTCGAATATATTTCATATTGGACCATGAGTCGAAAGATACTATAATGTTACACAAAAAATATAACGCATCTCTAGGTCTCTAAGCACTGTTGTATCAAACACTGTCGAATTGTGCCATGTATGGCATGTCCCACTGAACCCCGGTCCATTGTTCCCCTTAATCAACAAATATCTTCAGATCATCCCACTGCGAAATTCGGAAGGCACATCCACTCGACAACATTATAAATATTTCACAGTGGACTATAGCTGAAATATATCAGACGGTGGTTTGTCACGTTGAAAAGGCTAAGTTAAAAAAAAGAAAAAACTGGAACGGTGAAATTTTAGTTTCAACCCCCCAAAACCAATTTCACCTCATAGCTTGCGTCGCTCTACCCGTCCGCTGTCCGTTTGAGGGGACGTTGTAACTCACCGGAGGGCGGATTGAAACATCAAATCGCGGACCGGATTCCGAATATAGTATTAGTGTGAGAGCTAATTTTTCACTGTGCCCCATGTCCCAACGTGCCCCACCTTCCCCTAACCTACTGGTAATAACTGTAATATATATTTAATAAGTGAAGTGAAACATAGATTTATTCACAAAGTAAATAAGAGCAATGAGATAAATTCATTCACAGGTTTTATCTATTTTAAAGCACTATAGTTCAAAAATTATTTTGATAATTAAAAAAAAAATATCATGGCAACTCAGAACCCTAGCTGTGTGGTCCACACACAATGTATGCTTTTCCTTCCTACCCATATGAAGACATTGTAATTTTATATATAGCTTATATATCTATCTTTTCATTAAACTCGAATATACACGCATGCCCTGTCTCTCTACCTTATGCGTCTCGATATAACATATTATGCCAATTTCAAAGCCCGAGATCTTCTTGGTTTAATGATGCCTTTATACTGCGCCTACCAATTTAAGCATGCTTTATGACTTACAGACAATGAGTGAGTATCCGATTGACCTAAACGTCCTAAACTGTAACATGTCTGAACTGTGCTGAAACGACGGAAGTTTCTGTTACTCATTCTATATGATCATGTTAGCTCACTTGATGGAAAATTAGTACTGTATTTGTAGCAAAGTTCTTGATGTAGATTCACTACATTTAAAAGCAAATTATTATTTTTGTTTCAATATTCGGCCATTAGCACGACTAGAATTGTTGTAACTATACTGATGTATTAATAGATATATACCGGATATAGTTGAAATACTATACAAAAGAATATCAAATCTATGCATGAATGTACCAACTATGGATTTCATTGGCAATATTGCAATATTTTGTAGGTATGTTACCAAACATCACATAAATATTCACGTTATTGCCAAGAAGCACACGATAATATTTTTGGTCGGATGACATTCGAAATAAATTACTCAAAAACCAAAACCGTCAAATATTTTGAGATATTTTCTAGCATAGTCAAATTTTGTTGTTTAGGGTTATTCGCTTTATGATATAATTTTGACAAAAATCGTTTCGTGAATTAAACCAAAAATGGTTGAAAATCCGTCTTCCACAACTTTTTTGGTGTTTTTCGAGTATACGTATACCTTTAGAAAATGACTAATCCATATAGTTGCGAACTTCCCTTGAGAATAAAAAAGAGTCGGCAATGGTTTGAATAGTTTATATATACAATGCACTGCCCTCATTCAATTGCATCACCTCAAAGAGATGATGACACTTCGTTTTGCCAAAGACGTATACGACGCCAACATTACACATTCGATTGGCTTAAACAATAAGCAAAACAAAGAAGGTGAATCATATATTAGGCTATGTGAACTGCAAATTGCAATATCATTCAAATCTGCGCCAAAACGCGCATCTTACATTCGGTTTTCCTTTCTGAAAACGGCAAGATCAGCTTATCTCGCTATGATACAAAGTTCATTTTTATTTATAAATACTTGAATCCAATATTTTATTGTCGTATACAAATTTGCATATTACAATACTTTTAGAGTAAGCACAAAATGATCAACACAAATGATAAGAAACAAGATCATTGTTGTCGTGTGATGGAAACAGATTGTGGTGTTGATGTAACAAATAGTACCAAACTCTTCCCTAATATATTCAAAATTTGTTACCACACTACATTGCTAACCTTTACAGAGCTTAAAATGACTACATAACACTCAAATTTAGTATGGAAATCTAATTTAAGCCTTGTATTTCCTTCCTCTGATTAATAAGAGTAACTATTATGCTTCATAAACTATACACGAGTAAAATTTTGAATTCTCGGGAATACTAAATCGGTATTATGTAACTATAATGCTAACAACCCCCTTCACATTCCTCTCTATAACTATACAGAGGATTGATGACACCAAGCCTGCTTTCACAACTAAAAATTTTTGAGTCACATAACAATAGTAGTAAGACCACGATTGTTTACCTCACCTATTTTTACATAATAAATAGGTCATTATACGACACTCGAAAGAAAAAACGAAAAATTGCCAGAAATGGCCATAATTGAATTGTATTTTAGTGCGTCATTTTCATATGGTTCATTCCAGTTTGTGTGTATGACTGACTGCCACTAGCATTTGATCGACTATTTATTAGCCACACGCGTTCTACTTCTATAGCTAAACATATAAAAAAAAGCCGGCATTGTAATGTTTTGGTTCGCGTGATCACATTATTCATCCAGGGTTTGATCATCAACCAAAGGTATTGAGAAAATTTACATTTTGGGAGAAAGGGAACGTACCTTAAATAAGATCAAATCGATTCTGATAAAAAGCAGAACTGAAGAAAGGCTAATTGTCTCCGGGCTAAATTTGAATATATTTACAAACAGGGTCTGAAATAATAAAGTCCAAGTGCACATCTCAAATATTCCCGTTTGATAAATTGCTTAAGAATTCGAAGGTATAAAATCTGAAAATCTACTCGGGGTTCGAATTCTGACAGCCATATATACAACTATTTTTAATCGTATATCATAGAACTCGGAAAAACGAGCATTTAAATATAACGAAACAAACAATTCATACCTGTGGCAAGTCTAACTCCGACAGCGTCAGATAAATTTTCAGTGCTCACTTTAGGCGAAGACTTCCTCCTGTCTGGCGACAGTCGACGAAAGAGGTCGGATCTGGCAAACGGGAGTAAGTATTATTGTCATTCAAATATTACAGACAAATCCATTCTTTTTATTAGCAAATGCTTAAAAATGTTTTTGGGATAATTTGCTAAAGAAATATGGCAGACTACAGCTCGTACGATCACTATTGATTGTTATGTAGTTTATAATTACTGATACGTGATTTGGTATGCGCTGGCTTCCCGAGTTGCCGTAGATAGCTAATAAATCATATATCCCTGTTTGTATTACTATGTTACATCTACAACAACTATAAAACTAACATAATGCATTTCTAGATTGAAATTTGGTAAAATCAATCTACAGCGCCGCAGCTATGTAAGTCTATGATAACCACCAAAGTTTGTTTATTTTAACTCCGGGTGGGTGGCATATTTATACTGACTGTATAAGAGAAAACTACAGTAATAATTATGAGTTACGAAATCTGAAAAATCAAACATATCAGGTCAATACTACCCAGCTGTAAGACGAGATTTTTTCTTGCTAGAATTTTTTCTCTTAAATACGAAATTGACTTTGCTCGGAGAGACATCCCTGGGTTCAGCATTTCCTTGGTCCTTGAAATTGTAACCCTGAATTTTTGCAATTTTATTGTACTCTTTGACAGCTTCCACGTCGCTAGCTTTTTTAAATCCAATCGATACAGAAGGCTTATATTTTTTATTGGTCTCGTCGGGAGGGACGGGGTTCACTGTCATCTCGCTTATACTAAGGCTGTTTGCATCTTTTTCGGGCATTGACAAAGTTTCCGTGAAAAACTTTTTAATCGCATCGAAGCATTTTTTGTTTCTTTTATTTGGGGTCAAATTTGCAATCTCTTCTGATAAATCGAGGCCTTCAACTATCAAATATGAAATTAGTGGCGATGTTGCCACGGTCAAGGTATCGGGTAAAGAAGTTTGAGACTTCGGATCAAAGGTCGGCGTCCACTCAAGCGAATCTGCAGAACACAAGCTGAAGACTCCCCCGTTTTCTCTGATGTAGTCCAGGACGTCATCCACTTTACTAAGCTGCTCTTTGACATCAACGAGGCCATCTTCGAGCATTTTTATCCGCTTGGTGCTATTTTTATCTCTTTCGAGTATTTCGGCCTTCAGGGTTTCGAAGCTGGCAACCAATTCACCATTGTTGCACATGTTGTCACTTGTTATGGACTGTTTCTTTTCCATTATAAAGTGAATAACTTATTACTTAACAAACGGTATGTGCCACTACAAATCCTAGTATTCAAATGGAGGAATAAATCAATATTTCGCATCTTATTGTACGCAGATACGGAAGTATTATGTAGATATATCCGATACGCGTATAGTGAATATGATTCACTGAGCCTTTTAGCGCTGGCTAACGTTACAATTTCGATGAGGTGACGCATTGTTCGTGTTGATCTACAAAGGCCAAGTATGCGCCAGAGACGAAACTGACAAAATAAGTTAAAAATCATTCTATGAATATTGAAATAAAATCTTGTTCAGTTGGAAGCTTACTACAACGACTTGCACAAAGCGTTGCTGCTATTTGTCATACTTACCACACTCAGGTGAACTGACTTAATAGTAATACGGCATCAGCCATAAAAGTTAATCAACACAATCGAATGCTACATTTCTAATTATTGACTCTATCAAATCAAATGAAGGAATTTATTCGTGATTCGGCAAATTATTTTTATGATAATTAGTAAGCTAAGTTTTGCCAAGATAAATGTGAAGTCAGGGCACGCGTTGGCCATAGCCATGTTTTGCCCTTGACCAAGTTTTCTAATTCTCGACTGCATTTATGGTAAATAAACCGTGAAAATTTGCCTTCTGGTTTCTTGCTCGTCTTCAAAAACAGTAGCTACATTCATTAACTATAATGACCTTGCACCATGCCAAGTTAGACACAGAAACATCTATCTAACGCAGGCCGGATGTTTCTAACATATAATCACAAGTCTACTGCAGCGACGACGAAACAAATCTCAAGAGAGGAAACAGTTGTTAAAGTTTATATATTAGACAACTGATCATGCAGATGTACAAATTAATATTTGCTTTGATATTGTATACCAGTTCGATCTTCTGTAGCTGTTCTTGTGAAACAGCCATTCTTGCTCGCCAGCGTTCCACGATCGACGCAATGTCGATGTACTATGTGGAGAATACACCATAATAAATTACAAATCATAATAGGTAATCATGGTGGAGATAATGTAAAAAAATTATCCATTTTCGTCTACACATCGCTGATTCAATTTTGAATACATTCCTTATGTATATATATAAACAGACATTGATGAAAATTTCGAATGGATAAATTTAAAATAAGTAGGTTAAGTTTAGTTGAGTGAAACCGATGACACACTGCAATACCTTCTGGAGCAATAAAACGATTCAAATTTGTGAATTATTAGTATCGAAATTTGCTTTTTAATGCGAACATAATGAAAGATTTCGCTATCCCTTTTAAATGATTTTCCTTATCCCGTTCAGGTGTACTTCAGTGTACTTACCATGACATAGAAATGATACTTTCAATAAGAAATTGAGTTTCAGTGTGAAACGATCTAGCTTAATTAGTTGCGGTAGCAGTATTTGTTTATACCATTGCCCAAGAGTTGTATTGTATGTATTGATGATACATAATACAATTTGTATGTATCAAGTAGCATCCAAGTTGGCACTAGGTTTATTCATTTGTCAGATACATTCAATTAACGCTAATCCGAATGAGGAGAAAAGAAATACATTTTGTTGAAGAACGATTGTTAAGTAGGAAAAAAGCTATGGCAGTGTATTGGCGACGTGTGAACCGCGAAGGTTTTTCTTTGTTTACTGCTGTCTTCCATGCATTTCATCGATGTTTCAGAGCTGGAGTGTATACTCGGCAATAGGTCAGCTTATTGAAATATTAATCAAACAAATATACAATGTATAAATTTATAAAATTTTCATTCATTTGTTCAGAAGGGTATATCTGATACGAAAATTGAATTGTATTCTTCAAATATGTCATTCGCCTGAAACGTGCTATTTACACATATTCCCAGACTCACTGCAGATCTAGTTCCGGCTTCGGGACTTACTTTCATATAGCCAAATGGGTTGTTGACGTTACATGATAGGCGAGGTCGATTAATGCGGTTTTAATTTATAATTTCAGAGTACTTTCAAAGTATGTCTTGTCAGACTGCCGATGAGTTCATTCACGTTTATCTATATTTAGATGGAAACATTATACGATCAGTTCAATTTATCTTCAGGTAAACATCCATATATAAAATGAATGCAATCCGTTCAGAGCTAAGAGAAACTCAAAGTGATAGGTGATGCCTATCAAAAATTAGTATTCTAAATCAGTGGTTCTCAATTTTTCGTGTGGCTCATTTGCAGCGTCAAAATGAATTATTAGGTTCACAACTTTCGGTAAAAATTTTGATTATATATCATAAGGTTTTTTTCATTAATATATATAAACAAAACCCATTCCATTCAAAAATTCCACCCCAAGAAACACTGATATAAAGAACTAAAAGAGAATGCACGTTCATTCTTGAACCCACAAGCGTGTATTGCTAACTAAATGTACGTCTTTTGATCGACCTACATCTGGGTTTTCAATAACCAACCATGAACTTTAATGACTCCATGAAAACAATTATCCTGATTTCCTGACTGATTTGATGAATAATTATTTATGACTAGCCGATTACGTTGAAATTGATACATCATGCTTTGTAAAACAAGGCCAAACATGGAAAAATTCAAACGGCCTATTTATTTACTGTAGGCGTAGCAGACATGACACACCTACTGAATCTCTCTCCAACAGTCATTCATTTCACTTTGATCATATTGGGACCAAATATAAATGCATCTCAGCCGTATATATCTAAGTACGCTTGATTTTGTTTTGCTTCGAGCAATGTTCAATTTAAGAATGACGTCAACGATCAGGCTGTTAATTCAGCGGCGATGACATAATGGGAAATTTACTCTGCGTATAAGACGACGCAAGAAACTGATATGAGTTAGAAAACCAATCTATAGGTGGTAATTATTCTTGCGCATGGTGTACCGCCCGGTATTGTTAAATTGTGACGTATAAACAATACTGTAACAGCCAACTCACAAGCGTAAAAACACTTGAATATATGGTTATATAGAATTTTAATACTAGTCCATTTGAATGAGTCTATAAGGTCTTAGATTTGCTAGATTTTTAAAACTTGTCGTCGAAGCTTCAGGCCCCAGTCATTTCTTCAGTTTATCCATTAACAACAACAGAGCTGATGTGGGAAGAAGTGCAACAATGGTACCATCGTTTACAGCAAGCAAGCGAATGTTTCAATGGGAAATATTAATTTTCTTATTTTAATTTTGGTTTGTGTACACAAATCGGTAACGTTAAATCATCATTCATACCACTGATTAGCCAATGATTATTATAACACGCGATTATTCATGTATATAAAATACAATATTTAAGGGAACAATATTTTTTCAATCATGCATGCTGGGCAATAACTCCCAATTTTCCACCATTTTTGATTTCCATTCTCCCTATGTTTCTGAATTTTACATAATAAACAAAACTGAAGTGTACTTAAAGTAGTTTCACAATTTAAGTTATAACCCCTATTTAATTAGCCTTCAGAGCAGAAAATAGTCAGTTGAAATGACTAACCCGTTTTTCAGTAGCTTCAAGGTTTTCTTCTTGGGTGGCTGAATCGTAAAATCAGATTGTCGTCGATTTAAGAGGCTGGGAGTATAAAATGCAAAGAAATATTAGCAATATGGGCAAAACTGTGTGACGCCGAAAGTCTCCACGTTTGCCAGACACAAGAATATGACAGCCTTATCAAGTTTTCAAAAAAAGTAGTATCGCAGAAAATACGATTCAAATAAATATTCTTTTTGACCTAAAACAAGCGTGAATATGACCCATCGACCATTTGACATCAAATTACGTTACATCAAATTGAAAGATATCACCTTTTGTCTTGAATTTAATTTACAAATCAACTACCATGTTTTGGTTAGAACGAAAGCTCAACAAAACAGTATATCTTAATTGTTGCCAATTTGAGTTACTCAGTACTTGTCTCCCGACTGAAAGTTTTGCCATTATTACCATCTAAATTGATAATCAATGTTCTATTAAAATAATAATTCTATTCAAAAGTCACTCACTAAGTGTCATCAGCGGTCATTGTTAAAGATCCCTTTCTTTCCTTAGTAATATCCCGATGAACCATCATCATGTTCAATTTATCTGCGTCGCTAAAGCTATGAGACCGCCTGCGTTCTTTTACGTTGTCAGTTTGTAAATAATCCGTACGTTTTTGTCCGCAATTCAAATTCGTTGGTAGATCTGGTAGCGTCGTCTGTTTTTCGACGTTTTTCTTCGTTCCTGTGTAAGATAACATAACACGATAAATATTTCTGTTGACGATGAACGTCCAGACTACGAGTCGAAATAAGAAACAGGTTACGTCATTAAAATAAATTTCCAAACTAACTTTTTTTGAATGCTATTCCGGTCGAGTATGCTCAATGTCTGGACTACGTTTATATGACATTATTACTCGTCCCAGAAGTCAAAGGTAATTAGTCTTTAATTGATATACTTTGAAAAATAAGCCTGAAAAGTGCATGACACGATTCTTTATTATTGGAATTCTAATATATGTATGAAAAATATTTTGTCAAAATATACACAGAAACAAATTTTCCTAATATTAGCACTCTGAGAAATTTCTGTGACAGGTTTTCTACAAAGAAAGCAGTTCTTATAAACGGTTCAAATAATCAAGGAAAACAAAAATATACAATACAATGATAAACCTGAAAATTTCTCCTTTTCCTCTCCAAATTTGTCACGGGAAAACTTTCGCCTGAAAGACCTTTTCAGCGATGCAGTTCGTGATTTTTTGTTTCTTTCAAATGTATTCGAGACAGGAGATGCAACATTAGCACTCTGCTTTGGTGCCTTTTTAGCAAAAAATCCTTCTTCTTCGTACTGATGAAAACCTCTAGCATTTGGCGTTCCATGAATGGTAGAACGCAGACGAACATTGCGTGTAAAAGCTGATATGTTTTGTTGACCGTTACATGACGTTTTTTGGAGTGTTGATGTAACTTGTGTCAAAGAGTAGGCGTCCTGAGTATCACATGAAAAATAGGATCAGAGTGAAATGATTTTCTCATATCAAAGAAGAGATAGAAAATTTTAAAATTACCTAATTCCATGATTGATCATTTAGCTGTGATGAGGGCTTCATAAAACGCAATGATTTGTAATTTTCACTAGAAAACTTGAAAACACGAGCACACATGGAAAAATTATTTGCTAAACTTTGATTTGATAGTTAATTCGAAAATAATTTAAAGACATAAGTATCGATTTTGACACATATTTCCATATTCGGATAAGCATTTTTAGGTAGTTCGCATAAGATATAAACACATCATTCATTGTTATCAATATATACATCAAAACGGGTGCATACTTTTTGACTTCTCGAATGTTGTACGTTTTTTGTGCTTTTCCACATCGCACGTCCACAAGTTTCCGGCCGTGTGACCTCTGAATTGGATGTATTCACTATCGCAGCGTCATTTTTATCTAAAAAATTACATATTACTGTAATCGCACTAAATGGTAGTAATTGAAAATTCAAATTCTTCGGTATCACCAAAAATGACTTATTCGATAATCGCATACTGTACAATAAGGGATCAAAGGAGACTCCACAATTCCTAATCTAGCTTGCAGGGAGTGAAACGCCAACATATCTGATCGCGATAAAGCGTACCGCATCGTGAACAATGCTAATTGTTATACTGTAGTATAGTTACCGACTTTTCATTGATCAAAACAATATACAAAGCGACGGTGTTAGACATTGCTTGCAGTAAGAATATAAAAATATCCAAAAACGTCAAAATAATATCAATGATGTCAAACAAGGTTGGGAATTGGAATAATCGTCAAAAAAGTGAATACAAATCTGTTTTCACTTTTATATTACTACTTCTTATCATCTGCGGTAATGCTCAACATGTTTTCGTCCGTTAGCTTTAACCAACCAGACTCACTTGTTTCTTTCGGACCATCAACTGATGTTTTATCCGTTTGTTCAAAGATTGATTCTCCATCAGCGGGGAACTGAAAGGGTGATTTTGTTGCAGATCTAGCTGTGGCATTTGCGCTTCCAGTTCCACTACCTATAGTGTTAAAACAACAGACACTGATTTTAGAAACAGATTTTAAGTTGAATGACATTAATATCGTAACTGGAAAATAGCGCATTGCTTTGCCGAATAGGTTGTCGTGAGTGCTTAAAAACCAATTTCTTGAATAATAATTAGAAGAACGTGGTATTTGAATGATAAAATTTTGGTATAAAAATGACGAAAACATACCTATGTTATGTTACCTTGAATAGCAGCCATAGCCACCATGCTTTACTTAATATACTCGTGTCTAAAACAAATGATTTGATTAAAATATTCGGTTCCCATGTTGAGGTAGAAATTGGGAAAATTAGAGTTTTCTGCTTCGAAAGCCATAAAGTCGTCAGGGCAAACCATCAATACTAACCTACATTTTGTGCAAAACTTTGTTTTGCAAATCGTTTTACCCGACAGCCTTTAGTGAAAAACGATTCAACTAAACTGAGCAACGAAACATCAAATATTCGCGTGAAAACATTCACGTACCAAATTAAAAAAGATTAAAAGATATTGGTTCTCGACCGAAATGCAATCGAGCCTATTTACACGCGCCCCGTGGATCAGACATGTACAATTGAATTGCGACAAAAGATAAACAGAAAAGAACATCGTCATCCGCATACCTGCGCTGCCGGGGCTCTTTTCTTCCCAAAATATTCTCAGTTCATCGACCCTGGATGTTTGCTTGATTAGTATATTAGGTGGCTTACCGTCACGATTCATATTTATCCTAACTTCCTGACACAAACATACGTATATTAAATATTTATGAAATAATACCGACAGTTTGCTTTAGTAGAATAGTAAAAATAACTAAATAGTAAATCCTACCAGAAGGAAACGAGAGAATATTTGTTAAACTAATGCGTGTATTCGAGTGATCGGAGTCGCAGTCTTTACATGGACATTGCACTTGATTGGCAGTACATACCTTGTGTGGCTGCGCTATGAATCAAACCTGCTTGCAAATATGGCATTGAACATGTGATCTACTAATGAGCCCATTCAAATGACAATTTGGGCCATTCACAGTGCTAACTATATGATATCAAAACGGAAGAATTTCGATATTCTAAATACAGGTATTTCACGATTTTTCTTTCTGGAAGAAGGATTGCTTTGAACAAAGGACAAGCCAGCAACAGTTGCCAATAAAAATATATTTAAGTGAATACAAACGTCATATTTTACATTATAAATTTGCCATGCGTGCACCAAAGTAAGATTAGAAAAATTAGAAAAACTCAATTACAAGATGGTAGACTTTCATTGGTATGGGAGTCGCCAATTTAGCTGAAAATATGTGAGAAATGGCAAGAACCCCATTTCACATGACTGCAAGTTTTGCATTCAAAATTGAAATCTTCGAAAAGGAAAATCTCTATTCCTCGTAAAATGGCTACAATCATTGTCTCTACATTACGGTTTCTAACCTTTATCTGTTCCAAACGGAAAAATTCTCAAAACAAAATCCCAATTCCAAAGATCACAGAAATTTGAAAATTACAACGTTTTAAAAAAATAAGAACGGAAAATTGTGCAAGCAGAAGCAAGTTAACCTAAGAACACAAACCTAAAAGAAAACATCGTTTCTCCAAGGGCACGTTTAAGGAATTAAAAAAAATGACCAGATCAATAAATGGTTTATAATTTGCCAGAAATAGAATTAATTGAAATAATTAGCATGTGAGTGACATGGGATTTTGAGTAAGTAACATTTGAAAACAAAGACAAATTCCCAGGCTTGTCCATGTGAATGGGAAACGTCCCATGGGATGGGATGAGACAGGACACATGTGTATTTCCCATGGGACACGAAAATCGTATGATTTTCGGGGAAATGAAAATGAAATAAAACATTACGTTATGAATTTCGTGTCCATATATTTGAGCATAGCTCTCTTGTAAGTTGTAAAGATATATATATTCAGCATTAAAAATATACTTCGTGAAGGGGCTGATGGACACATGTATAATAGTTATGAATATAAAGTTAACAAGGCGTAAATTTTGTAGCTTTGCATGTCTATTCGTACATGTAGTCCTATTCAGTAAACGCTAAACCTAAATTTAACAATTTTTATTGAATTTTATTCCAATGGAAATCCCATGGGATGGAATGTGATGGGACAGGCATAATTGCTATGGGATGGCACAGAAAAATATGTCCAATGGACAAGCCTGCAAATTCCAATTAGGTTCCGACATTGAAATAAAAATCAGAAACTATCGCAAAGAGAAATACTTTCACAACCTTCCCCTGAGAAAAAAATGCATACAACCGCAAAACAAAAATTCTGCCGGCCATACGCGAACGCGGTAAGCAGACCGAGAACATGAACAAAGCACAGTGGTGAACGATAAGAGAAATAACCTGCAAAGGTTAAACCCAAACAGTAAACTTCAGTAATTATTTAGAAACTCACTGCACCCGAATCTACAACTATCAGACAAACAAAATAATTAGTCAAATGTAACAGTGAATAATGTAAAACCCGCTAAAACACATCAACCAAGTAACATTCTGAAGTTTTTAAGCACATCGACTTCTACACCATGAACATTATCTATTATAAGACCTAAATGTATTAAATTATATGACAGTTACAGTGTGTTGAAGAAAATATGAAACATTAAAATTCTGAATTTCAGGGCACCTCAATAATATTCGCAAAAAATATTTCAATAGCAAGGAGCATATCGTTTTACAGTAATTAAAATTGACTCTTACCTCAAACTAAAAACTCTATATTAAAAAAATAGGGACAATTTGACCACAAGAAATAAATATCAGGTCGAAATAAACTCGGATGGTTACCAAATAAAGAATTTAAACAAGAATATCGGTCGGAGACCGAAAACTTATCGATCTAAAGTTAGGGGATCCACCACACCAGAAACGGCGGGTTGGATTCATCCGCTCTTACTCCATAGTGACACCATGATAGGCTTCTGGTCCGAGATATGATGAATGCACATGCAAAATTTGGAGCAGATTCAACCTCGCTTTCGTGAGATATCGCGTGTATCTAACAGACAAACGAACAAACAAACAGACAAATACCCATCAACATTCCCACCGATCAAGATCTTCAGTAACAAACGGACAGGATTAAACGTAAACAATGGGAAATTATAAATACAGACTGAAAAATGATAAAATGGCATCAATCAGTGCCAACAGCTAATCTAACTTGTAATACAAAGCCTTGCTAATGTATATATTTATAATTTCGCGGTCCTTACCCACAACCTTTTTCTTTGCAGATATACTTCGTTTGATCTATCTTAAATAATCTTACCGATAAACTTGCTATATTACAGAATAAGATTACGCTATTCTTGTTCCTATCTCTCACATATCGCTTCATCCAAGTATCCTTGCAATACCTGTCGCATGCGAATCCTAAGCAATAATTAAACGGTGAATGACTCGCAGTTCATTTCCTAATAACCTCCTATCTTTGCACCAATGAAACGTTCCAATTTGGGGAAGCAAAACCATGAACGAGCAGAAATCTTGATATCTTAAATCTTGACTCTACATACCACGCGATTGTATAATAATAAATACATTTGTCCAAACATGTAACCAACCCACACATACTTTAAATGACGTCATAATACTACTGCAACTTCCGCAAAGCGATTCGCGTAGTCGCTACTGAACAAGATGCTTTTACTATATAAACGCCTGTGCATGGATGATTTATTTGAAATTTCAGCAGAATCTAATTGAATGTGAATTTGACGTACATGTTGTAAAAACATGCCACCACGTGGAATTTTACCAAGAGACTATTTAATCAACTTGCCGAGTGTTTTGCGTGTTTTATTGCAAAGGTTGTTTCTGGCCGGTTCAGTACTTGAGATATATATATATATATAGTAATTCTAGCGTTGGCGTAACAAGTCGGTAACACGTGATATAACCGGCCTGCTGAAGCTCACCTCTGAGCAAGACTGCCGAATAGACAATAGTTATGACCTTCTTGACCTAATCCCCCTTTCCGACATCAATGTATATTATAATACCTTCAAGTGATATAAAAATACTCTTGATGCATATGCGCAGTTAGTTCCACGAGTTATATGAAGTTTCAACAGTTTATTCATCTATGAAACTTTCAAATTGCAGCTAAGCTTTCATGAATTGCATTCCCAAGTATTATCCTACTACTTCCCATGTATACTAGAAAACACCCAATCCAAAAACCCTAGACATTTGACAGCTTCTGTCAAGCTTTTTATCAAAATGTTGATACCTGAGCATACCAGAGAGCAGTATTCCAGAAAAAACATTTTCAATGACAGAGTTAGAGAATATTTTGTATGTGAACTGAATGGAAGCGGAATCGAAATTCTGTAACTGCTTCCGAATTCAGCGATACATAGATGACGCACCGAATTACGCGATTTACGTAAAGTGTAATATGTATTGAATAACAAACTAATTACGACATTGAAACACTCTCGCCGTATGTTTGCGTCTAAATTAAGTATTGAGAAACCCTCCTTTAGTTAGAGTGAGTATTGATTAGCTAAATTTGTCCTCGTGTGGACAAGTCAATGAATATTTTTCAAATGATGGATTCAACATTTTGAATGCCGAGTTGTCCGCTATTCGTTTTGCGTCTAAATACCAATGGCCCTAAAATTACCCAACGTCGCTATAGCAAACTGGGCGCTGTCGCTGGATCATCTCTTAGAAATAGTACCATGTTAAATTTTGAATTCGAAAATGCGAAAGAGAATTTCTGAACTTCTCATTCTATTACACAACTACGAAAGACAGTTTAATACTCTCATCCGCTAGTGCTCTATTCAGCGACATTCCAAATCAATATTACGTCACTGAATGCAAAATACACAATTTCGCTAAGACCATTTTCTTACCTTTAGTCTTACCTTTGATCAAATCGAGCCCGGATGATATTACGGTAAACATTTCACAGTTCTTCGTATCCAACGTCTGTAGATTTTAATTCGTTTACATCCATTTTGTATTTGAGATGAAACGCAGCAAGTAAGTTGACAACGACATATGAAATCAAAGTTATATCTAAATTCGAAATCAATAAAACAAGCAATAATTTCGACATGCTCAATATATATTTCCAATACAATCGCAAATCTCTAATTTCGTATTTTATGTCTGTGATGCATTCTTGTCTTTTCTCTATACTTTCGACTGAATTGGAGATAAAACGTTTCAAGTAAAACTTCATTTTCACCCATATACTTGCTTGTTGAGAGAAATTAACAATCAAACGGATCAGAGATGAAATCATAAACTTTTTTACAACTTCGATGTTGTATTGATTGAACTAGAAGTATCCAAAATATTCTCTGCAAATTTTACCTAATTGGATTACCCAGCTGATTTTACAACAAAATATATTCTCAACATGTCCTGATGTTGTTAATAACGTCGTCTAAACTTAGAAAATTCATTGGTAGAATTGGATGTTGTAAGCATACTTGAAAACACCTATACAAACAAATGTAACATCATGTTAAGTTACCTCGATCCATCATCAATAGCATATAATTACAAAAAAATTTGTAAAACTTCCAAAATTTGAGGGTACGATTTTCATGTTATATGAATTCGCTATGTAAATCATTACATGTGGTGGATAAATTCTATATGCTACAAAATAGTTGCGTACAGGCAACGTTTCTAAGTGTACTTTAAATTACAATCTTGTTTTTGTCTTGGTATAATCAGGCCAGGGTATTAGAAGAAATTAGTAGTGCAGAATGATTGGGATCCCGATAATAGAATATAGAATGCATTTAACAGCCTTTCCGTGACCCCACAGTCGGCAAAATTTCACTACGATAGTGGGTTCCAATCAAATGTGTTAAATAGAGCTCTACATGTTATTTACTATTGAACAATATCAAAAGATTTGTGAAATATAGGACAGCGTCACTCTTTTGTGAGTGGGTTGACTATACTGAGACTGCAATACTAATATGTGCATAAAATGTTTTAGTTGTGATTTCTTATTCTACAAACATGACAGTTTCATTGCACGTCATGAAAACAGGGCATAAATAACTCAAGTTTGCAACCATAAGTTGGCAATTTGCGTAGTATAGGGTCGGCTTATTATAGCTTTCATTGAGTACAATACCTATTATTGTGTTAGTAAGAGCTGAATAGTGAATATTGGAAAACATGCTGTATCGTTTTAGATGTGTGTGTATTTCTATTTAGTTCACAAAAAAGCCCATAACGTCAGTTCATTTTGAGATTGAGAAACGAGTTTTGCCCTTTTATTCGAAGGGAAATCGGATGAACTCATTCGCGGGAAACATTGAGTATATGCTTGGTGATTATAGGTAAGGTACTGATGAGAGATAGCTGCTCATAAATTAACACAATACTATAGACAGTAATTGATATTCCAGAATTAGGAAACCAGACATAGAGAAGTTAAAACCATGCATATTTCAAAATAATTGTCTACCTACATGTTTACTCATTCGAGTACGACCTGGTTTCATCACTATTCACCTTCATATATAAGTTTAGAGCAACAAAGAATTCGTTTTACACTAAAATGACGGTTAATGTTAGATTATTTACTGCATAACGATGTATATTCGTTTTTGATAGCGTGTTCGAGCAATGTTTAATTATTTCCACTGGGAAATGACCACGTTGCGGTTCTACGACCAACCCTCTAGGTGAATTTATTTCATTGCAGCATAGGTGTTCTTGTTATCAAAGTATATGATGATTGGTCGTAAGTAAAGAAAATGTAGTTTTTTTTTGTATATAGTTTGGGAATATGTAAATGAAAACGCGCTCATCTAATTTACAAATAATTTTTTAGGTGAGAAAAGTTACCGTTCTTTCATTAAACATACTAATAATATACCGGTAAGAAAGCATTCGTATATAAATTCGTGGTAGAGCATAGCATTTTTAGAATTGATAAACAGACATCAGGCGTAGTCATTACACGAAACCAATGCATATGTTGCGTTAGGTTCCAGAAATATAAGATAAGTGTAAGAGAATAGAATACGGCACCGGATTGAACTCAATAAATCAATTTCTAGGAAAGTGAATAAAGCTTAGAAACTATCGGTAAGCCCAGGGACGGGTCAGGGTAATTGAGCAGTCGATTTTTTTTTTTTGGATGTCTTGCTAATAGAGCAGATGTAAAACAAAATCTATACATGGCATTGCAAAGTAGAGTAGCACTTTTATAAACAGGCGGAGTGAATGAAATTAAACCATAATTTTATTCAAAAATGACCGATGCCGTGGCAAAATTATTGATTATGTCTTCCTGTATAAAATGTAAAAATAACCGCGTTAGGCTATGTATGACAACAAATCAATCGCCAAGCGTGTTGGCAATACTTAGAAACTGCAATACAGCATTAATTTCTGATGAATTGACAAATTTTAGTCAATTGTCTCAAATCCCGGACTAGCTGTACTTGTTATGACAAAGTTACGTTATGTTACGACTAAAAGCTTGCTGGAGAAGGTCTAAGGTGGTAAATGGCGACGCTCGAAGGAATGAATGTACAAGGTTACGGATATATTTTTCTATGGATAATAAGTTAGAGCAGTAGTTTCCCGCCTTTAACCTCTCCTTTATATGTAATATTATACTAATTGTTAGGGTTCATGTTCTGTTGGGCACGGAATGGACCTATAGAGCATTTTTTAGGTTGTTGTCAGTGATGTTAGTATTTTTCTCCTTATCGTTGGTGTTGTAGGAGAAAATTTTCTCTTTTACTACTGCACCAATTGCTTTGAAGTCGAGAAGACTACCGGACTGTATATATTTGATACCGATATACTACTTCGTTTTGCTCTCGTGTCCATATATTCGAGCATTGCTCTTTCTGTTATAATATAAGAACATAATAATATAAATTGATAAAGGTGTGTGAACGAGGGCATATAGAATCGGTTTGTGTGTTGTTTCTAAATAAGGTCAAAGTAAAAATTGATGCAGTTTATGGCAGTAAACAGATAACTTTGTCAATTTCCCTATATTTTCTTCAGAATGCACAGACGTTTTATTAAATTCTTCATCTTCGGCATTGTGTCCACAATTAGCTTCGTAATATATAACAATATGCTGGAAAAGTCTACCACAGATCTGATTTTACCAAAAACTAAAGAATGGAGTGACGCCTGGCCAAGAGTGAATTTAATTAGTAAGTTTCAACATAATAATAATGGCAACCACGATCAGGTAAATTCGTTCCCCTTATTAGGCAGACTCATGGAATCATTATTGCTTTGAAATTTTTAGTAACTGAAGATTGTTGTTGTCGCTAAAAAATATCATTTTAATTTATTTAAAAAAATGTTCTTAGTTGTTCGTTTTCATTTCGAAATTTTGAGTGATGACGTCATCAAGATTGAAAATTGCGCAATGTGTGGCAGATTCGCGATCGCATTTCAGCGATCTGGTGGTCAGTGGAGTCGGTAGTTTTTTCATAAAGAAAACTACCTGTACTGTAAAATATTTGATACTACTCCGTTTTGGCCTTCGTGGATTTTGCTTGTATATTACATACTTTTACCACTTCACTGTGAACGGATGATTACAAAGGAGCTTTACTAAGGAGCTTACAAAGAGCTTTTACTTTATAAATGGCGAAATTGATTTTTTCACAGATTGCAGTCACAGAGAATACATGAACACGGGCTTAAATTCACCCGAGGTGATAACAAATTTACCTTATCCTAGAACTGGACTGGTCAGTGCGCCAGGAAGTGGAAATACATGGACAAGATTTCTTATTGAACAAGCAACGGGATTATGGACAGGAAGTGTGTTCAACGATAGAGGGCTTTACAGAGGAGGTCTTAAGGGGGAAATTGAAGAATGTGACAAAAACACCACAGTGGTAATCAAAGGTAAGCCATATACTAGAAACAGTCATTAAACAATTTTCTCTGTTTATAATCGTTAAATATTCATTCAAAATTATAGATCACCTGAATTGTCGACAAAAATTCGAATTTGTTTCAATATATGATCATTATGATAATACTAACAGTGTATTCCGCTTCATATCCCAGCGGATAAGACCTCAAATATGATAGAATTGTGCACTTTGGATGCAAGCATGAAACTTGGCACACATGTACAGTAGCATCTTCTGAATAATTTTGGATATGGTGCAATCCAAAAAAATGCTTCGTTGCCATGGAAACGAGGCATCATCCGTATTGCTATCCAAGTGTAAGAAACATTACTTTAGGAAAGGATATTTCCAAGATAAGTAAACCGATGTGTATTTAAGAAGTAATAAAAAAAGGAATAAAAAGTGCATTTTGACAATTGCCCTTGATACCAGAATACCTAGTTATCATGGTAACGAGGTATCGTTATCGACCAAACACGATTATTAGTCCGACAACCTGAACGCTAACCGGAACACAAATACTACGTTCATGTTGTGCGCCACCTTGGTGCACATACTTCTGGAGCTCCCCCCTCCCTACTATTTAATGGACATACTTTCTATGTACCTGCATATTATAGTTGATCAACATGGTATCCCAGCCAAACAACGCTTGGAAAAATTACTGTGTTTTCACGCATCGACCGCACCGAATTAGCAATAAATTTCCATAATCAATTGTAAATCTGTAAATCCTTTGTTTATTGAATGAACAGATTGGTACTTATTTCACCTCGCTTGTTACAAACTTGGCTTTGTTTTGGAGCAATTCCTATTGTGTTCGACACGAGCGGGAAGTATTCCTGTTATTGTCATGAATCACAAATTAAGCTACATTCACTTTCAAAATGTAATCCCCTTTGTGCTCAATCAATCAACTGCCATTGCCAATGGTATATTTTCAAACTCATAGCCACATAAAGCTGGTAAAAATATAAAATATATATATATCTCATAACTGACGGATTATTGTTATCTTGGAGCTATCATATATCGTCATCACATATATTAATAAAAAATAAATTCATTCTCATAACTCTGGCATGAAGGATCTCAGCCAGATAATCTGTGGAAGACGGAAAACTTGCATTACAGTTCAGCTCAAACTCGGCTGGAATTATTGATTCTTGTAATTCAGATTCTAACGTCGCCTTATGTAAGTGCTACAATAAAAAATAAATAGAAAACGATTGAAATAATTATATTTTTCAAAAATATATTCCACAAAGATTCCCCAATAACTAGCGGGGGCAATTTTACTATTTAGATATATACTTCAAACAAAGCACTTATAATGCATGAAATGTATTTCCTAATTAAATTTGATTCTTGAAACAAACTTTTAGGTACATTCTACTTTTCCATATATTGCCGTTGGCTATCTGTGTCGTGTGAAAATAGCAAATATCTATATTGCCCTTAAAACCCTGCTATCCCGGCATGAGACTTATGTGTAATATAAATATGGCTCTAATATGATTGGTCAATAAGAGTAAACATTCTTTATGTATATGTCTTATCCTGGACTTAACTCAAAACAAACCCAATAAGACATTTTCGCGCCGTTTTCAAGCATGATATAGGCTTGTCCGAGTGTTTTTGTACCCGGGTTGTGCGTCACTCCCTGTTGGCCTATTTCCAATTTTACGAGTTTTATATCTGTAAATATTTGGAAGCTAAGAAACATACAAATAAATACATTATTACTTGAAAGAAAGTAATTTGCGCGGCCCAGCGTTCGTTTTCCTTGTGTAAACAACTCACTAATAATTACCTGCACAATAATAAACAAACAAGAATTGCGTTGACTTCACAAATATACCGCTTCGTTACTCGGCCGGCAGCTGTTTGCGCTACACCATTGCCTGTGGTATCATTTTGTTAGGAAAACAAACAGCGAGACGACTATTACGCTTGAGAGAGAGTGCCGCTATCATAGGTAACGGTTCAACGGCCATAAAGAAAAAAGGTTCGAATGTTTGTTTACTATCGTCGATGAATTTTCTCACGTGCGCAAAATTTCGTACATGGAGCGGTCCATTGGCGACCTCTTGCGTATAGAAAACAATAATACGATTCAACCAAGCCTTCAATGGCCTTTCAAGCCTTCTTGGTTAGGTGACAAATGCTAATTGAAAATATTTTAAAAATTTGACTAGGGAGTGTCGAGATAAGGAGGTTGAATTCAATAAACATTAATACTACTTTCCTCTCGAAAGTCGTGTGCATTAAGCTCCAACAAACCTCAATATTTTCACTACATTTTATAAGACTGCAATTCTACTGAATACCAGGCAACATACTGTTCTATATCTGTCACAATGATTATAATCGCGGTGCTCAGGAAATGTGTTTTCGACATTGTTATTTAACGGTAATAAAATCGGCGGATCGATATAATAAATAGCTGTTGAAGACTGTAATATGTATGGAATAATATTATGTGTACAAGGATTGAGATTAGATTATGGGAATCAATTTTTATGACTTATATCTTGATAGGTTGGTGTACCGAAATAAGAAAAGGAAAATGTTTTCTACTCGGCGTAGTTTATCTTACCCCTGCAGGTGTGGGAAATCACTTTCCCGAGGGGGTCCAGTTACAGATAATAGACTTAGTTAGTGGGCTATGAAGTGAAGTGAGTTTTATAACCGTATCTGCTGCTCTGATTTTAAGCTCTTGTGTCGAAAATTGTTGGCGAAAGTCTTATATATGTTTTGTTCAAAAAAAAAAGGTATCGTAATGTTATATTCTTTGAACACCGGAAACCCTTCATTACAAATTAGGCAGGCAGTTGAATATTGTCTTTAAAAAATATGTCTCTCCATTTCTTGTTAAAAAACGTCATTCGAAATCCACATCGCGTTTCCCCCTCATACTGATGGATTTGTTACAGCGGCTGGCAAATTACGGCAGCTGCAGAGAGAATGTTGGTAGAAAAATAAGTCCAAACCTAGACTAAGGTTTATATAATAAACAGCATCATGTAGCAATCGGGTCATCTTGAATGAGTTTAAGGTATAGGTGGCTGGCTTTCCACATTATTTACAGGTGTAGATAATACATGTCTATATCTTAGCCGACGACTCGTTAGTTCCAACGCAAATTTATATTCATTAAAACTATATATACCGTAGTCGTAAATTCTACAGGCACAAGTGGGCCAGATGAAATACTTCGGCGAGCTGGATCCTGCCCGCGGGCTGTATTTTGCCCACCCTGTCTTAGTGGTACCTCAATCAATCGGACTTCAATCAATTTTCGGAAACGAAGTGTACATATGGATCGTTTTGTTATTATTTTGTTCTTGCACCGAGGTGGCGCACAACATGAACATAGTATTTGTGTTCCGGTTAGGGTTAAGGTTTTGCGACTAATAATAGTGTTTGGTCGATAACGATACCTCGTTTCCATGGTAACCAGGTATTTTGTTATAAAGGGGAATTGTCAAAATGCACTTCTGGTCATATTCTTTACTTCTTAAGTACACACCGGTTTACTTATCTTGAAAATATCCTTTCCTAAAGTGATGTTTCTTTCACTTTAATAGCAATACGGATGATGCTTCGTTTCCATGGCAACGAGGTATTTTCTTGAATGGCACCATATCCAAAATTGATCAAGGGATGCTACTGTACATGTGTGCCAAGTTTCATGCTTGCATCCAAAAGTGCATGATTTTACCTCTTACCCGCCGGACTATCATTTCTTTTATCAAACAACACACAACTAAAGTCCTCAAGCTTCGGCTAGCTAGTCAGCGCCAACTTTTCCATCAGCGCCATTCTTAATTTTATATTAACCCGTACCCTTGCTGTGAGCATGTAACTTGCAATAATCATCATGGCTAATGAGAGTTGCTGTATTCTCCTAGCGAACATCGTTCAACTTTGAAAACCATGTAGATATATGTCACAAATGAATTCAGATTATCAAATGAATTCAGCTATTAGTATTGAACGTTTATTGTAAATTTAAAAAAATATTGAGAATGAGATGCCCGTCGAAAAAAAAGATCGCGAATATTACATTCATAATCTAAAATGTATGACATATATTACCAGTGTTATATCCATTTACAAAACGCTTTGAAATTGTAATATCATTCATTAATTTCCTGTTATTTACTATTTACAGGTGTAATGCACCATGTTTTGGATTTTACGTTGTTTCGTACAAATTTTCGAAATTTAGGATATTTTTGTTTGACTTTTTTGCATTTTTGCCAAATTTGAATACTATTAAATGGCAATTTATATATATATAAATTTCAACAAATCACCATTCTTCTGATATGCACTTTCATGTTATTTCAACAGTTTAAAATGTTAATATTAGCTAACATTTTGAGATATGTTGTATAACATTGTTGTTATTGTAAGATTATTTTCGCATTACCAGAGAAATGGACATAATCGTAAATTTTCGTTGTAATTGATGAACCTGAATGTTTTAATTTTACACAGCTCACTGCATAAAACAAGACATGAGAAAAAATTGCTCTTTTGAAAGAATAATACTTGTTGTCAGAGATTTTCGCAGGGCTTTAGTGTCTGAATTCAATCGTCGATCAACAAATTCGCACACAAAATCTGTAAACGACAGCTCATTCAAATCGGATAGTAAGTTCTGTTATATTCTGATCATATTTACGAAGAAAGCGATAGAAACATTTTGGTGCCATAAGGTTAGAGTTCAATATAGAGTGAATATCAAACCAAGTCAAGCCTTTGCGAGTTTACCCTAATTTTATCTTGACCACAATGAATGTGCATATTCTTTGCGTCAATACCGACAAAAATTGCAGCCCTGTATGGATATTAAGCCACAAGAACTAACCACAATCGTCTAGGTTCGCCAAGCTCATTGAATCTTGTCTGCTTCTCAGATGGAGCAAAGCAGTTTTTTTCGTTCATCTTGTATTGCATTCACGAATCTAATGCCAGAACAAACATGTGCCACATGTCAGGGTTTGTTCATGAACACACCATCAATATATATTGTATTGCGTACCAAATTCTCGAGCGAACCACAAAATATAGAATTTCACTTTGTGAACAAACTCAAAATATTCAAGCTCATGAACTTTTTTTCATCTTTTCATGGAAGGCGCGTAACAAAAGTGAAACCAGCCTTTCCTAACCTGGGCCCTTGGCCTTAAGCGGACACGGGCCAGGTCTTTGAGCGCCACAAGCAAAGCAATTCATCAAAGGTACCATCCGCTATGACTACATTAATTTGAAGTAAATTGGCCGTGATTTGTTTGAATACGATCTATTTTTGTTTTTAGAATGGGCGAATTATGCGAAATCGTCTATGCCTTTAATATTGGCAAATATAAATCTGGGTTGGATAAGAAATTTTATCGGCAATAAGAACAGGCTAAAATCGAATAAAAATCCTTTTACCTCTCCTTCAAATTTTTGGGACAAACTGTTACTTGTATCATATGAAAGAATGAAACGTGACCCAATAAAGGAGCTTAAAAGAATTGTCAAGTTTCTTGGACTCCCAGTATTCAGAAAACAATGTTTAGAGGTAAGATTCCCCAGTATATAAAACTACTATCTGTAAAATATGTTACGGAAAATCATAATTCCATATTAAAGTTATTTTGGCGGGAGATAGATATCACGTTTGACACTTTTGTTGAAGTTGTATAGGTATAAATAAATAAAAATACTGAAATATGCATGCTTAAAAAATTGTTGACATTTTATTCGTACTGAAATAAGAGAGCAATGCTCAAATATATGGACACGAAAGTAACGCATTGATACCACTGAACTGGAAAGACATGTAACGATCTTCTATCTCGTTTTGCGTTGTCGCAGCGCGGGACAATTTGAGCGCCGCCATCTTGGCGTTTTTCTAAAGTTCCTTCGTGTTGCATCTGGTTTTGGCCAGTTTTTCGTCTGTTTTACTACCCAGTGCGCCACACATGGATCTATATGCAACTTTTTGCGGGTATTCAAACACAATTATACTCGAGTTGGGAATTTGTAGCCTGATGTGGATCTCGTTCTTGAAAAAATTTGGTTGTTCAGGCGATTATACAATAGATATAAGTGGAAACAATTGTTTTTGCCTTATATCATAAAAATGCACGCGGAAGATTTCACCTAAGTCTTCGGCAGAGCGCGAAGCGCAGCTTAGTTAGTCCTCTCGTAGTCTGTGTTCCAGATTGGGGTTAGGCCATAACCTCATTCCGACTTCCCCTATTCTAGTTCTATTACGAGTTCGGGGATTGTGTGAGTGTTTGCCAAGTGAATATATCCTGTGGCCATGGGTTTCTGTCCCTCTACACAACTTGGTGTAGAGTAGCGGAACAATATTAGTAACCTCCATATTGGTACACGCACCTATGGAGCGCTCTTCAGTTCTATTTATATATACAGCTCGGGTACCACGGAACCAGGCCACGCAACGATATCGAGATCGCTACGCAAAATACTAAAGGCGATAAAATAAGGCCAAATACAGATAAATGGGGAAGCGATTCCGATAAGCCATCTTGGCTAATGTTTTGTGGTCGTTTTTGTTCGCTTTTGCCTGATACGTTGGCCATAATATTAATTAACCAACAACTTTCGCAAAATTATGAAACTGCCAAAATTAGCTCCGTATGCTGGGCTGGGATATACTAGCGTTTGGTTTTTCAGTAAATAAGCTGGAAGAAGCAATGTAAAACTGTACAGTTTTTCTTTATTTTTAGGAAAATTCAAATGGAGAATTTCGTCGCAAGACTGCAAAATCTCCAAGAAGTATAGCCTGCTTATATAGCCAACCAAAAGCAAAAAGGAAAATGAACAAATCAATTCGATCTTTTTTATATAAATCTATAAAACTGGGTTCCGGGAATATAATTGCTGAATTTGAACGAATTAATATGTTTAATACAAAGAATGAATGCTAAATTAGAAAATCTCATTCTCATTGTGACTTAATTTGCTGAGTGATGAGATTATCAGATGTAAAGTTAAAGATTCGTGACGAAATAACTGGGTGATATTGAAGGTCGAAGATACATGGCATTCTAAACGGTACTTGAATAAAAGTTTAATTTTTTATAAAGATTTAGGTCTAAAATTACCTTGTATGTGATTCATACCGAATATATATTTTTTTTCAAATAAATAAAATATACTTTAGTGAGCATAGATCTGAGCTATTGTGGTCATAACCAGATTATTTTTTATTATAAAAAGTCTTTTCTTATTGTGCTTATATTTTTTGAAGACGGTTAACATGGCTTAAACGAAAGCTAAGCGAGAGATTTCACAACTTCGTGTTAACCTCACTTCGTTTTTCAGTATAAAAGACGGCATACATTTACAGTAGTTGCATTTGAGACTTCAAAACAGGATCAGGGTATATGAAAGACGACATACATTTATTGCCTGAATAGGTTATTTGCTTTTGTAGGGTATATTCACTTCCTTGTGCGTGTATTGTTTGATCATAATGGAATTTGGAATATGCCAATCAAAAAAGTTCGCCAGTAGGCCTTCTAGCCTGTAGTTTCACTAGACTGCGAGATGACCTTGGCTATCGTATATTCCTAATGCCCAAAATACAAAAATGGAACGACAGTTTTGTTGGCTCTGGCTTCACCAAAGTAAGTCAAGATGACAGAGAATGTGCTCAATGCTTTCATTGCTCGTATGTAATGAGCAATGAATCATTACATCCATCTAAACTCCGAAATCACCGTGACAAAAATCATCCGCAGGTGAAAGACGTTGACATCGTTTTTTTGGCTGCGAAGCGAGTTAGCTTGACAAGAAATCAACATTAGCCAAGTTCGGGTTTCTGTCGGAGGAAAAGCCCGCTCTTGAATGCAGCTATGAAGTGGTATATCAGATTCTTATCCACCACCAATAAGTAAGAAAGCTTCGTCACTGCTAGTTCAATTTGCCGCAACTTATCTCTGTGAATCTGGTTCTTCTAATCTTGTTACCATCAAAACAAAATCTAGAAACCGTCTTGATGTTGACAGTAACATTCGCCTGGCTATATCCAAGACGGTATCTGATATAATGTACCTCGTCAGACAGTCCCAACCGCAAGATTTAGATTGATTGTTTATCCAAAAGCTTTTACTTTCTTGTCTGTGGTTTGCTCTTGCATTCCATAAAAAGGTCATAAAAACATAATACAATTTTTTGGAAATGCGAACTGGGGGGCCACGAGTGCAAAAAGGCGTCTGAAGTGGGCCACGAGCCATAAAAGGTTGAGAACCACTGCCTTACATTATAAACCTTTAAATAGTATACAATTTGCGTCGTGTTTCAAATCAATATTAATTCATTACAACTGCCTTTAATTTACATTTGGGGGTGGTACAACCAGTTTTATCAAGTCTTTTGCTATTTAATTATCCAAATATTAGAATTTGTACCTTTACACTTTAAAATCATACACTTTTATTTATTAAAATTACACATTTTCAAGAAATTTTAATAGCCCTTGCTTTCGATGAACAACCTTGAAATATCCGATGGGTTCTTTGCACTGGATTTTTGCGAACATCTCAGTATATCAATATTATCGTAGCTAAATACGGTAATGAACCCTCAATTTATCAATTTCATAGTCCCGAGTAAAACTACGCTCGTTCTCCAGATGCTTCAGGTTTAGGCAAAGAAAATATTCGTAATATTCACGAGCGAGGCATTGTAGTAGACATAACTTCGGGGTTCCCATGTAGAGTTGTGCATATTGTTTCGAGTAAAATGTAGTAAGTGGATCAGTTATAAATTGATAGAAACTAAGTTTTCAGAAAACATGGGTTTATTTCTTATTCAAAATCTAATAGGTAACGTCATAGAAATTTCCTTTTATTTTCGTTTTTATTTATTATTTTATCATTTATTAACAGTGATAATTGTTCAGCAAACTGTAAGGTTTTATTTATGAAGAATGGTATAATAACCAATTCATTATAAGCTCTATGAATATAAAATTGTAATCAAATGGGAACATTTTCAAGTTTTAACGTTTTCCATCTATATATCATATTTTTCTTGTCGTTACATGTCTTGATAGGGGAAATTTCCTGCCATTTGTCGCATCCAGTTTTTCTTTACGTATATTTCGAGCAATGTGATTTGTATATGTTGTCATTTGTAGCCCAATTGAATTCAATGTACCTTACAGAATATGAACTATTGAAATGTTGATGAATGAAATCATCCGAGACTGGACTGTAGAATTCTCTTCATTATAAATTTTTTAAGGTCCTCGATCTTCCCCTAATCATACATGTATTAACCGTTACATTCGCTCCAATTATCGCCTGTTTCCAGCCCCAGGCAGTTATCCACTGGTATGTTCTGGCTGCTATCTTTCAGTAGAAATTTTCGATGTGGAAAACAATATCCAACCAGCTTAATTAATACATAGGAAGTTGAGTTATCAATGCTAGTCTTTATTAGATAGTCTCCTACATTGCATGTAAAACGAAAAAAAAATGTTATGAAATGAACTTAATAGGAGTCGAACCCCAGACCTAAAACTACATAGGATACATTACTTTAACCAACTTATAGCCAAATCCCAAAATATTCTATAAGAGATCTAGTCAACTCTCCAATGAGTAGCTTTTTTTATTCCTTATTTACATACGTTTAACTGTGAATATTAATAGTGAACTTTGGGGGAGCTGACTCTGATGACCTTATGGTCGTATCGCTCCCTCCAGTATATACCGAATTAACTTTGTGTATATTGTATATATTTTTTCGTTTGTTTTCTGGTTGACGAAACAATAAATCTCTCTCTCTCTCTCTCTTAGTATTTTCCTAATAATCTTGCAAAAATACCACTGGTATTTTTTGAAAAACGGCCTCATGAGCCAAAACAGGACGTTTTTTGCAGTGTATTAGTTTTCTAGTAGATTCGGTGCAGTATAAAAATGGCATTATCTATCGCTAGCGATTACGACAACAAGATGTGCCAAAGCCACTCCGTGGTATAGGATAGCCTAAATTTTATTTCCACTCAATGGCGCTCGTGTACCCTGAAAGATTTGAAACATTTATTTTTACCTTAGTCAAAGGTGCACTCGCTTGAGAGTGACTGCCAGGTCAGATCTCAGGCAAATTGTTTTTGGCTGACGTTGGGGTGCATAATTGAAATTTTGATTCGAACTTTTTAACGTCATCAACAAGGATACTGCTTGGCAGTTATAACACGAGAGGTAAAATAAGTGTAAATTATTGTGTTTTCTCACTCAAGCATAGATACAAAACAGTGATTTTGGGAAGTGGTAAGTAATCAAAACCTGTAGTTCTTTCATATGTGAGGAAAAATGGAGTAACCAATCTATTATAAGTATTTCAACGAGCCTGGTAATTTAATCTATAGAAATTTGGCTATGTTGATTATAAATATTCTAATTGGTTGTTCAACACAGACGGGCATATTATCACACATATGAATTTCGGTAGACATTTGTATGTTTCAAACAATATAGGTATTCTGCATTGACGCTAAAACAGTCAAGCGATTGTGTTACAAAACATTTAGTAACAAAGGACTAACGTTCTCGTTAGATTTACGTTGCAGTACACGAGATTATTCAGCAAAAATAGTACGAGGGGTAAGCGACAAACGAGTTCTAGCGTAGTAGATTAAAATAGAATTTTCATATTGATTCCCGGAAGAGAGGGAAGGCGATGAGAAGACTTAACCATAAGACCCACCACAGCCATCGATAATAATAGTTAATATTTTGTATGCATGGACTCAATGGTGGAAACAGTCATAACTGGCCATCGCTAGCTTATATAATGTAAAAATAATATAATATATGGTGGAAAATGAAGTTTAAAATGGTGCCCTAGTAAAATTTGTAATTGATTAAATTTAAAGTTGTGCGCCTTATCAAAAATGTATATATATATATATATATATATATATATATGTGTTGTTCTGGAATTTTCGCATACGACTAGTAATTTGGTATTTGCAGCGAACATTAAGCTACCAATGTATTTTAGGTTGAAGTAGAAGGACACTTGACGAATGTCGCTTAGAGAAACGAAATCTATTCCTTCGTCTGTAAGCCTATATGCTGGGTCCAACAGGACAATAATCCAGTACATTTAGGTATTGTTACTCTCAAATTGATTGTGCCTCTCGTTGTATAGAGGCCCATTCAGAATACTTCGCGTCTTTACTACGGGCTCATCAAACGAGAGGAAATTTAATAGTGTAGGTTTCAATTTCAATGATATGAAATGAACCGCCGACGCTGAGGCGAATAGCAATATCCTAATGCAGATGAAATGCAAAAGAAGGTTAGTTTTACTATAATGAAATGTCTGCCATAATTGCTGCTAGCTTAGGACCATTGAAACACAAAGTTAAGGTATAAAGTTAATTTACAATGTTTCAAATTTTAGATTGGCTGTTGCAAGTAGGCGATGTGGCGTACAATGCTTGGAAACCTAAAGCCTTATGATAAATAGCCTAGATTCGTTCATGCGCTCAATGATAGAAAGATCACCTAATTGAATTCATTACGCATGGCCACAAAACAGAAAAAACGTCATTCTAATCACCAGTAGAATTCAAAAAAATTGTAACTCTCAAGTAAAGGACAACCTCTTGAAGATATGTAAGGCAATTTTACTTTGGTTCTTTACTAGCAGGGGTTACTGTGTACGTTTTTTAATACTAAACTATTGTTTTCTCTTTATATTTATTTATGTTCAGCTTATTATAAATAGAGAAACGTATAGGTATGAAAAGAAATACTTGCTTCAAGACATTCTTATTGCTCGTATTGGGGATATCGTGTTTCTATTTATATTCCTATATACCCAATTTCTGCAAGTTTTCAATTCCAGTTAAAAGCGAAAATCATCTGACATTTCCAACAACTCTAATTACAACAACTAAGGCGCCAAAATGGAGTAATATTTGGCCAAGAGTTGATTTATTAAGTAAGTGCAACCTGAGTAAATTCTTTAATTGTTTTATAAATGTTCATATATGGTATTATATAAGAGATAGATACATGTTGCATAGCTGTATTATAAATATCAGTAATTTAACAACAGAACAATATTGTTGAGAAGTGGTCTTTGAGGCTAACATACTAGTCAGCTTCTTCTTGTTCATCCCTCAACCTTACCTTCTACCTCTACCGTCATATAAGTAACGTTGATGTTTCATATAGGTAACGATGTTGTTCAGCATGAGTATACACATAAAATAAGAGGCTATTTAGGAAATATACACAGACTGTTGACATTGTTGTACTAGTAACTGTTGTACCGTTTGTCTTTGAACATAATCTATAATCATTTTTTTAACTTTGGCAGACTGCAGTCACAGAGAATATATGAATAAAGGTGTCAATTCGCCGAGAGTAATAAAAAACGTACGTTTCCTACGAACTGGACTAGTCAGTGCACCCGGAAGTGGAAATACGTGGATAAGATTTTTGATCGAACAAGCAACGGGGTTGTGGACAGGAAGTGTTTTCTCTGACAAGAGTCTTTATCAAGGAGGTCTGGAGGGTGAAATAGAACAATGTCACAAGAACAGTACAGTAATTATTAAAGGTGAGCGAGAAAAAGGTGATTTTACATCACCCCTACCAAGATTCCCGGAATAATATATTTTCTAATTTGTTTTAAATATTACACTCAGTCATTTATTGAAACTATCTCAAAACTCCCAAAGAAATAGAACATCGAATGTAATAAAGAATGTTTTAGTTGTTATCGTTCGTTTTCAAACATAGAAATCGATATTTACTATATTTGAAACGTAAAATTTAAATAAAATCATTTCTGTTCGTTTGGGTTACATCGAGGGCTTTAACACAAAAATTGAGAATGTTCCTTAAATTATGAAAAAATATTTTTTTTTTCACATCTTTACCTTTGTATCAAAATACCTCGGTGAATATGACTACAAACCTTCATTGAAAAAGTCAGCTCAAAAAAAAAATTTCCTCTTTGTAATTTTTTCAAACAATTTATTTTTCACAGTTTCATCATTCGCCCTTTAGTCTTGTAGCTCTCGACACATAAAGTAAATGATTAAACCATTTTATAGATATATTTATATGTAATAAAGAATGTTTTACTTGTTATCGTTCGTTTTCAAACATAAAAATCGATATTTACTATATTTGAAACGTAGAATTTAAGTGGAATCAACTTTGTTCGTTTGGGTTACATCGAGGGCTTTACCACAAAAATTAAGAATGTTCCTAAAATTATGAAAAAATATTTTTTTTTTTCACATCTTTACCTTTTTATCAAAATACCTCGGTGAATATGACTACAAACCTTCATTGAAAAAGTCAGGTCTAAAAGAAATTTTCTCTTTGTAATTTCAAACAATTTATTCTTCACAGTTTCAACATTCACCCTTTAGTCTTACAGCTCTCGACACATAAAGTAAATGATTAATTAAACCATTTTATAGATTTGAATCGAATTCTTTGCAAACTTTAACTATCATTTATTCAGCTCATCATTCAGGTCAGGATGAAAGAAGCAATTGTACATTTGAAAGAATAGTTTTGGTTGTCAGAGATTTACATCGTTGTTTGCTGGCTGAATTTAACCGCCAAATTTCGAAGTCTCATGTTGGAGTTGTCAATGAAACATTACTACATTCAGAAGGTTATTAAAGTTTCTTGCGATTTCAAGGACACAGTTAAACTACATTCTATAAAAGCAAATATAACTAACTATATTAGGAAAATAATTTCAAGGAATTTGCCACACGATGGTGGAATTTCAGAATGAAGTACTCTAAATATAACATTAGATTGAAGTTTGAAAAAACTTCCCAAAACGTTTTAAATTTTTTTTAAACAGTTTTTAATAAATAATCTCAAAGGTAAAAATACTTCACAGCTGCATTACTTTTGTACTTTTTATTATTTGTTTTTTACAGCATGGACAAAATTCATTCAGCAAAATTCTTATGGATCAGCGAACATTAACGTGAATTGGATATCACGGTTTATTGAGAAGACCAAAAAGCTGAAAGAAAATGATGACCCTTTTACACTTCCTGCAAATTATTGGAAAACGTTATTGCTGGTTTCATATGAAAGAATGAAACAAGATCCGATGAATGAACTGGAAAGAATTTTAAAATTCATTGGAGTTCCTGTATTCAGAGAATATTGTTTAAAAGTACGGAATACTTTGATAACGAAAAAATATGCATTATGTGTTTTATTTTTACTGTTATCTGTTTTTAAACAAAGTAATAAACTTTCACGGAGTTATTCTTCCGCAGCAAAACTTCGGATAAACAGCTTATTGCATATAAATACATTATGATTGATAGCTAAATAATCGGATAAGTATAGCCCACTCAATTTTTACATCGAAGTTACCTGCGTAATCATCAAAGCCAAATGCTCGAACCAATTTTGACACCCGATAGTTTCTTCATTTCATACCCGCGCATTTACTCGGAGTACTTTTCAATTTAACACAGTCTTCCTAATATATTTTGGGTCGGTCGAGTATGAAAACGGCCATTAAATATATATAGCACAGGATATCATTTAAAACGGTACCGAATGGAACACTTGGGTCATCTTTTGCTGAATTTATTGCTGTTGACTGAAGCACGTTTTACTCCATTTTATTATATTTTATTTGTTTACAGAGATGGGTGTGACAACATTCTATCGTCCATTTACAATCTAGAATGATAACAAATAAATAGTCCAGCAAACGCGCTGCTGCTTTCAAGCAACGTTTGAGCTTTCAGACATGTTTCCTTTCAAAGCTCTCAGGTTTCAGAGAACCGATTATGTACCCCACATACCTTTCTATCCAGCGTTTATATAAACTCACTGAACCGAATTTTGCCAGTATTGCCTTTAGCAGTGATCAAAAGTACTGGATAGCAAAAAACACCTGTTTTCTCAATCGGGTAAAATGTTTTTAAACACCAAAAAAATTGAATTCTGGGATTGCGTACTCACTATAACCTAATACTTCACGGTCAGCTACCTCTACGTACAAAAACAAAACAACGCAAATTGATTTTTATAGAATTTTATAAAGTTGAGTAATTTTTCTTCTAAAAAGATGTTAAATATAAAAAATATTTATATAAATAGATTATTTAAACTTATAAATAAATTTACGATTCGTTATACAATATTTTAAATATTAAACCAATATGGTTTTCACACAAAATGGGGTGAGAAATAGTAAGGAAACAATGTCGAATAGCCATTCATAATTTTTACAACTTTAAATTGCAGAAAAATCCGAATGGGGAATTTCGAAGAGGAAAAGTTAAATCAGCTGAATCAATTGCATGCTTGTACGATCAACCTCAGTTGAAGACGAAAATGGATCTAACCATTCAGTATTTAATGAAATCATCAAAAAAGCTTGGAGCGGGAAACATCATTGCTAATTTTGAAAGAATCGAGAATATAGATACAAATGAAAAATGCATACCCAGTGAACTATAGGACGTCGTCTTAATAATCATATCAGATTTGTTGTCTACTTTCGGTCCGAAATTTTTTAAATCCGAACGAGAAACTGGAATACAAATCAAGTACAGAATGAGCACAGAGTACAGAAAACAACCCTAAAGGCGACGTTCATCTTACTTGCTATACTATTAGCAATTTATTTTCAATAAGAATTTGAATTAGATGTGATGCAGAATTTAATTTATTGTGTCTTACATTAATATTTGAAAAACAACATATAGTAGGATAGTTTGGGATATAATTATCCCTGTCATTTTCAGTCTTAAACAAAGCTTGATATCGCTGAATATATACTTAATTCGAATACAGAGCACTCCACCCTATGACTTGGTATCGTTTGTAGCTCTATATATGAATGAATTTGTTTGAAATGTTTGCACTGTAATAAATTAAATCATTCGCAGTGATACCAAGACAGACACATATCATGCTTCTCCACAAGTGGGGCTAACATACTATTCTATAATCATATCTTATACAAGTTATTATTTATTGCTAGTACTTTTTGTGTTTTTACTGATTGAAATTTGTAGTTGGTGTTCGAAATTGGTGATATCTAAGGATTCTTCCAAAAATTTCTAAATGTATTCTCCCGGATATACTTCAGTTCAATGCACTAGAAACTAACTTTTATCAAATTATGATTCAATATATAATTATATATTCTATATATATGACAGTTATAAATGCTACTGTGTGATAGTAACTTCTTTTGATTCAGTATTTCATTTTACATCCATATCTCTTATGCAAAAGAAAACCAAATGAAATCGGCAATCCGTGAATTAATGTAAATGATTAAATCTTCGAAACGCTAAGCAAACAGGTTCCCATCGAGGGAAGGTTGTTCTTTAATAATGTTTCATTAGATTATCAGTTGAAATTACCGTAATATACAGTCTATTTAGGAAGTAAAATTTCGTATTAATTAGGAAAGAAGATGTGTGGTATAATAAATATGTTTGGTTCCCATTGCTTTATCAGAATGAGATTGAGTACGAATTACGTTTGTTATATTATTGAATGTATAATATCAAGTTATGAGATGCCTGAGTTTTGTAAATTTCATTGTAAATTTTCTTTTTAACAGGGAGCTTGTGGCATTCAAAGGATATTTTAAAATGGTGGTTAAGCTGAAAATTGTACGATTACATTGTTAGAAATTCATCAAAGCAGTAGGAATAAACTGACTAGGTCGGTGACTGCAATTTTAATAGGCGATTAAGCAGGTAATAAGTTATTGAGCGGGCCCTGCAAGCTCGTATGTTTGTTATCGAGGCTGGCTGATCGAAATAATTGAAATTGAATCAGGGTTCTTTCTTTAATACAGCCTGTTTGGGGGCCATGTTTGTCTGCGCAAATCCTCTACTGTTAGTTTTGGGTCTTTGTACGAATGCAATTGGCTAATGTTTTAGCTTGATATCCTAAATATGGTTCCATTACATTTGAACCCGTAATTTGAAACCCATGACAATTGCACCTGCATTATATTGCACCTATGTAAAAATAAATTTTACGGATATCTGAACCGATACTAACCCTAACCTATGGATTTTAGCATTCTCATATAGATTGAACCCGTGGATATACGGGTGCAAATGTATGTACTCCTTAATATATTCTTACTGAACATGTCCGGAATATAATCAATGCCATTATATTCATGATGCTGAATATCTCAGCATTTGGCATTTTTTGTTTTTTATTCAATTTGATAAAATTGTAAATATTATGAGTTATCAGTGTGTATTCTCATGTACCAATGAAAGTTATCAAAAGATATGTACATAGGGTGATAATATAACTGTAGAAGCTTGACGGGGTGTGACCTCATGCAACCTGCTTGCTACACAAAGACGAAGGGCGCTGAACCGTGCGCCAATATTTTTCAGTCTAAACGCTCTAGTCTAGTCTATCCCAATACAGCAATATTTGTCTATGTTCGGTCCAGACATTCCTCTCCAAATTATCCCTGTCTTAAACTGAGATAAGCAAGCTGAAGTCCACAATCCCACAATACGCAACTTTAAACACAGGAGAATTGTACTGTGTCGTGAAAATATCAAGCACTTGCTCAGAACAATATATACAATCGAAATGTCAGATGGAGCCAAATGGATTACGGAAACAGATGACGAATACAGATAGAGATAGAGGTTTTCTAAAAAAAAAATACACTATAAAATGTATAAATACTATTAATTTGCCGCATAAATAACCAACATGCAATCAAATTATATCGCTTACCGACTGTTTTAGCCAAGGTCAACAATATATCGAATCTTCTATGTAACTGCAGAACAATGAAATAGACATGAACAAATGAGCACTACAGTAACAGTACTTAACCCTACACCATTGATTGTGGCAATAAAAAAAAATACCATCAACATTTCATCCAAATAAGATTACTACATAACAAGTCAATTGCAATGGAATACAGAAAACTCACCAAGAATATTTCACAAAACAATCAAATCGCTGGACAGATTCACATATTGCAGTTCGATAATCCAGAGTTCAATGCAGCAAATATTAAACTATTAGCAAGTTAAATAAGCATAAAACAAAGGAAATCATAATTAGCCCACTATAATTAATATGATACAGCTCTTCCTAATGCTAAATTTCCATAGAAGTAGCGCATTGCAATAACAATCTAGCTGTGCGCATTTTACTATTTCAGTCCTAACGCGAGGCAATTACAATAAAGATGTAAACGAGATAGCGGTCAGAGACCGCCGACCTATCGATCTTCTGCATCACTAATTATTTAATAACTCGCTAATTATACGACATAATTTATTCAAAATCAATAGGGATCTGGTCCGAGATATGATAAATGCATATACAAATTCAAGCAAATTCAATCTTGTTTTCGTGAGATATCGCGTAACATACAAAAAAGTCTAACAGACAAACACACAAACAGACAAATACCTATCAACATACTTACCGATCGAAATCGATAAGTAATAGGTAAATTGCACCAGACATGGCTTTCTCCATCCGCTCGGTCTACAGATAATAAAAAAAACATAAATGCGAGGAATGCAATGAGAAGTTTGTGACGTTAACAAAAACGGAAAGGTGCAATACGTGCCAGCTATAAAGAAATAGACACTAATGGCGCTGGAGATCTAACAATAACTGAAGCCGAATAACTAACTGATCACCGAAATTGCCAACGCTTCTTTTGCATTTAAATCTTGATTCAATTGTTCGGGAAGTATGTTAATAGGTATTTGTCTGTTTGCCTGTTAGACACTTTTGTATGTTACGCGATATCTCCCGAAAGCGAAGTGGAATCTTATTTTTGAGCTTTGAAATACTCATACAAATAAAATTGACCTTGTAGTAAAATAAAAATTATACATCAAAAAAATATGATGACGTCACCGTGGTTAAGAACACTCGGATCAAGCATGGATTATAGTTGGATGCTCAAAATGATTACATTTGTTATTGCCGACAAAATTGAAATACTTTAGACATAGCATAGGCCTGAAAATAATATATAATTGACAAATCATATTCAAAATTAATAAATTTTCCAGAATCTTGGGGTATCGGAAAAAAGGGGGTTTAAACGGTTCGGTAAAGGCGGTTCCAGAAAGTAATGCGCCAATCGATTATTTTAAACCAGTCGTCGGCAATCAGCGGGGTAATTTGAATCTGAATTTATTTGCGCACCGCCCTTCAAAAACATTTCTTTTACTTAAGTTGAAGGTCCAACTCAACTGTATGATGCAAGTTCATGTTCGATATTGATCAACGATATACATTTTTTTTGTTGACTTTCATTTTGCGAGAGTTATATCATTTCATCATACCGTGTTCAGGTTTAAAAGATGAGCAAATTGAAATTTAATGAATTACGCTAGTGTGCCTAAAGATCGATATCTCCCGACTTAGAGACAATAGAAGACTATTATTGAAAATGTTTGATCTGGAAAAATCTCTAATCGGTCGACATCAAACATCTCCGAATATATTGATAGAAATGAGTATGAGGAAATAGGTTTTCTATGCCACACTTTGGTAATCGCCGATAATTTGTATTTTTGGAAATCATTTATATACAATTTGCAGAGACAAAAGATTTCATTTATATAGCGTTAACGAGTAGGTTCCATTTGTATTGTTTACGATGATAAAATAATATTACGATGATAAAATAGCATTGTCTTATCAACGCCAATCAGCCAGGTCTTAAATTTATTTGATACGAGGAGAGCAAACCAACTACGATTACTCCTCCGTTCTATCGTCTATTTCGATCCACATGGCGGGGTCTGTATAACCATTCCATGTGATTGTTACTTGTTAGGCCAGATCCAGAATCAAAGACGAATAAAGCATGCATCTAAAGTCAAAGCGAGATTTTAGATAAACTAAACCCTGACGAAAATTCCCGCGCATGCAAAATTTCTCCGGATAAATATTTTTTGACCCCGAAACGAAAGCACTCCAATAATTACGATATAATGAAAATAAGTATGGTGGGGCGCGTGGGACAAGACGGACACGACATTTTTGCGACACCATGCCATAATCATCTATGCTGGTATCATAGAGAATTGTAAGCGTATTCAGTTGGAGGACCCTTTGTAATAGCTCGGGTGTCGGAGTTTCCAAAATGTCGTGTCCCACCTGTACCACGTGTATCATGTGTCCCACTTGTACCACGTGTCCCACTTGTCCCACGTGTCCCACTTGTACTATGTGTCCCACTTGTCATACTTGTACCACGTGTCCCACTTGTACCAGGTGTCCCACTTGTACCATGTGTCCCACTTGTTCCTGTGGTCCCACATGTACCACGTGTCCCGTTGTACCACGTTTACCATATGTTACACTTGTCCCTCGTGTCCTACTTGTACCACGTGTCTCACTTGTACCACGTGTCCCACTTGTACCATGTGTCCCACTTGTTCCACTTATCCCACTTGTACCACGTGTCCCACTTGTACCATGTGTCCCACTTGTCCCACGTGTAGCATGTGTCCAACTTGTCCCAGTGGTCGAACTTGTCCCACGTGTCCTGTTGTCCCACGTGTACCAATTGTCCCACTTGCCCCACGTGTCCCTCTTGTACCACTTGTCCCACGTGTACCATGTGTCCCACTTGTACCACGTGTTCCACTTGTACTACGTGTCCCACTTGTTCCATGTGTCCCACTTGTAACACGTGTACCACTTGTCCTACGTGTCCCACGTGTCCCAGTGGTCCCACTTGCCCCACGTGAGACAATTGGTACAGGTGGTACAAGTGGGACCCGTGAGACAAGTGGGACACGACATTTTAGAGACACCCGCTTGGGTGTAGCACTTAGCATGCAGTTGGGTATGGAACTTAGCATCCAAACAATAAATTATTAACATGGTTGCGGCGGTGTCTAAAAATTCGCCTATCGTCGATCCTTGATCTGCATATAGAAAATTTATCGGAAACATTCAAGAAATGCAAGGAACAGATATATAATTTTAATGCTAGCCAGCGGATATACTAGCGAGTCAAAGCGAGACTTTTTCTGAAAGGCATTATCTAATAACACTAATAAAATGCAAATGAAACGGCTAGTTTTATTGTAATGAATTATCTGACATATTTACTGGTAGTTACTGCTAGTTTGAGACCAATGAAACCTAAGGTTAACGTATAAAATTAAGTTACAATGATTCAAATTTTAGATTGGCTGTTGCAAGTGGGCAATGTGGCATAAAATGCATGAAGACCTGAAACCTTATATTAAAAAGTCTATTTGGGTTCATGCGCTCAATCATCGAACGAACCACAAATCATTGACACAAAGCAGAAAAACCTCAATTTAATCACCAGTGTAACAAAAAATTGTAACACCCAAGTAATGGATAACTCCTCGAAAGTATGTAAAGCAATTTTACCTTGCTGCTCTGCCAGAGGTTACTGTGTATGCTTTTTAATACTAAACTATTGCTTTTCCTTTATATTTATTTATGTTCAGCTTATTATAAATAGAAAAACGTGGGAGATATATAAAAGAGATATTCTTTTTAAGACATTTTTATTGCTGGTATTAGGGATATTGTGTTTCTATTCTTATTCCTACATACTCAATTTCTGGAAGTTTTCAATTCCAGTTGAGAGCGAGAATTGTCTAACAATTCCAACAACTCTATAATTACTACAACTGAGGGGCCAAAATGAAGTAATATGTGGCAAAGAGTTGATTTATTGAGTGAGTAGAACCTGAGTCCATTCTTTAATTGTTTTATAAATATTTATTTGCGGTATTAAATGAGATATGGATGCATGTTGCATATCTGTATTAAAAATATGAGTAATTTTGAAACAGAACTATATTGTTCAGAAGTGGTCTTTGAGGCTAGTACACTATAGTCAGCTTCCCCTTGTTCGCCACTCTACCTTACTTCATATAGGTAACGCCTGGATGTGTACACATAGAATAAGGAATACGCACAGTCTGTTGACATTGTGTTAATAGAATATCTGACTATATTTGTACTTGACCTCATTTTAATCATTTATTAACATTTTAGCAGACTGCAATCACAGATAGTATGTGAATACCGGTATCAATTCGCCGAGAGTAATGACAAATTTACGTTTCCTACACGGACCTACGGCCCAAACTAGACTAGTCAGTGCTCCCGAAAATGTAAATATGGGGATAAGGTTTCTAATTGAACAAGGAACGGGATTTTGAACAGGGAGTGTTTTCTCTGACAGAGTCTTTACCACGAAAGTTTGGAGGGCGAAATAAACATCTATAACTTTTCATTGAAATATTTTGGTGAATATGGCTTTATTAGAAAACCAGCTCAAAAAAGGAAATTTATCTTCGTAATTTTTTCGAGATTCGACTCTAATTCCTTGCTTCATATTAACTATTATTTATTCAGCTCATCATTCACGTGAGGATGAAGGAAACAATTGTACATTTGAGAGAATAGTTTTGGTTGTCAGAGATTTACATCGTTGTTCATTGGCTGAATTTAACCGCATTAAAGTCTTATGTTGAAGTTGTCAATGACACATTACTACATTCAGAGGGTTATTGAAGTATCCTTGAAATTTAGTAAAACAGTTCAAACGTTAGTTATGTCGCATGATGTAACTGTTGAGCAAGAATTTTATGTCGCAATTTCAATCTACTTTATGATGTCTCTGCCCTTATAGCTTGAAAAAATAATATTAAGACGTAAAAGATGTTAAAGAGACGTTAAAGATAGCGTTTTTAAAGGCTAACTGTGCTGTTTGGCTACAATTATTATATATTGAGTTATTATAATATTAGCGCGAGGACTATTTCACAGGCTTGTCTATGGGACATATTTTTCTGTCCCATTTCCATTCCATCCCATGGAATTCTTTCTCATTGGAATAAAATACAATAAAAACTGTTGAATTTAGGTTTAGCGTCTACTAAATAGGACTACATGTACGAATAGACATGTAAAACAACAAAATTTACGGACGTTGTTACCTTTATATTCATAACTATTATACATGTGTCCATCAGCCCTTCACGAAGTATATTGTTAATGCCGAATATATTTTGCTCTTTATAACTAACAAGCGAGCTATGCTCAAATATATGGACACAAAGTTCATAACGAAATGTTTTACCATCATGGACAAGTCTGCTATTTCATACATTCAATCATATGGTTTAATGAATATTCGTGGTCATTTAATTAAAGATAAGAATTGAACAGAAAATTTATGTCAAATAAACGTCACAATATTTCCAGAATAATCCAATTGAAACTTAAATAATAGAACTGAAAATATGCATAATTTAAACAGTTGTCATAAATCAGTGATTTTCAAGCGGTGTTCCGCGAAATTCTATTGTTCCGTCATTACAGCGGTTCCGCGTGTTTCCATTCAAATCCGAGAGTCTATATTACTATCAATATAGTGTTCAATATTCCACTATTATCTACACTATTTTCCGAACAATCTTTCAACATTATTAAACTTCTACACGTATATTATTGTAGTTTATGCAAGTCGGACGATAAAACACGATTAAACCGTTGGACAGGAGTTCTTCGAGCCTTTGAAATGTTACATTGGGGTTTCGCTCACCAGTAAAAGGTTAAAAACAACTGGGCCATAAATAGTCTAATTTATTCTGGGCAACATGCTTTTCGGTAAGGTTGGGTAATCATTCTAAGCGGCAGGATTTTCATGGTTAACTGATTAAAATTTATGATCTCGTTCCAGTTTTCTTTCGTGTACGTCAGCCGTGTTTGTCTTATAGTAGTACTTGGTCGTATATGGCGTTGTTATGGGAATATTGTCTTTACAAATATAGTCAAAATAGTTTGAGGTGCATTCACTATGTTGTAATAGACAGCTTCAGACATTACCCGTTTTGTTTAAAATCAGGAGAAATAAAATTAATTATATTTTTTCAAACTTCACTCCGGAAATTTTCCTAATTGTTTATAAAGATTAGGGGAATTTGGATATTGTGTATTGATTTGCAACTGTTTGTATTGTTGTTGTTTTCTGATAGTACTGTTTGTCTTTTGGTTTTGTATTTCGGGGTCCTTAACGCAAATACAAAACCAAAAGACAAACAGTACTATCAAAAAACAACAACAATACAAACAAATAAGGTTCAAAAACAAACAAAGAAAACTGCACACAAATAGACGAACTCCAACCCAACCACATCAGACCGGCAATTCTAAAATGATACGAACCAAATTGTCCCATTTCCATAGCATCTGAATCCAATTACAGGAAACTCAATTATAGAATAAATTCTTATGATCTTTTTATTTACAGTTATATCTTGTATTGTTTGAAGAAGTTAGACCATGTTTCGAAAGAGGTGATAAAAAAAAGATGAAACATTTTTTTCGATATTTGAGGTTATTTTTAATAACTACGTTGGGAATTTTGAGTTTCTATGTTTACAACTATAGAAGAAGTATCAAAAATACTGTCATCGAAGAATATGTCAAAAGAATCCAAGCAACAACAAATTCAACTTTGCGGGAAGCTGACAAAGAGTCAACATGGACGACTAAATGGCCAAGAGTGAATTTTGCAAGTAGGATTTCAAATGCTGGTTGTTTTCACTGTTGAGTAGGGTCATTACATTGTCTCTGGTTAAGCCAACTCATTCAAAAACTCGAAGTGTCTCGAGTAGTTTCGAGTAGTCTCGAGTAATTCGCGGATGAACCTGGAAGAGTTGGAGCGAGAAATATTTTTAGTCAAAATATTTTTAACTAAGACAGATTTAAAACTTTTCCCAATGTTGTTTTTAAACGATCCAAAGTACTATGTAGCTGAGGTATATAATATTGTCATGTGCTATCAAAACACTTTTTTTTAATCCAAAATTTTATCATGTAACAGCTTCCAATCAAAATTGCAAATCAAGTCCCACCGTCGCAGCAAGTCACGTCGGTAACGGTACAACTACAGTGGGGTCTCATCGATATCGGTATGGTAACGCCATAGAAAACCGAGTTTGCTTTGCTGAAAAGATTGATGACGGTGTCGGTCAAGCTCGCTAGAATAAAAGCCTGCACGATAGAACAAAAAGTGTTCCTTCCCCATTAATTAAAATAAAACTGTCAATTTTTAGTGAGATATCGGGCCACATAAGATCAAAGAAAGTTCTATATTTTTATCGGCAACTCAATTCAGCAAATTGAAACATATAGGTGCACTTCGCCTCCGAAAATAAGATCTTTATGCCATAATCGTCTCAGTGCACTCAATATAATAATATTAATACCTAATATTGCTTGCAAAATCCAATTTGACTCAGATTTGTTTGGCGACCCGAAACAGCAGAAACTGGTCTTGAATTTCAGAGGTCTCCGATGTGACTTGTTACGAGAATGTTCAGGTACATTAAATCAATTCAGACATATTCTCAGTAATGTGCTATAACAGGGATGGCGAACCTTTTTCAATGAATGGGTCAAAAATTATATTTTTATCGCGGAACAGAAGAGAGTGGGTCACAGATATTTAATCAATGTTTGTATCTATGAGAAACTTCTGAAACAAATCATGACACAGCGGTTGTTAATGTTGATGTTGGTGTAGTTTAGCGGTTGTTAATGTTGGTGTAGTTTAGGGCTTTACTTATACAGCACTTGTATCATGGACTTTTTATGGCACTCGAATTTATGAAATTAGAGTACGCATATGAATTACGTTTACGATGAGGCGGCAAATTATTTCACGGTTCCAAAGAGTTTGGAGGGAATTCCACTCTGATAGTGTCATATTTTTCTATCAGCTGTAACCATATTAAAAGCAATTTTACACTACCCCATTGTTTTCTAGATTTTTATTTCAAGTCTGAAAGATTTTGTATTCTCAACAGCATTGTAGGCGAGAAACCAATAAAATGCAAAGTAGCATATAGTTCTCGTATATCCCCTAAAACAGTCAGCAGATGCACTTCTGAAAAAGACAAGACGTTGCGAGAAATGAACATCAATTGCATTGGTATGTCATAAACGATGTCAGAGCCAATAGCTGAATAACGGCACGCAAAGGTGCAGACATGCGTCCAAGATTAGGGGTTTTGAAAATTAACATACCGAAAAATTAACAATTTGAATATAAGCGATCGCAGCCCTGACTTCCCAACTGACGGTACATTATAATAGTTTAGTTATTGTTAGATTAATTTAAGGCCGGTTTTATCACTGATATGTTAGCATTTTATTCGTGCCTTGGCGGGTCACGAATAAAAGACGGTGGGTCACTTTGTGACCCGCGGGTCAGTGGTTCGCCATCCCTGTGCTATAACATTGCTCTTGCTCAATAAATATATCACTCTGGACATGGGTGGGCAAACTGCGGCCAATGACAAATAATTGTGGGCTTCCGTAAGCCTCAAGTAAATATTACGATGGAAATTGAGTGCCAACAATTCAAAAAGCTAAATTATTGTCACTAAATTGGAATGAATGAAAATCGTTTACAATCAATCAGAAAAATATTAAGAGTTTTGTGATCTACAAACATTATTTATAACTTTGGCACACACCTCTGTAATACCTCCACGATGAGTCCAACAAGCCAAAACAATTGTCCATTACTGCATTAGGTAGGATGCGTGGACTAGTAATCAATTAAACTAGTTGGTACCTTTCTCTTAATATTAATGACAATTTCTGGAGAGGATTACTCAGCGTTGATTTAAGATGGTTTTGGGTCAAGTTTGTTCAATATCAGCAAAACGAATTCGTAGAGCACACGACGCGATGGCAAAAATGTTGCATGTCCATGTATCTTCGGATGTCTTAACGCTTTATTTAAATCGGTTTCGGGATTCTTTTTTTGGGTTCAGTTTATTAAAATGTGTTTTACTAATGCATTTGTATAACAACAGCCAATCAATGCAAGCAAAATACCTCACGTTTATGCGAATGTTAAAATTGAATGAATTTTGAACCAATTTATGACAAACTCATTATTACATACAATTTTCTTAAATGATGTCATATCCGTTGTCGGTATTCCATAACATATACCTAAGAACATTCACCTGAAATGGTTAATTTACGAACATAAATCGACAGATTGCAGTCACAGAGAATATATGAACAAAGGCATCAATTCACCGGAAATAATAGAAAATTCGCCTATTCCAAGAACAGGACTCGTAAGCACACCGGGTTGTGGAAACACATGGACAAGACACTTGATTGAACAGGCCACGGGACTATGGACTGGTAGTGTATACCACGACGAACAGCTTTACGAAGGGGGCTTAGATGGTGAATTTGAGAAATGCCGCACGAATTCAACTATTGTAATAAAAGGTCTGTACAAAAGCTAAATTTTTACTAGGAGGTTTAAGAAATATCTCTGTTAAAACACAGGCAAAATAGTTGCTCTTTAAACATAAATTTTTCATTCATTGATTGAAAAAATCATTACAGTATGGTTTGGAATAACTTGGATTTTGTCTTTAAATTGTGTGATATATATATATCATTTCTGTTATCACGTGTGTGTTTTATTAGTTACACGAGATTGGGATGAAAATTCCAAATGTATTAACCGTTTAGTATTATTCACGGTACCAATCCAAACAAATTTAGATTCTTAAATTTGATAGCACGTCTGAATTAGAAACTGTACCTACAGTACCTAATCCAAAACTCATTCCATTATGGCGTCTTCAATATATTACCTCTTTAAAAATAACTGAAGTTTACATGTACATATATTTAACATTTGAAACTGAAACCAAACTGATTACCAGTTTACCACAAGCTATTTTAAAAGCAATTAACTTTTCCCGTTCTAATGTATCTTTTTGACTATGAGTATGTATTTACGTAATGTGTTGCCTGGCGGTAAAAAAGAAATATGTGAGAATGACTAGTTTTGCCCCAACGTTGACATCAACCACCATAAAATTATCCTGAAGGGGCGAAATTGTTTGAATGTTAATTTATCGGAATTTCCAGAAATTCTCTTCATAGACAAAATATGTTTATTTTTCAAATAGAGTATGATTATGACCAAATAAATAAATATTTAACTGTAAAATATATAGTACTTTATTATTGGCAACAAGTTCATCAGTTGTGTATCTCTACGTTTGAAGGAATTCGACTCGCCATTAATTTTACGCAGCTCATCAACCACGCCATGCAGAGAATTGTCGGTTTGATCGTGTTATTCTTCTTGTCAGAGATCTCCATCGTGCATTTCTGTCTGAATTTAATAGACGATCATCTGGATCGCACGTCGGAGTTGCTGATTCCAAAGTATTCCCATCGAAACGTACGTATTTTCAGTCATATTTCAAAAACATTTGTTATACCACATGCTCATCACTTCTCCCATATCTCATAGGGAAATGTGTTTATCGTACTGAAAATTTTAAAATTCAAATGTATAAAGCTGTATGGGAGTGTATAGAGTCTGTACTTATATAAGCCATAAAATAGGTAAATACTTTGTGAAAATCTTTTAAAAACTTCCATTTTATATTGGAAGAGATGTCACAGGGTTTGATGAAACTGTATATGTATATATCCTTTTTCTGTTTCCATCGTATTTGAGTTCCGATTTATTCGTTTCCAAATTCCTATTTCTGTCTTGTGATATATATTTGGATGTGGAGAGAAATAAAATTTTCGGTTCAATAAGAAGCGAAATCTATTCAATTACTTTCCCTGTCAGACGAATGTCAATTATGATGGAGCACTTTACGGGTGAGCAGATACAAAGGCGGATTCAAGGTTAATCCAATGGAAAAATTTATAAATACATTTCACATCCTTATTGTAATTGTAATATTTGTAGATGTCTGAGCATAGTTATATTCATTGTAGATAGGGTTCTCTCCTTTCCTGTCAAAAAGGATTATTTGTATCACGATTGTTATTTCATTTTCAGATTCGTTCCATCAGTTTCCTGATATAGTGCCAACGTGTCAAACAGTTTATATTTTCATTCAACTTGCTGGGATTATTTAATTGAAAACTTGTAGTCGTCTCAAACTGCTATGAAACAGTGATTGAAAATCCCTTTTTTGTATTTGCCTTTCCCCATGACGTGAATGTCTGAAAGATTTTCATAGTATTATGAAATATATATTATTGCATCATACAGGTTGGACAAATATGATTTTGAAAGACGGGATTCGATTAATGAACCTTAACATTAACTGGATTGAACTTTATGTCGGCGATGACAAAAAAATGAAAAATACACAAAATCCATTCATAGCTCCTGCAAATTTTTGGAAAAATTTGTTGTTGGTATCGTATGAAAGATTGAAAAAGGATTCAGTGGAGGAATTGAGAAGAATAATAACATTTTTGAAACTTCCAGTTTTTCGAGAACACTGTTTGCAGGTATTTTTTAGTAGCCAAGTACCAATAAAAAGCGAAAAAGAACTTTATTGTCGACCCACCATTCGTAGAAAATGAACATTTTGAGAACGTCATAGGTTAATTAATCATGGGTCTTAAAATATATATTTTTTATATACAGCTCAATACGTGACCGAATGTATGCTTTTACCTATTTCAAAAATTTCTGTTGGTTATGGGATTGGTTTTTCACTTTGAAGTTTTCTGTGATCGCGTCATCAAAGATAAAAATTGCATACCATGTCGCGGTTCCGCGATCGCATTCCAGCGCTCTGGTGGTAAGACTGCCAGTACTGCAAAAGATTCGATACTACTTCGTTTTGGCCTTCGTGTAATAATTACACAAATTAATTAAAACTGATTATTGGATACGAAGTGTACATATGGGTCGTTTTTCGACACGAAGCGGACCTATGAATCGTTTCGTTTTTACGTCGTTCTTGTTTTTCTTATTTATCATTGTTGGGGAAAAATTGCCCTTCTCTTTAAATACTGGATCAATTGCTTTGAAATTTTCAGTGATTGAAGATTGTATTTTTCGCTAGAGGGCTATTATATTCATTCACTTCAAAAATTACTGTGCGCACTAGGGGATTCGTGTGTGATGACGTTATCAAAAATTGCGTACTTCGTTATGGCCTTCGCATCCACATTTGAGCATCGCCCTCTTGTTTTTATTCTGGAATAACTGACTTATAAATTTTCTAACAACGACTGCGTTTCTATTTTTAGAAAAACTCAGAAGGCGAATTTCGACGCCAAGAAAGCAAATCCCAGAAATCATTAGCATGTTTCTACGACAAACCAGAAATCAGACAAAAAATGAATCAAACTATTCAACAATTATTATCAGAATCGATTAAACTTGGAAGTGGTAACATTATTGCAGAGTTTGAGGAAATTTTCACAGCTGATTCTCATGTGACCTGTAAAAACAATTAGCTCCAGATTTGTTCGTAGTCACGATATTTTACAAAGTAGAACAGAGCCTAGCCTAGCATTCAATTTGGTTGCCACTCCGAATATCTTTAGTATATATATATATATATGAGAAACCCGTAATAAAAATATTGAGAGAGAGAACGTACTTGCTCATTACGCAACGTCACCGAGCTTTTTATTGTTTATAAAAGCAAGAATTCATGTATTCCTTTTTTTCAAATGTATACGACTGCTAACAATTTTCCCTTGTCGAGATTGACAAATGAAAAAATGCTTCGACAGGTTTAAAAATTCGGTACTCCCGAAGTATGTGTACCAAAATGGCGGACAACGGAACGTAGTATGTGTACCAGGTTAGGGTTAGGCCGTAATTTCATTCCAATTTTTCCCATTTCAGTTTTATTACGAGTTCGGGGACTAGCCAAGTGACTCTCATACCATAGCTGAAAACCTGACATTATGGTCTAACCCTATTCTGGTACATATATATATACTATGTTCCGGTGTTCGCCATCTTGGTTCACATACTTCGGGAGTACCGAAAATTTAACTATTCAATTTTCACGGACGAAGTACGAACTATAACAAGATTGCTTTTTTTTAGAATAATATTACATTTAGATAAATGTCCAAATTGTCGTGTGTTTATTTTTATTATTTAGGAGTTTAAATGAAGCTTTTTCAAATATTTCACACGAGCATATCCGCTTCTTCTGAATAGCAAATAAGGTTTGTTTTGGGTCGCATTCAAATTACACTTGTATTGGTAAATAATGTAAATGTGCTGCAAATAGCCATTGGTATATAAGGTTCTTATTAACAGTTTATAGGTCGTCCAAGATATTGTGGATATACGAATATTGGAATGCATAAATGAATCTCAAATATTTGTTATAAAACTGTTTATTATAAATCCTAAAAACTTCATTTAATAAATAAGGATATATATATTCATTGTAACCCTTCCCTAATAACTCCAGTAAATATGAGCTTACAGTATAATGCTCTTAAAGCAGTTTTTGATATAATCTAATCGGATATCTACTTCCTTGCATGAATTAATTTAATAAGTATTTTATCAAGTTATTAGACATAGAAGTGGGCGCTAGAAAGCATAAAACAAATTTGAGATGATCAACAGGAAAATAAGATATGCCCCATTGTGCCAAATACAATTTAATAGCAGATTATTGATTCTGATGCCTAGCATGATTATCCTAGGTGTTTCTTATTTGTTCCCCACTAAAGCTTTCGAAATAATTAAAATGTAATAATTAAGAGCTCACAGAGAGCACTTTCACGCCTTACATGGTCACTAATTGACGATTTGTACATTCCTTTTGTTGGTAAATACTATTATTTCACTTAACTGGACCGTGATTGAAATATAGTTTTATAGACTAGAAATGAGTCACGAAATTTTTCATTCCATAGCTGAGAATCGCCAAAAAAATGTGTCAGATCTCATGTGGCATGTTGGAACCGCGATTGCCTTAGGCAATAGTTTCTCAATTCACGACCTGATAATGTCAAGTAAATATGATTGAGTTACGAGTTTCAAGCGATTTACATCGTGGCAGTATATACGAAAGTATAGCTTTAAAAAGCGCTACATGATAAATTCCGAGAAGAACAGCACTGATTTACTGTTTTAGTGGAAGATTACTGACAATGTTGGTAATAAGTAGTTTACCTTGTCATGTGCATAGACTGAGTAAAATGGAAACATTTCAGATTTTGGTGTACTAGCCAGCTATTCGCCTATATAGAAAGTGTTTATGTAATATAATGATATTAATATTTAAATAAAATAATGGAATGTAGAAAATGTTTTAGTCAGTTTTATAGCTTGAATTAAAGTCAATCTTTTCGACTCTGAAAACATCAAACGCTACGACAATATCTGTTTACCCAATTTTTCGCTCTAATATGTAGTCATGGCAACAAGGGGCATAGAATATTTTGACTGAAATACGAAGCAAGATATTTGAAAATTAATTAATGAAATTAATTGGATTGATTCAATTTAACTTCCGGATTAGCTTCGAATGTTTTCTTTCGTGACGAAAATCGGGTTATAGCATGTATTTCCAGGCCCCGGTAGCTAGTCTACTGAAATGACTTTTGAGTTAGACAGAAAATGTGAATCACCTTGAAGGAACGATTCATAGGTTTCTGTACGAAGTAAAAATATGACGTGCTAATTTTTAAACGTCCAACAGATTAACTTATTTAATTGGCGCTTTGCTATCCAGATACGCAGGCTTTCCAAACTAATTGCCACTGAATAAAAAGATCGAAAGATATGAATTATATATCTTTGTTGTTAACCATGTTCGGTTTGCGTCAGTTTTTTCACAAAAGTCTCGCCCCTTTCGAAACAGATAATAGCTTATTATGACATTCCTTATTCTGTTAGATTTTATCAGCTGCAAATCATTGACAAATACCATTGTCATTCGGACATCCTGACATCCTTGTTTTTCAGCACAACTCAATAGTGAATTTTATTGATGGCCACAAAATTACTAAATAAAATATTGTATATTCGTATTGCGTTTGATACAATAATTTTAATAACACATTTAATTTATAGAAAGTACTGTTTATAGATATATAAACTAATTATATTGAACTGTTGTGCTTCAAAGACGATGAGAGACAATTTTTTTTCGGAATGGGCCATTTCGTCGTGAGTTTGACTGCAAGAAAATACATTGCAAACGTAGTTACATTGGTTGTATTCATGGGATGTGTACTTTACTATATATACGGAACCAATTGCGGAATAAACAGAACTAAGATATATTACAAAAGTCGGCATACACCAAAGGTTGATTATATTGACAAAAACAAGTTTAATTTTGGGAATGATAGGTTAAAAAAAATTTCATCAAGACGTGGAAAATTATTTGTTGACAATCGGAAGTTTAACCATCAGAATTATGATCATAAAATTGAAGATATCAATATAAACAAAAAGATGGTTAATGATATTAAGCAAACAAAAATAGATTTTCCTAAAAGGACATTCAAAGAAAAAACTACATCAACCGCTACAACTAGTACTACCACGACAACTACCATCCACACTTCCACGACAACTACTATTAGGAGCACCACTGTATCTCACAACAGCAAATCTAAGCATCCCGTGAAAGATGTATGGAGTGATGATTGGCCTCGGGTGAATATTTATAGTGAGTATGAGTAGTTTTTTCATTCCCATTCTACAACTTTTAACGGAATATATATACATAGACGTTTCATTTTTCTGAAGTTTCTACTTCTCTTGTCTATTTAAATGACCTTCAGGCATTCTAATAATGCGGTCTATGTTGCGTAATTTACTTATTCTAAGGATAAGTTTTTAGTCTGACACGATTGTTTCTCAAAAAATTGATGAACGTCAATCTTATGATGCTTTGTATGTTGTGTGATGGTAATTACGAGGACGAAAATAGCTATGCATAAGTAAGGTGTTTGATTTCACAACTTTCGGGTTCTGTAATTTCGAAAAAATGACATACCACGTTTTAAAACTATTCAATATTGTCAAAATTGCCAGCAGTCAATTCTTTAATTACATCTAGCTACTCTATTCAATAGTAATTAACTACAGTGAACTACCTGCAAAATTCTTCTTTCGATGTAGAACTAGTCCACCGACAACATCCAGATACACGTAAAATTCGACTTTCATCCAACTAATGTCAAAACCGAGATTACAACGTATTATAAACACACTTCACTAACATGTTATACATTGTACATGTTGCCGGCACCGCTCATAACCTCACTTTGCTCATAACCAAACCGGGATGCCACATTCACGTTACTAGAACTTAAAGATAATTTACTATTTCGTGATCTCATACTTACGGGCAATTTTTACAGCGCGCCAGAAGTCATACAAAAGCTTTTTTTTTGAATAGGTCTCAGCAAGTTAACAAAAGATAGCTTTTATTTTGTTAGTTCAGCGAAGATTCCAGACGGAATCAAAAACAAAATCAATTGTGATTCTGGTACCTGAATCGAGGCCATCACAAGACCATGCATAGAATAATCATGGTTCCATTACATTTGAACCCACGTACATTTGAACCCATGACAATTGCACCTGTATGCTATTGCACCTATGATATTTTTTTTTGTTTTTCGGATAGTTGAACCCATACTAACCCTAACCCATGTGTTTTAGCACCCGCATATAGATTAAACCTGTGGATATACACATGGGTTCAATGTACGTGGGTTCAAATGTACGGTCACCAATAATCATATTTCTGCGTGTCCGCAAACGACGTTCAGTACCAGCGGAATTTTCAGTTACATGAAATTTGATTTGTAATGGATTAATAAAATTAATACAGCTGGTAATCACCTGTATAAATGACGTGGATATCATGTTTCGCATCACAATCTATATCTTAAAATTTTATCGACTTTCCAATTGAGATACAGTCTAATCTTCTAATCATCTAGGAACCAATGTTGCAAAAATTTCCTTGTGCATTTTACAGAAACTCGTACAAATACCAGATGATACTTGAAATTTAATCTTCATTATATAAGTATGAATAGATGCTAGACTAAGCGCTGCACTGAACAACAAAACTACTCATCCGTTATTGTCTTATTGGACACGTAGTGGACATAACGATCGTTTCAATATTATGTTGTTGTTGTTCTTGTTCTTGTTCTTTGACACGTTTTTAAAAAGTCGCTTTTCTCTTTGATTACTGGACTAATTGCTTTGAAATTTTCAGTGGTTGAAGATGAAGTTTTTCTCCAGAAGGCTATTACTTTTATTTATTTCAAATATTTCTGTTAGCTCTGTAAGATTTGTTTTTGTTTGCTATGACGTCACTAAACGTTCTGCGGAAATCGGACGCCATTTTGTGTCCAACGGACCATCTTGCAATTTCAATTCACGCTGTCACAAGACAGGACCTTCTAAAGATAGAGAAGTTCTGGTACCGTAACACAGCGCGGTGACACTGAACTAACTCGTAGCTGTCAAAAGCTTGAAAATTCATACAAATATGAGAAATAAAAAGATGAAACTTGGCAGGTGGGTAGAGTTGTGTTTCTTTTAGCCATATTTGAAAGTTTCGCGTTTCTACATTTGAAGGAGGGGGAATAGGGGGTGTGCATTTCCGATACGTCGATAATATCTTTGTCAACCAATTTGCGGCCACCGTGTTTTCGTCTGTTTGATTGCTGTGATGTGGTGCTTTGTTTATAATTTAACGAGTTTTGTTCGAAATAACCGTGTTCTTGAAATATATGACGGTCAGAAATGCAATTAGAAGCCAAATGTTTTCACGCTGTCACAAGACAGGAACTTCTAAAGATAGAGTAGTTCTGGTACCGTAACACAGCGCGGTGACACTGAACTAACTCGTAGCTGTCAGAAGCTTGAAAATCCATACAAATATAAGAGATAAAAAGATGACGCTTGGCAGGTGGGTAGAGTTGTGTTGACCATCTTTGATAGTTACTTCTCTCCCCCGGGATAAATATGTAAATCCTATTCTAATACGCCGATAATATCTTTGTCAACCAATTTGCGACCACCGTGTTTTGTCTGTTTGATTGCTGTATGGCTGCGTATGCGATAGTCGCGACGCAGCAGAAACGATGATCAAGGCTTGAAATCCGTGGTCGCACACTGGTCGTTCGGTCGCAAATACGTCTTTCGAGTGCCGTACTTTGGGGATTTGTATAGCTTTAACCCTTTGTCGTAGAAAGTTAATACGAGGTTTAGCGTGTAGAATAAATGCCGCCAATGCACCCACGGTGAAAAAATTAACGGGTTAGATATATTGGTTTTTGTTTTATAGCGGTTTGAATGAAATTGTCCGCAGACTGGCTACACCACCCTGAGCCTGGTGAGTTGTCCGTGTAGTCGAATTGTTCATCAGCCCTAAACGGCTATGACAGTCACTGTACCAAAAATTGTACCCCGATTCGGCTGGTGTTAAGTTGACGCATGTTATTTAGTAACGTTTTTATGTGAAATGTTTGACTGTGGTTCGGTACCTGATCCGATAATACGGTACATAATTGACTCATATCACGAGATATTTCAACTGATGTTTCAATTGTCACAGGACCTAAAATATCTATGACAGTCCCTGTACCGTCACGGTACCCCGATACAGGTACTGGTAAGTCACCGCCGGTATGTTAGTCGTTGGTCACCGCATATGATTTTTGGGGAATTGTTCTGCGTGTCCATATATTTGAGCATTGCTCTCTTGTTTTATATACGAACTTACTGAATAGCCAAAAGATATTTTTACATAAAATTTTATTTTGATTTACAGATTGTGCTCATATGGAATTTATGAATCGTGGAATAAATTCCCACCAGCGCTTCAAAACCTGGCCATATCCCAGAACAGGAGTTGTGAGTTTCCCGGGCAGTGGTAATACTTGGACACGACATTTAATTCAACAAGCAAGTGGTTTGTGGACAGGAAGTGTTTATTCTGACCGCAGTTTATTTGCTGGAGGATTCCTAGCAGAACTTGACGAGTGTGATGATAACTCGACGGTGGCAGTTAAGGGTATCTTATGCTAATATTTTGCATTCAATATGAACTCAAAAGAATGATCAGTATATTCATTAATTGCTCAAATATTAGCTCGTTCAAGTCCAATACGATCATTGTCATTGTGTGGGGCTACATGAGCAGTATTGAAACAGAAGAGAGATCCTCGTATATATGGGCATGAATTCGAAGTAGCAGACAACCGGTGCAGCAGTGTTCACGCGATCGTGGTAACGTCACAATGTGCGCAATTTTAGATGGCGTCTTCGCATACAAAAGCGAATTCCATAGAGCCCACGGGCCTTCTAACGAAAAATACAATCTTTAACCACTGAAAATTCAAAATCAACTGGTCCAGTATAGTTAATGAGAAAAACGATTTTTTTCCTATCACGATAAGAGGAAAAATACTAATTTCAAGCATAACCACAACAACAACGATATAACGAGAATATCGGTCAGAGACCGAAGACTTATCGATCGAAAGTTAGGGGATCCCCAAAACAGCGCTCTTACTGCATAGTGACACCTTGTGTCCCATCACTAACTAATTAATAACTTGCGAATTATACGACATAATTAGCCCAAAATCAATAGGCTCCTGGTCCGAGATAAGATGAATGCATATGCAAAATCTGGAGCAGATTCAATCCCGCTTTCGTGAGATATCGCGTGCATCTAACAGACATACATACATACAGACAGACAAATACCTATCAACATACTTACCGATAAAAATCGATAAGTAATACCGGAACGATCCATATGCAAACTTTGTGTCCAATGATATTTTGATAACCAATATATTACAATACCCTATTGGGCTATCTTAGTATCATACCGCCATAATTTACTTGAACTTACTTATAATCTTATCGGTAACATTTAGTATAAATTTGGTATAACTTGAACCTTAATTTAGTGAATGAAGTGGTCCAGCCAATCACCTCCTCATTCGCCCATCTCGTAGAAATTCTGGTTGAACAATTTAGCATTTGACTAAAACTATATTCAGTTTAGCCATATCTTTTTATTATATAAATATTTTTTTCTAACTGCTTATCCTTGTTTACAAATTCGATATTCAAATTGGCAACCGTTACGAAACTCTTAATTAATATGATGGGGCCAATAATGCTTTTTATTTTCATTTTTGTTTACAACGTAAGTTATCTTAAGCTACAAGCGTTTTTCTTATTTTAATATATATATATCTGTGCTTGTATGTGCGTGTGAATTGATTTAGTACATCAAAATTAGTCAAAGCGTACCAATTCTTTTTAGCAACGCCTTTTAATTTAAATCATGTACGCTTTAAACCTTACTTGAGATCATCAGCAAATTTTTGTATATATTTATATATTTATGTATATCAATAAATTTTTATTCAGACTCCTCTCAAATAGGGTGTGATGTGCCTTTACTGCTTTACTGCAACGATGTAGCATCAAGTTGAAATGTATATTTATAAATTATCAAAGATATCATCGGCTAGATTATTTCGTAAAAGCATATGTTTAATATTTCAGCTCATTTTCCGAGACTTGATGCTTCATCGTATTGTAAGTTTGAACGTGTGATTTTGGTGATTCGAGATCCGTACCGTGCTGTACTGTCAGAATTCAATTGGAGATCGACAAGTCGGCACACTGGAGTGGCAGATCCAAGATTATTCAAATCTAAACGTAAGTTGCTTACCATGTCCTCTTCTTGACTACGAGATGGTACATGCAATCAATGACGCCTGACGTGACGCCTTTATCTTCAAACAAGACCTGCATTAGAAAGGCTGTTTAGTAAACTATTCACATAACTGACTCGAACAAATCGTATACGCTGCAAAAGTTGTGAAGTTGCAGTCTAACTTTTCATTATTATTGCAGTACGAGTCATATTTCGATTTTTCTGATATGGCAGTCTGAATTAAACCCTCTAAACGTCTCAAGATCAGAATGCTGAGTTCAAATTTCTATGTGATACTGTAGAATGCAAATACCAAAGTCAAAGTATGGCTTTAATTTTCTCCGATTCGTAGTTATGCATATAAGTAGTTTCTCATCATATGATCAAGCTCTTCGTTGGTTTCTCTTAATGTGATATGAAAATATAGAATTAAAATTTAATTCTAACTTGGCCATAAATCTGAATATTTAGTTTGGAAAGAGCATGTCGTTGCACGGACTGAAAAATGGATGGCAACAACGAAAGGTTGGATTGAAAGATATGCCGATAAAAATGCTGTATTCAAGAAGGATGAAAACCCGTATACAGCACCACCTGATGCGCACAAAAAGTTGTTGCTTGTATCATATGAACGAATGAAAAGGAACGAAACCAAAGAGATGGCCAGAATGATGAAATTTCTTGGCTTGCCATTGTACAGAAAACAATGCGTGGAGGTAATATTGATAAAAAATTGTTTTCTGTGTGGTGTTTCATTGTAATTTTCCTGTAAAACTTTCTGTAAAGAGTCCCCTTTTTTCAATATTGTCAATTTTATGGCGATTCCTCTTTTCACGCGTTTATAATATCCGTTATTTCTGTGTAATCACCGAGTATCAGAGTTGAGACGACAGTATCAATTTTATGGCGATTCCTCTTTTCACGCGTTTATAATATCCGTTATTTTTCTGTGTAATCACCGAGTATCAGAGTTGAGACGACAGTATCTGATCAATGTCAAGAACGATTGTAAAATTCAAAAACTCTTAGTTTATGACATATAATCTTATTTAAAAAATTAATTTAATCGACCCCAACTAGGTTTTCAAAATGATCGAATACTTTTCTCCTTACCTAAAGCAAACTGAATATTACAATACAAATTCATAAATATCTACTTCTAATCTAATCAAAATTCTGTTTTTACCATTTACTGGTGCTAAATTTGGACATTATGCACTACAATGTTGGCATTAATATGATCTCCAATATTCATTTTCCATATATATCGTGTCGGGTATTTTGATATATATACAAGTGCAACATTGCTTTTATACTATAGGAAGAGGCGGATGGTAATTTTCATCGAAAGACCAAACAATCCGAATCAATTAGTTGCTTGTATGAACGGCAGAACCTAAATCATGAAGTAGAAAAACGAATACACATCTTATTGAAATTTTCACAAAAGCTTGGAATAGGAAACATTGCTGCGGAATTTGAAGGACCTAGTGGAAAAGTTGGATCAGATAAATGTGCCTATCTGACAAGCGACCAATAAATGATCATAATTGTTTTATAACATCTGCTTTTATTATAGAATTAGCGTCAGAGTAACCTTATTGTGAAAAACAACGTATACCTCATTTTGATTTTCATTTTTTTTTCTATTTGCTGAAAGTGAACCTATCTATATATATATATATCGTATTTATTGAACACGTTAGTGGACATAACGATCGTTTTGCATTATTGTTGTTCTTGTTCTTATCTGTATTCTTCTTGTTATCATTATGAAAAAAACGCTTTTCTCATAGATTACAGGACCATTTGCTTTTAAATTTTTAGTGAGTGAAGATTATATTTTTCGCTAGAAGGCTATTACTTTTATTTTATTTCAAATATTCCGGTGAGCTGTATGGGATTCGTTTTTTTGTGTGCTATGTCGTCATCAAATTTTGCCACTATGTGGCGCTACGTGTCCATATATTTGAGCATAGCTCTCTTGTTTTTATCTAAGGATGAAAGTACTTTCATTCAATCTATGATCTCTATTTTACTTGATTTGTGATACAACTAGAGTTTTATCTAGTGAAATATTCACATGAGTACATATATATAATGATTGAATATGCATTGATAAATAGTTTGAAGAAAGTTTTATAACCGTTCATGTGCTCGTTTAACGCAAAGAAATACAGCGAATTTGAAATCGCAATTCACGAGGTTTAACTTCGAAATTCATTTGTTTGAGCGAAACTGCCTCACAATCTTGCACGTTGTATCACAGAAAAGCTTTAAAATGAAAGTAGTGTCGGGAGTGGTAATTTATGTTGAAATAGTCTCAGCAACGTGCAATTGACTTCTCTTTAATTTTATTACCCGACTTGAGTATTTTTTTTATTTATAACGCAAGCTTACGCAGTCGTCATTACTTCTCTAGCTTTCAATTGCACCTTTTATAGGGTGCGTGTCTGTCTATTAGACCTCCTCGAATTAATTTCATCTGATGTCGCTATACACCACTTAGAAATAGTTTTCAAGTGACTTTATTGTAAAGTTCGCACAATTGGATTGACTTATTCCTTGTAACACACTAAAGAAGTAACAATTGGAATGTCAATACTCGTACGAATTATTGACTAGAATCAAACCTCAAACGCTGTGGCCACGATTCACAATCTCTACGTGTGATCTATTTTGCGTTGTTCCTTACGAGAATATAAAACCAAAGAGCATTATTGTTTCTAATATGACCCGTGTTCTCTGTTGAGTATTTGAGCACATCCTTACTACATTTCGCTGTAATCAGGTCGCCTGCAGCTATTTATTGTTAATATCTCTTTGTCTATTTTAACAACGTTTGCGAACCAACAACACTTGAAGCATGGGATTTTTTTAATTGTGTTTATTGCCTATTCCAGTTCTTGTAAAGTCTCAGCAATTAATGGGCTTGAAAAAGTTACATTCAACCACTCCGAACGTACAGATAACGAGTTATGACTTATTGAATAGCATTTGTGGTAAATGGAAGGAATGTGACACGTTAAAATCTGAGCAACAAATAGGTTATTCTAATTTAGTGCGGAATATCGATGTTTTATATTATAATGTCTGTTCTGATATTTATCTTAAAGCTGTTTGTTCAATACCATAGGTTATACATAATATCAGCTTGGTAACTTTTATGGCCTCGAGTCATTTTTAAAAATGTTGCAGTCTGTGCTACGATGAGAGACTAATAAAAAGTTCGAAAAGGGTTGTAGCACTTTTTGTAAACTTACGACAAGGTATGCAATAAATCCCTATAATTTTAACTTTTCCTTCAATTATCACTTTACTATAAATTTGAGGAACTCTACCACAGTAACAAGAAAATGACATTTTACATTACTACCTAATTTCAAACATGTACAATAATTACCGGCATATTATTATGTGTGATAAGATGAATGAATGTGAACGAATGAAAAATGATACTTTCTAATACCTCAACTAATATCTGGGAATTGACGCTTATAACCACGACAGATGCTCTGAGTGCTTGCGAATAATTGAATTGTGGTAAAGTTGCGAGACAGAAATTATAATTCCGCTATGCACAATGACGCAACTTGGGTGACATACTGACATTCCAATATGTTTAAATTCAAATGCGAAAAATGAATAATATCGTCCTTATTCGTTTATTTTTGCATACTCCAAAAATTCAATATTCAGTATCTCTACATCGCCTTATCAATAACATATCGTCACGCTAATAACCGAATTGCGTAAGTCATTTTTAGCAGTTTTGAGAAAAACGTAAAAAACTTCAGAATGATATTGTTATGCCATTGAGAATCAATAATTTGCCATGGTTCAATTTTTTGATCGTAGCCGGATTTAAGTTAATTTGTATCCGCAGTTAAGTGACGTCATAATGGCGCACTGTGACTTAGGCAGAAATGTGTCTATGACTTGGGGACATACGCAATTTTGCAACTTTACTATATGCTTATGCACCAGTCCTGAAAACTAAACATTCCAAAAACAAATGTAATTCTCAGTATCTACAATGTCTAATCCCCAAAATAGTTAATCAGTTTCAATTACATTTCTTTTTTCTGTTTAAAAATATATATTTCATCAATATAACACGTTCTGCACACCCACCGAAATAAGACTAAGATTAAATATAAAGAATAAAACAGCAATGCACCCAATATAAAAGCCAACCAAAGTGAATTGGAGTCGGACAATGAATATCACAAGTGCACGTCTTCCTATCTATACTGTAGTATTAATTCAAATTAATACGCGCTAAGCTAGAATCCGAGATACAAAAACTCGACAATACTTCGCCGAGGTTATTTTGCCTTTGTGACGTCTCAATAGTCCTGCGGGTAACAATGATAATTCATTATGACGAAACAATTGCACAAATGTGCATGTCATACTAAATCTCCATTTTTATGGGTTTCGAAATTCTTTAAATAAAATCTGAGTTAACAGACAGGTGCCCAGCATTACATAAATACCTATTTTATAAAAAAAAAAACTCAAAATCGCCAAAAATGACTTACGCAATTCGGCTATTAGCGTGACGATATTGTGAAAATAATTAATATTATGATTTGGATCGTGTATCCAACCGTTTCATTCAAGTAACTAGAATCTTCCTTGCTTGCCTTTATTTTAGTCAAGCGTACCACCAACGTAAGGGCAGACATCGGTCACACATTGCGATTTGTGTTTGTCAATAAAGCGCAATTAGACACAATAAACAACTGTGGTGACCGATACTGTAGGCGTTTTTCAATCAATCATTTTCCCACTTACCAGAAAATTTCTCGAATTTTCAGAAAGTACGGCCATAAAATTCAACTGTGCAAATAAACAACTGTACAGACGTAGCTATGGACATATAGTGGTCGTTTATAAAAGTACATACAATGGACGTTTAATAAATGAGAGATCAAAATCGGTGTAAACTTTACCAATAAAACCTATCTTGACAAACACAATAAAATCTGGTATAGGTCAAAACTCACCATTCAGTAAATTACGCCTTTGCCTTTTAAAATAAAAAATGATGCAATATATAGGGGAAAAAGTATGAATTCGATGCTCTTAAGTTTAAATAAAATGATGAGAGGTGAGAAACGACAAAAAAAAAACAACGAATGTTAACATTGCAAGAATTATGAATTGCCTTCATATGATAATTTCAACGATATCTACCTTGTGCAATTACATATCTCGTGGAAGTCTTGCAAGGTTTGTCCCTGACCTCTGTGAAACTGCATTTAATTAAAATGATTTTTAACTGAAGCCATATTTTACGTGATCGACCCGCTATCAGTCTCAATCTTGTCACCTGCGTTTCTAGAATTTAGGTATTGCATTTTCATTTTAGTGCGTTAAGCATGACGTGTATATAAATATTGACTACAATTAAAAACAATGAGAGTTGAAATGTAGAAATTTTGTTTAGTGAGCAAACATTTGATCTACCGTAAAATTGATATCGATTTGTATGGTAAGGTTTTACCATTCTACGAATGGGTCTCATTAAAGCACTTACTGGGGTAACGTTTCAGCAAGTTCACTAATTTCATTTAGTAATACGAAATGATGTTTGTAAATTATCAAATATCGGAGATACAAATATTTTTCAAAACTGATTTATGAGTGCAGGTTCATCATTATACGTAGTACCCCGGTATGAAATAACAATACAATTTGATGTTTATTTCTACAAAGTTCGTGTGAGCTGTTTATTTGAAATGTCTTTGAATTAGGTTTCTTTTTGGTAGGTAACGAGCAAGTGTTAATCGTGTATGTTTAAGCGAATTCCTAAAGTAACACTGACATATCTTGTACATAAATTTACAGCGTATTTATCGTAATCTGAGCATACACCGCGATGTTTAGCGACTGCTTTATTGCTTGTTGGTAAACTATGGCGTAGATTGAAGTGATCATTATTACATGTACGAGATAATTGAGCAGCAGCTGGTTCGGGGGAAGTATATAAGGTGTAGAATAAAGGACTGTATGCAAGATGTCGAAAAGTTTATTTTTCGTACTGATGTGTAGCTGCTTATCAATATCATCCTGTGGTACTTCAACAGGTAATTCTATTTGATGGGATTTATTAGTATATGTACGCCTGTCTAATATCAAGTCTATAACACCATAAGTCTTCTCAAGTGTAGATAAATATATAAAAAGAATGAATCTATGAGTATGTAACGGATTTCCTACCACACATTACCACAATAAATGTAATGAGTATTGCATTTGATATAATTATCTAATTGTACTTGCAGCAAGTTTGTATCCAAACTGTCACCAAAGGTTTCAGAGTGTATTTTCACTATCCGCTTTAAACACATTATCGTCGTGATTTCATGATTGGTTTCGAATGACGTATAGAATTATATAAATATATACAATGTTTATATTTCGACCTAATAACGTAAAGGATAGAACACCCCAAACACAAATGATGTTTAAATAAATAAATCGTCAATGATTGTACGTAACATTTTAACAGAAACAACGAAAAACAAGCGTTATGTTGACAACGAGGCATCAATATTTATTTGCAATAATGGAATTAACATTACCCAATCAGATGTATGTGACGGAAAAAATAACTGTGGCAATTGGGACGATGAGTGTTTGTTGTGCGAAGGTGACTTTTGGCTTCTTACTCTATTAGTCATTTCCGTTTTGAATAAATGATTCAAAACTACGGTATAAATAAAAATTACACCAAAATTTACACACAAAAATATAACGGTCCAAGTATTTTTTCAAACAATTTCCATCATCCAAAGTTTTTGAAAAAACTGGAATAAAAGTTGATTGACTTTGAATGACTTTGTGTTAACTCAGCAATTTATTATTTGCAAATATGGAAACACCAAATATTTATATTTCCCTCATTCTGTCTAAATTTATTTAAAATGCATTTACTTATTTAATTGGCCTTTGTCGCATTTAAAAAAAAAACGATATGTTCAAACCTCTACTTTTAAAGATGCCATTACGGTGATTAGGTCAGTATTTCCACAGTCCTATTGAGACGTTTAATGTCTTATTTGTTGAAAAGGATTTATTTTTAAATATTTCGAGTAATTCATGGTCAATATGATTGTATCTATAGGTTCGTCCATACTTCTAAAATAATATTCAGTTAGTGGCCAACGTTTCCGGTTTATAGTTTGTTCTAGATAGAAACCACACCATCTCCACCTCAATGTTATTGAGCGTAACAGTGCCGGTAGAATCTGATCTATAGCCTTGTTACAGTTTTAGTGATATAATACTGATATATCTAACACATAAAACATAAATATTCATGTCTAATTTCAGAAATGGGAACTCTCTGTGATCCAGTTCCATGCGCCGTCTCCAATCAAAGTGTGAGAAGACGACAATTATGCGATGGGATTTTTGACTGCCATGACTTGTCGGATGAGTGTTTGTGTGACAGGGAAACAAGTGAGAACGCTGCAACGCACGAGTTGTGTCATTCACTACTATTAGAATCACAAAACTGCTCATCTGGTTATTTTCAATGCAAAAATAGAATAGACGGAAAAAAATCATGCTTCCCAGGTAGCATGATTTGTGACGGGAATCTAGACTGCAATACTGATCTAGACGAGCATTATTGCAAACGAGAATCGATGGTCAACGAAAACAATTGTAAGAAAAAGGTATATCAAATTGCTGACAATGGAGTGGTTTGGATGGCTTGTGAATGTGACGGTGTTGTGGAACTACCTGATGGAAGCGATGAACGGAACTGTGATCATTACTTTTATTGTACAAATGATAATGAAAGTTTTCAACAATTATTTATAGCTCACCAAGATGTATCGAAACGTGGAAACAACAACGTTTTCATTGACTGGAGGAGGTCGTTCGATGGAGTAGCTGATTGTGACAATTTAGCTGATGAGTGGCATGAACATTTTTTCTATTGTAAGGAAGACAGTTCAGAATGTCAAAAATATGGCACAAGATATACTGAATCTGCAGATTACGAAGTAGGTTCTCGTGTTTCTCTCGCTTCACAGTGGATAACAGCAATATTCACAGTTGGCGTCAATGGGACAGTAGTATTAGTTATGCTGCGTGCTTTATTATGGGAGCCTGGAAGCGGAGCTCCAAGATCGAAACGGATCCATTGGATAATGGTGCTTAGTTTATGCCTCAGTGATTTTCTCATTGGCTTACAAATCTTGGCTGTGATAATTTCAGACGCTGTGATGGCCGGGCAGTATTGGAAATATGACATATACTGGAAATCAAGTCATTTTTGTCCCGCAATGGGCACATTTGTCATCATCGGTTCTCAGGCCAATCTTTTAACTGTGTGGATGATTTCTGCTATTCGACTTTATGGCATTGTGCGACCATTTGAAGAAATCAAAGTAAGGTATATCATTCTTTTCGCCTCTCTCATGTGGACATTCGTCATTGTAGTGAGTATGATACCTCTGTTAGTCAGTATTTCGACGCTGGAAAAATATTTCACTCGAGCTGTTGCGCTTCCCACATTTTCTCAGGTAGATGCCACCGTGCTTGACAGGCAGAATTTGGAAAACTTAATAAGAAAAATAGATATTTTAAAAGTTAGATTCAAGGGTGGCAGTGCCATTCAGTCCTTTGGTATTAAGTCGATGAAATGGAGAGATTTGGAATCATACGTTTTCAAAATAAATCCAAAACTCGGTAATTGGAAATATTTTGGTATATATTCCCATACCAGTATGTGTTATCCACCTATTCTTATGTCGGCGAATGACCATGGATGGAAATACAGTCTTGGACTTCTGGTGATTGATTGTGCTTCATACACCTTTGTTGTTGTTGCCTACCTTATATTATGGAAAAAGTCAACTTCTGAATTTACGGGTTGCATTCAACCTTGTTCATCTCGAACAAACACTTCAGATCCAATTCGACGGCTCACAAGTGGAGAGATAACAGGCAGCGTGGCTCGTATGCATGAAGATGCTACCATGCGAAGACGAATTTTTTTACTGGTAGCAACTGATCTAGCAACATGGGCTCCAATTTGCATGTTGAGTTTTGTGAACGTCATTGCTCCTGACGCAAGGGTAAAATCTGTGCAGTCTTTGGCAGTTTGTGTCAGCTTAGTGCAATTTAATTCCCTTATCAATCCATTTCTTTATTCGAAGACTGTGCGTAGGGTGGCATACTCTCTAACAATCTCGCCATTTGTACACTTGTACAAAAGGTTTGTTAGAGCAAAAATTCAAAGATCGCAAAGCAGGCCTTTTCGCCAAGGTCAGGATTTACTTTCGTAATGGTGGGGAAATTGCAAGCAAATCGGAGCATATTTTCAAATTAGGAATATTTAAGGTTATTACAAAAAGTAGATGATTATTAAAAGACTTAAATATTCTCCATAAGCGTTACACACTTTCAGTACATCTTTTTACTGTGATACTCGTAACTGTGCTATAGACTTACTGCATATTAATTACATACCTCAATATAGTATTTTTAGACTTTATGCTGCGACAATGATGCACGTTGATTAATATGGCATATTTTATTCATTTATTTATTGTAGACTTCCTCGTAGGGAACTTGAATACTTTTTTTTGATCAGTTTTTTAAACTTGACGTATTTTAAATAATGAGTATAATTAAAAACGCTTTATTTATTTAATACATTGAGTTATACGGTTACTTAAGTGTTTTTCACGACATGTTTCATTTTAGCGTTGTCTCTGGTTCTCGAAATACACAAAAATTGTTACTTTATCAGCGCCTAGATACTTAACAATGAAGCTGGGAATTCAATAGCATACGTTCACGCTTCTACTGCTACTATAAACCGACTGATGGGCTCTATGATTTCAGTGGCAATCATGGCTTTGCTCTCGGACAATATGCTGTTCGATACAGCTGTTGTTTATATCTGGCTTGGATGTCAACCAGCTGTTTCGCAACTTCGAATTCTCGGTACTCCGGAAGTATGTGAACCAAGATGGCGGACACCGGAACGTAGTATGTGTACCAGGTTAGGATTAGGCCATAATTTTATTCCAATTTTCCTTATTTCAGTTCTATTACGAGTTCGGGGACTAGCGAAGTGACTCCATCAGTATTTGTATCTGAAATTGTGGCCTAACCTAAACCGGTACACATACTACGTTCCGGTGTCCGCCATCTTGGTTCACATACTCCGGGAGTACCGAATTCTCTAACAATGTTCGGGGAAAATATTCATCAATTGCGCAAGAGTTGTTTGAGTTTGTTTGACTTATATTTTTTTATCATTCAACAGGTTGACGATTTTTTTTTATCCCACAAACGTGATAACTAAAATGGTTCATATAATTTGTCGATTAACATCGATTATCTTGATGGTACTGTATCACTGATTTTGCTTATAGGCAAAAGCATGAACTTTAATCACGATCCCTTGGCATCATGAAATCATTTTCTGTCGATGTTTTAACTTGATTGGTCATCTCTAATGCTTTTTTCTGAACTTTTCGTTTGAAAAATCGTGCGGCTAATAGCGCCAAGGCAAAGAACACGCCATTTGATACAGAGAGAGCTAACACAAGATGTATCTAAACATTGAAATATTCAGAAATTTTAAAACTACGTTATAACTGAATAGTAGGAAATTATATTGTCATCGATAAATATCAAAAGACGAACCTTGCAAAGGTTCGCTGTTTATCGCCATGATATTGTGCATAATTGCCAACTTACCGCGTTGAAAGGATTTTTATCGAAAAGATGACCAGCAAGAGGCAGCATTGTCAAAGATCCCAAAGCACTCCCAAGATTGAATATAAACATGTACGCTCCAGAAACATTAGTTACTTGCGATAACCATGATACGCCTGAAATTTAAACTTACTATATTTTTGGACAACAGTTTTAAAAAAATTAGGAAGATAAAAAGGTGATTCAAAGAAAGCGTCATTTTGCATTACGCATAGAAAATAATGGCAGATGAGTTTGACATTGACCACCAAACATTTATTAGGAAGATTTTAGGTTTAGAGAACATCTATTATAGCTTTATTAAAGGTGTGCGTTTGGTATTAAAACTAATTGAATTATGAAGAATTGTATGTATTCGTCACAAAGTACATTAGACATTTGAACTTGAATCGTCAATTTTTCTATCTACAGTCATGTTCTTTTATTTTTGCAACTATTACAAATACAAACACAATACAAACCCGCAGGATACAGTGTGGATGTGGTCAGTCCGTGTGTGAATGCAACTATCCAGGTGACGAGGGCAGTTTGTTCTCCAAAGACTGACATGATAAACTGAAAATAAACACTGAATGTTAGACTATTTAGGCAGTAACATTCATCAGTATTTTGTTTCATGCACAGTTAAAATAATGCTAATTATTTTTTTCACTGAAGAAAGCATGATGGTAAATCAAACTAACAAAACCATAAACTTAGGCTAGGTTGACAAGAAAGAATTATAGCATATGAAAGTAATGTTTTGTTTTACATTACAGACTTTTGAAGGTTTAAAATAGTTTACGTACTCGATAACAAAATACCAAGGTATAAGACGTATACAGAATAAAAATTAAACCTATCTACTATCAAGCAATTGACTGATATCTTCATTGGCTAGTCAGGCTTGGGGTAGTAAGAGAGGATAATCAAAGCTTCGTACCGAATCAATTGTTGTTCCAGCAATGCAACAAAATACAATAGTCCTTGGTTGTACTCGCTTTGCAAACACAACACCCGAAAGTCTACCAATTCCAAGACCGAGCCACACCAATGAATTCGCGTAGGATGCTTGCGCAGGCTGAAGTAGTAAATGTATTAACATAAAAGCAAATCTCAGATGTTCATTCGAATTTTATTGTTGTGCACGTGTACAAGAGGATATTTGGCTAATAAAATTGCTTTCACAGCTAGATAAAAAGTTTTGAAATACACCCGGAAGGGCGCGTGCCATTTATCACAATATGAGAGTTGTTAACGTTCTAACTACACTGATGACCGTACTTACCGTAAATCCCAAATCTGAACAAAACGTGACAGAGTAAATGAAACTGTAAAAAACAGTTTCCATTCCAACGGAACAAAAATAGTATCCTGCTACTGCAATCAAAATGAATACAACGTCTTTAAATGGGTCATCTCTAACGATAGTTGATCCAGAGTTACTGGATTTCTCTCTATTAAAACGTAAAATTTTTTCTGAAATAGATACAAATTGATAGTATTAGTTTTTCATCGCAAATATAAAAAAAATACTTAACGAAAAAAATAAATAATTACTTTAATCATTGTGCCTCATGAACTTTAACAGTTTGCTTTGGCGATGTTGCACTCATACAAATATTTATTAAAAACAGCCCAAATATAATTAAATCAGTTTTGAACATACCATTATTTTGATTGGTGTCGATGCAAATTTGCCCCACTCAAATTTTAAAGCATAGTTTACTATGCAATTGCACATAAATTTGAGACTTGGAGCAAATAGACTGATGGATGAATCTAACTTGGTACTATTTTTTATATGAAAAAACTGAATTGTCATTAAAACAATTACATCACCTTCAACATCGTTATATGCCAGAAACATCATAAGTATAGAAACAGGCAACATCCAAATGGCCAGAGTATAATATGTCCATCTCAGACCACGGTCATCAACCTTCAATAATTGTTTATAATTCAGATCATCGATTATTTGCATACACTATTCGTATTGCTTGTGACGGACACCGTTGGTCAGTTAAAGATACTTTGTATTATTCAAAAATCAAGTACGACGGTAATTAACAGTAAATTATATTTATATAAAAAATTATAAAATGAAGCGATGAACAGAAATAAACACGTGCGATTGTGAAAGAGGAAAATCACAAGGAATCTAACCTATTTTTAAGCAGCAATACCCAAAGTTGAATAGAGTTAAAGAATTGCTACTAATTTGGCAACATTGATTTCGCCTAGTACCAGATCCCTGGAAACCAAAATTCTATTTATACTTGTATTAATACACAAATCCAGCTGTATTTCCACGCGTGTAAACATACCTCTATCATACTTGTATTATCAACGGTTGAATTCAAATAGGGTCTTGAAGCAAGAGAACTGTTTTCTATTTTCTGATGTTGGCACTTTGACGCAGCTGTAGAAGGAATATCACCATACATTTCCTGCATTTGTTTAGCTGAATGTAATTATATATTATCAAAGAAAACGCTTCTGCACATTGATAACTCATATTACGAAAACAGAAAATGCAGGTGTGCGGTTCATCCGGTTTGCAATTACAGAAACAATACTCACCAATCAACGGGGCAGCGAATGCCCCGATGCTATATGTAAAATTAAATAACTGAATATGAGAACGCGAACTTTTTTCATTCCAGAGTTTAAGAATGAGCGCTTGAAGACCTGGAAAAGAAACAATAAGATGAAATATTTAAGCAAAAATGTGAAACTAAAACAATTAACAAGTCATAGTTGTTATTAGTAACAAAAATTCAAACTGCAACATAAGCGTTTTTCTCGTTGGTGTTCAATCATCTTCAGCGAAGTGCGCTTATGATCAAGGCATCACCAACGAAAGTTCAGCACCAAGTGCAGCATATTTACTGCTTAAATTTGTATTTAGGAGAAAATTTACACAAACCTGCATCCAAATACCCGTATACAATTCCTCCGATTAAGTAGATCAAAAACAATAACCACAACGATTTAATGAATGGAACCACAGGGCTGGTTGTTCCCAACAGAAATGCAGCGAAACCTTTAAATCAATCGCTACATAAATATCATTCCGTTCCTTATACTTAAAATATTTTGGTATGTATGTCTTATTACGGGACGCCATGATTGTCGGCTTGAGATTTATTTTTAGCTTGGGATAAAATTGACGGCTATACATACGATAGTAAACTCGATTCTGCTAAAATATTCCAGCGAAGGAGAAATTTCCGTGGATTTTTGTAAAAGTCAGGACAAAACTGTGACATCGGTTTGAGCTTTGCTGACGAGCATAAAGACAGCAACAGTAAGCGGTTTAAAACATTACATAATGTCTCGATGAAAGCATAATTAAAAACAATAAAATGAGGTCTGTACTTGACACATTTTGTTTATGTCTAGTCGGGTTTGGGTTTGTTTATCTGTGTTCATGGTGAAGATAAACTTGGGATTGGATGTTGTCCTCGCTGAATCTGGTGGAAACGCATCTTGTGACTGAATATTTAAAATTAAAATGTCTTACCAAATGTGTACAGATGCCGAAACTTTGGATTCATTCGTCTCCTCATTACCGCACCAAATATTGACCCAATAACAACTCCAATAGATCCACCGACAAAGATATAGGAAACTGTTCCAACTGACACGCCAACATTGTCAGCAAGATGTAACAGAATTGGCCCAGCAACAGAAATGAAATATCCCTGAGTTAAGTTTGAAATGTAGGCTATAGTAACCGAATATCATGTTCCATTTCAAGAAATAGAACAGTATCCTACTATTTGTTCTTTATCAGGTCGTTACAAAATAAAGAATTTGGAATGTATGTGTACCCGACTTTTGATCCCAGGAAAAATCTTTCTATTGTGTGCTTTCGGTGAATTTTTTAATATTCGAGACAGCTGAACGGTCTTTTCAAAATCTCCAATTTCCAAAGAAGTGTTCGCAAAAGCTTCGAAACCCAATTTTAGCCTAGCCCAATCGATACAGCCTTTTCGGGACCATTCTGCAATGCTAACTAATGACTTCTATAATTTGTTCAAGAGAATTAAAAAACATGTGCGAGTGCTGTGATTTACATCTTGGCCAAACGGCGCATTGCCTCCTCACAAAGCAAGGTGCAGCTGCAGACGATATAGTCGGAAACCGCGACGATTACGATAGACAGGCGTAACGCTTTGTGGGGAAAGTTTGAAAATCCCTCATGAAGTTAAGACCTAATCACAACGTTTCAAACTCATTTTGGAAGGCAACGATTCATACTCGATAACAAATTCTTACCAAAATAAACAGAAAATAAAATTGTCAATTAGGAAGTCATTAATGCCGATATGCCCCAAAACTCTGTGGAGCAATATCTCTTTCGCAGCGGCCACGTTAAGCTTGATTTACTTACAGAAAACAAGTTCATAACAAATTACTTCAGTCATATCTGTGACATATCAGCTAGAAAGGCGAGTAGCCTACTTCCTTCAATATGAACTCTCATGGTAACAAATTAACCCGACAATAAGGTGGTCGAGCTCCGTGATCCGGTAGGTAGACATTACGTACAAATGTACAATCTTAATTTGAGAGAGCACAATGCTGAATCACCCCAATATTATGTAACGTGAGATGTTAAGAGCACGTGAAATGCTCAGGGCTGAACTAGGGAATTTATATAATATATATATATAAGTATAATATTGAAAAAAAGTACTCACCATTCCAATTCTTATAATAGATATAGACAAGGTAAGCATCAACCCAACCAGTTTATTCTGTCTAGCCATATTTCATGCGCCGTGAAATGCAAATAATTATTTGCTGAAAGGAGACGATGACTACGCTGGAAGCATTTTTTCGTTTCCCCAGTGTGCTTATAGATGAACGCACAACATATACGCAGAAACAATCCAGGTCCGTGTTCTCAGTGCAAAAGATGTCATTCCACTGCCGTTGCTATCGAATCGCCGCAGTTCGTAAATACATCAAACCAACAAGCCAAAAGCACATCAAATTGATCAAAACAAGTGAACAATATACATGTCTATAAATTAATCCCTTGGGTGAACTATAGTGCGTGACTGCGCATAAAGCAGAAACATATCACAATTGCTCACAATTCTGTATTATATTGATGTCTTCAGCATTCGATCGCATCACTAACAGTTCTTCGAAGAAACGTAATTTGATTGCATTTATCTGTCATGAGCTGGTGTGTTTGCAAACATGCATTTTCTATCAATCAATCAATCATTTATTCGTCGTCACAGAAACAACAAATGCACAAAATTAGTACAGGAAATAAATATAATAATAATGTTAGTTGTGTGACAGGAGACAGGAGACGCGAGGGACCTTGTTAGGTCTCCAAGCAGCGACACCTAAAGCGCTGTTACTGCATGGTTCAGTGTGAAAAAATAACTACATTTGCTACAAACATTGATTATGCAATAGTGAACACATTTTGACTTTTGAATTATTGAAAAACTTTGCAGCAAACGCAACTTTACTGAAATCATATAATAGAATAAAAAAAGAAAAACAAGTCGAGGATAAATTTACGGAAAAGGCATATTTGGATAAATGTATATTAGTTTATTGTTTTTCATCAAAGTGAGTTTAGATAAAATCTTTACAATCGATGAGGGGCATCAGGCTGCGTTATATTTACACCCAATTTTCACATTGGAAACGAATGCGAACGCGGAGCTGCCACAAGGAGCGCATTTTTATTATTATGATAACGTCATCGCATACACAGAACGAATCCCATAGCGTCCACAGAAATTTTAAATAATTGAAAGTAATAGCTTTCTAGCGACAACAACCATCTTTAACCACTGAAAAATTTAAAACAATTACACAAACAACAACATATTAACAAGAGAGCTATGTTCAGATATATGGACACGAAATATTCAAAAATCAAACGGTATCCTGAACGAAGCTGAACAGTTACCAGTAACTGTTTCAGGGTACCAGTAAGTTGGGAAATTCAATTCAACTGCACTTTCTAACCAAAATATAAATGTAAGTTCAAAATTTTCGAAGTCAGGCAATTATGCCAATGTACAATTTTTGTCCGAGGTTATGCAATTGGTGAATAAAATGCAATTTATTTCACTACCATACATTTGATATGCTCGGCACTTACGGTATCAGAACCGGAGTATAATATTATTTCCTGTTTATAATACAGTAATCAGGTAATAGTCTTGTTTCGGAAGCTCTCATTTTCAAAATAAAACTCGCGACTTACCGTACTTGAAGTTTAGTTTATTTCTACTAGTATTTTGATACACTCTTCTAGTTTATTTCTAAATTCATGCTTTCCCTTTACCATTCTGCTGCCTTTTCATCCGATTAAAGTGGATCCAGAACTTTCTTCGCCATTGCCAGCTCCACTGTCGACTTGATCCAGTGATCCAGAGTACCTGAAATATATAATTTTGGAATTTATCGTGTAATCAAACAAATATTTTTACCTATGTATGTTACATGGACCCAGCCTTACAAAAAGTATTTACTGTATTTTTAATTTCACCCAATATATCAAAGGGCGAGCTTTTGCTAAAATATTGACCTAAATCTAAAATTTTAGGTATCATTCTCTTATTAAATGACAATTGTCCTGCTATATGCATTTACAATCAGTCATGCTTCCAATGCAAAGCTCATATTGTCTTTTCCCACCATGACCTCTTTATTACCTATTTACTACTATGAGTTGTTTCTTTTTACATATTTGATTCATCTCTGATTGACCCACTGTGTGAATGAGAGGATATCATGTAAGAAGAAACCATGCATAGTTCATGCACTGTGATGTCATGTAATATAGTCAGTTATATATTGGTAATATTTGAGCCTGATCTAAGTTACTAAGATCTTGGTCTCTGGCACCCTTAATAACATCATTTTAATGTTAAACCATATTCAATTGTAAATTTTTTTTTTATTTTTATCTTTGTACATTTGGCATCGTTATGTCATAAACTGACTGACATTAGATTTTTAACAATCTATCTACCTTTGCTTTTTCCATGTTCTGTATGAAGTGGTTAGTTCCACATGAAATTTAATCCTACCTTGATCTTGTAGAATACCATTTATTCATTGATCATGTGCCTTCCAGTTACACACTGAAGTTCAATTTTCTTACCATAAAAGGTTAAATTATTTATGACTACCGGTACTACCGTTGCATGCATACCATACTACTGGTAGGCTTCCTGTTCGTGAAACTTCATTTTTACCATTGATACCTAAACAACTGTAGCCCTGCACCATACAATGTCCTACATACGACCACAGTCACTTCACAATGGTACCATTGTTACTTTACCTCAAAGCAGCTATCGTCATGGCTACTTAGATAATTGGTGCACGGAGTCGTTTCTTGTTTTGTTGTTGTTGAAACGCGAGATTACTGGGCATACCTGGTTGGAATGCCTTGACGTATTTATATTTATTTTCAAATTAACGTATATATGATACTGTATATACACAGTTCGACTTTTTTTTTGTTATTATTTCCTTGTTAGACTTGCTTATGGGTGCCGCTGCTCGATAACCAAATTTGGTTTCTCGCGGCTCCCCTCACCCTGAAATGCCTTTTATTTATATTGCAATTTGTATATCAAGTGTGCATTTAGTATGGTGAGAAAATAAACTACTGATTACTGATTACTACTGACTGTAGAAACCGTGCGTGGGTGAGCGAACACGTACTACTTCTTTTATCAATACCTTCCCACCTAAAATCTGTACGCTTTAATTCTTACATGAGGTTTTGTTTGCTTTCCCGATTCTATAATCAGTTTTATTTATTTTGTTTCTATCAATTATTTTATCGTCTATTGTTGATTATGGAGTCGAATTAACTTATAGGCTACTGGTTGTCAAAATGATACGAGACGGAACAGTTTTGTATGGTCTGGCTGCTGAGCGGCAAAGAACTTCACCCATCTATTTGACACGTCACCAGTTAAGCATGAAAGTTTACTGCGAACCTTCCTCAGCCTTCATACAGTTTCCACTGACTTTCCAGTGGTTCCCAAACTTTTTGAAAAAAATTCCATGACGGACCCCTTGCAATTTTTTTAATGATTCCCGCCTTGTGCATTAAAACAAAACATTAAAAGACAAGAGAGCTACGCACAAATATATGGACACGTTAGACCAGAGCGAATCAGTCCTTACCGGTACCTTCGACGCTACCGGTACCCTCAAAAAAGTTCTGAATTTCCAGTAGCAAGAATTTTGCAGAATCAAAACGTACAGCCAGTCATGACACTGACTAAAATCCGTGTTCCCATGGATAAAAAATAATACAGCAAAATTTTAGACGAAATATCAAATTTCATAGAATTCACGCAAAATTTTGAAAAAAATAAAAGTAATAGCCTTCTAGCAAAAAAATTAATCTTTAACCACTGAAAATTTCAAAGCAATTGGTCCAGTATTCGAAGAGAAAAGCGACTTTTTAAAAACGTGTCAAAGAACAAGAACAACAACAACATAATATTGAAACGATCGTTATGTCCACTACGTGTCCAATAACAACAAAAATCAATGCACCGTATAGTGAAGCAAACAAAAGAATATAAGACTCAACTCTTATAACATGTATGACATCCACTCTGTTTCGATATTTGGTAAACATGCAAAAGGGCACCGCCAGCTACAGCTCTGCAGTTAGTAAACCTGTGGTGGCAGGAATTGAACTCTCTCTGTGATATCACAGGCACACAGCTCTGTGACATCACAATGGGAAGCGTGATTGAAGTGAAGAATCAGTGTCTCCAGCGTTGATTGCAAAGCAGCAAATGGCGACGAATGTGTATTTGCAAATTTGGGCACTTAATTTTGGTATTATCAAGCTGTTAGCCATATTACGGATTTGTTTCGCGGACCCTTCGAAATTGCTTCACGGACCCCAAAAGGTCCGCGGACCCTAGTTTGGGAACCACTGCTTTATACAGATGTAATCGTTTTTATTTAAAAAAAAATATTCGCGTGAATTATATCCGTTTTAGAACGGAGCCGACACGCTTATATGGCCTTCTATTTTAGAATGCCATGGTTGTCAGTAAATTCCGGGTCAACCGCGGCCCAGCCCGGGACGTCAGACGTCAATTCCGGGACGGTTGGTAGCCCTACCGGAGGGAAATATTGTTCCAAGCCCCCGAATGTGATTTTTACGAACAGGGGTCGATAAGTTATTGTTACCTCTTTTCTAATCTAAAACTGATTTAGAAAAGCAATAGTCAACTGGTTTCCGAATATTTTGTTTGTTGTTTCGCGGAACTGATATTCGCAAGCTACCTGTAAATCCTCGTCGTATCCGACCAACGGATAGTTTTTACTTGAGACTAAAAGGTAAACACTGTTTAGTAAATCTATCTGAACGCAGTCTCGAGCAACTCTACTCACCGACCAGTGGTTACGTGAAACACCCTACGGCGGCGAGGAATCCAGCAATTCTCCCGCACATAACCATCTCTGCATGGGATTCGAACCCACGCAGAGTAATCAGAGGTGCGGTGGCGAACGTATTCCTAACGCTTAGCACGATGAGCCACACCGCAACGCCAATAGAGAAACCAGTTTAATAAAATTCATTTTTCAATAAGACGCAAATATTGCGATATGAAAAGCAGAAATATATATTGTTACGATAGCCAAAGTCCAACTCAGTTCAAGAGCTCCGCAAATAATCTACGACTGCAAAGCATTTATACGCGCTCCCAAAACCTCTCATGCTGTCTATGATACACCTGAAATATGCAGCTCTAAATATTGTTGTTTTAAATGATATTTTAATCCAAGTTAACAGAATCTCCAGTTATTATTAAATGTAATCCAAAAAGGCAAATATACAGGAATTGATCCAGCCAATAGTTCTACGATAAACAGATAAAGCAGATGGGCAAACTTACTATGTGCGCCCCCCGGTTAGGTCTTGACCAATAATTCAAGTTAGTGAACCACTGCCCGCTAGCAGTAATAGAAACACACTATATGAAAACCATCTATTGGTGGGCCCCAGTAACATATTTATTTTACCAGTTGATGTACCGATACAAGTAAACGTTCTTTTATAACTTGCATTAATACACGCGTCACTTGAGTTCTTGTTGTATTTTGTATAATGTTTCAATGCGTTTGGCTTCTATCGCGCTTACGCCGGCCATCCATCTGTACATGGAAAATAGTGTACTAATGCATAGTGAATAGACAACATTGACACCATGCTGACCAAACAAAATTGATAAAACCTGTAATAAATTGCTCTAAACACGATCACACTGCCTGTGCTGCAAAGTTGGATATACATATGCAGAATTTGATAGAAATAAAATACACAATTAATATAAAAAGGTACATGGAACTAAAGCATATTGAAGTGCTTGCTGCTAACCAAAATCAACAAAGGAATTAGACAAAAAAAAATACACGTGAAAGCTAAATATCACAGAGAACATAGTAATGGATTACACATGCAGGTGTACAAAAGAAGGGTATCATAATATCAAAGCAAATGGAGGTACTCCTGACGCAACTTCTGAATTCTGGTAATGTTTAACTTGAAGTGTTTTAACTCGACAATTATATATCCAATATTCAAGAGGGATGGAGACTAACGGAATATTGTAACACATGACTTTTATGACTCCATGTAAATTCAAGTTAAAATGTGAGTTTTACACAAAAATACGAAGAGAAAAGATAATCACACATTTCAACTTGGGAAGGGAAGTGGCGAGGAACCAAAGCTGGTTATTGAGCAGTGACACCCAAGGATCTAATTAATAAGATCGAGAAGTTCAGTTACTGTTATAAATAATTATCTGAAAGTGGGAAAAATAAAGCACATAAATGTTGGACAAAGACAATCAGTGGAATTAAATAGATCAATAGACAGATATAACATATCTTTGATTTCCTACAGAAGCACCACAACATAATTGAGTTTCCAAACTCAAATTATAACATTTATGATACTACTGGGCATAGGGATTACTAAAAAGTTTGTAAAAATAAAATAATAATTGAATTTAAATTGATCAAAACAAGGTACAGAGAAAGATTTATGTCAGATCATCAAAAACTTTAGCTAAGTCTTCAGGCACGATATCCACAGTCTACCATTTGATGCTGCTGATAAGTGTTTCGCAACACAGATTAATCATCCAGGTCCAGAAGGTTGCTGATGAAGTTCATTATGTTGAAAACCTAATGTATACCGTATATAGAAAAGTGTTCACAAGAATCACAACTACACCAAGGATATCAGGAGTTATATGTACAATTAACCTGTATTCCTTGCAAAGTTGAAAGGTTAAAATAATATAACCATAACTAACATCAGAACTATTCACATTCTGATCCACAGAAAATGTCAATACTTTCATTATGATTATATAATCTTCATATTATTGTATATTCAGCTTTCCAGACATGATTACTCAATACTGGTATTAAAATTTAAAATAATGATTTCTCTGGTACTCCCATTAGTTCCATAGTATGTGTACCAGGTTAGGGTTAGGCCATAATTTTATTCCGATTTTCCTTATTTTAGTTCTATACTGAGTTCGGGGACTGTTTGTGTTAGCCAAGTGAATATACCTCCTGTCCAAAGGCGTCCAAACTTGATGTAAAGTAGGTGAACAAAATTAGTTACCTCCATATTGGTACACATACTTCTGGAGCGCCGATTTTCCGACCCCAAATGTGTGGACAAAGGATGACATCATGACAGGGACATGATTGATAAAATATTTTGTATTGATTAAAAAAAATATCTTCACTGCAAAACTAATAAATAGTAAACTGAAAAGACAACAACAGCGTATGGATGATTTCTAATATTTCTATCAGTTTCTTAAACGTACTTGCTTATTTGAAAAAGTTCTAGGTAATGGCATATGATGTATTTTTGGTAAGTCAAAAAAAAGTTATTAATGATATTTTTACTTTGTATAAATTATCAATCATATCTATTTAATAACTGCTAAAGCCATTTATTATATCACCATCTCCACCTACTTCTGCCTCCTCGTCCAGTATCAGACGATACTTGTTGATGCCTTTCTGGGCCTGAAACAAAAAACGCCAGCTCAGTAATTTGACAATATAAAAGTCATAAAATAAAGGTCCCTTCTTTCAAGAAGTTGAGAGATAGATAAAATATCCTATGATTATATTAAAATATTCATAATTATCTATATTACTAATCGCACTACTATATTGTTCAGTTTGTTCAAGACATATATTACTCATGGCTTGAAGACATTTATGACAATAGTAAGTTATTATTATTATTAATTACGGGTACTATAGGACAGTTGTTAGGAACTTTTTTTCGAGCAACCCAAATCTTTTTAAAAATAAATTTTGTGAGATCTCACGAGTCTTGACCTAAATACATTCTCACATACTAAGAGACATGTAGTTTTTTTTTAGGGCCGCAAACTCAATGACTTAGGTATATAGAACAATCCTTTTTACATAACATTATTTCCCCAGAAATTACCCCAAAGTAAAACGGCAGTGGTTGTTTGCCACCAGTGAGTTTTCAGAATGGTGATGTGGCATTACTTAGCAATGGTTTTTACAAATTAATAATCCCCACCCAGTTTCCACGTCTACAATTACTATTGAACAATATTTCAATACAAAAAAAGAAACAATAAAATTCGCTAGATAATAAAATTAGTAATAAAATTGAAAAACATTGACCATAGGTTGGAAAACATGCTAAACGACTAATACTTATTCACACCCAGACAATACCAGGTTACACCAATAAACATTTTCTGATTTCTTTAATTTCATTCATAATTCAAGTAGGCCTATTCAACTTTTTGTCTCAAGATCCTCAAATTACGTATTAATAAGTAATAAAATGTTTATTCTCACCTCCTCTTGCTTCATTTGGACCACCATTTCTATCTAAAAACTCATCTAAAAGTTTTTCGATTTCATTACTGATTTCAGCATATCTTTGCACTAAACATAAATAAATCAGTTTATTAGATTACATTATCAGACAATAACAAAAAGATTACTGGCACAACAATGTAACATGTAATTTCCCTTCTTTATTAAAAGCCAATAAAAAATCCTAAAATTTGGTAAATTGTTAACTGTAAACACAAATAATTCATCATGCAGAATGTTGAGATAGACATTTTCAGCTTTTATATACCGTATTTCCCGGCGAATAATTCTACCCGGTAAATAAGACGAGGCCCGTTTTTAAGCCTGAAAAAATGGGTTTTTGCATATAACCGGCCAATAAGACGGGTAGTAAAAATGCATCAACATTGGAATCTCAAATTACCATGCAAAGGCTTTTGAGCAGTCGCTTTGTTTGCGCATTGGTTAAAATAGCCTATAATGACTTTTTCTTGAGCGTAATATACAATCCATCACAACTACGGGAATTCAAACAGTCTTTCAATTTCAATCTAACTGTGTTCACGTAACTCGCGATTGCGTCCACCATATAAGTACATTACAGATCTAAAATAACACGACAATCTGCGGACATAATAATGTGAGATAAACTACTTGATTATATTTAGTTTTTATAAATAAATATAAAGTGTATATATGATAATCACAGCATTGGAATTCCAGATTCACAGAGCGAGAATGCCGATTTATCTAAACTAACCTGATGAGGATGTGGGGAATGCTATCGCCGAGGATATTTTATGGTCCGAATTAAATAACAAGGCGACACCAAAAAAACGACGATTATCATACTCGCCTAATGAGACGACTCCCCCAAAATCAGGCCAAAAAATTGGGTTCAGAAAAGCGACTGAGTTGCCGGGAAATATGGTATATGGGAAAATTTTGGTCCACAGAATAAGTAGGATCTGACATTTATCTCAGAAGAGATAAAAGAGGAAGACAACTAGTACGATGAACAACGGATTTTAGACATGGGATTAGATGGTTATACTTATTTCATTCCAATTTTTCTCTAATCCAGGACGTGCAACAGGCAACCCAGCCTGCCAAGCAATTTTGTGTGGCCCTTGTCGCCTTGTCTACATTCAGATTTTTCCTCATCAAGCATAAAATCCTAATCTGACAGTTTATGACTGATGAACATTTGACCAGTCAGTTATAGGTTACTACAACTTCTTCAAGTCTGATGTTATCAAACTATGCTTCGTGCATCTGACAATTTTTTAGTTCGCTGTGTACATTAAAAAACTAAATTTTTTGTGTGGCCCGGCTAGATTTCTGAAATTGGTTATATGGCCCACCGACAAAAAAGTTGCTCACCCCTGCTCTGCATAATACATATTTGGTGGATGAAATCACAACTGACTTCATGCGTTCACAAATGGTGTGACAAAACAACCCACTGGTTGGTTGACTGATTTAAAAGTAAGTGGATTAAAAATAGAAATTTACCCAACTGCAATATAACTTTGGTTTTAGCAGATAGGATAGGATTTACATATTTATCCCGGGGGAGAGGAAAGCCGATAAGACAGCTTAATTATATGACGAACCCTGGCCTCTCGTCTGGTTACCAGTCCAGGTCGGGTATGGGATTTGTTAGCCAGTTATTTGTTTTCAATAGAATAGACTTAATGGTGGAGAAAGCTGTAACCGACCAGCGGTTACGTGAACCACCCTACGGCGGCGAGGAGTCCAGCAATCCTCTCGCACATGATCATCTCCGCATGGGATTCGAACCTGCGAGCCCTCAAAGGTAATCAGAGATGCGATGGCGAGCGTATTCCTAACGCTTAGCACGATGCGCCACACTGCCGAGCCAAGATATTAACCCTTTTTTCCCGCTGTATACAATCGACTTTTTGTACCATTTTATAATATGTAATGACCAGTTAACCAAACGTACAAGGAACACCCCCAATATCTCTTTAAAAAGCTTATTTTCGCGTCTTCCTACTAAAACGCGCCCAAATGACGTAGGCGCAAACCGTTCGACCCTACGCCGGTAAGAAGAGAGAAATTTCAAAAACTTTGAGAGAACGTTTCACACTCTTATCGCTTCGATGAACACGTGTTACAAAGAAACGAAATTCCAAGCGCTCTTCTGAAAGAGCGATACGTCACCTTTGCAGAAAAACCAGACTCAGCTTCGCAAGCGAAGCGCGAAATAATCAATGATATGTGAGAGCATGTCCACGATAGTTGTCTGAAATCTTTGTTTGTATATTATGTGCGCGAAATTGTTTCCCGCTCGTTCAAATGACTTATTTTTGAAGTAATGACAAATACTTTCGTGTATCTCTAAGCTTTGAAATACCTACACAAATAAAATTCACTTAGTAGTAAAATAAAAAATTTACAAAAAAAAAATGTTGACAGATCAAGCACGGATCATAGTTGGATGCCTAAAATGATTTTAGTTAGTGTGGAATACTTCACAAAACATGAACATAAACGTATAATAGTCCGAAAAAAAAATATTATGACCAAGGATGGTAGTACGAATATATTCGTCATACGGAACAAAAGAGTTAAACAAGAACAGTCAATGAAAATATGAACTGACTGCAATGATATTACATTTTCACTGTTGATATATCATCACTTGATCAAAACAATAACTTACACATTGATTTTCTTTTCCATGTCATGAACATTTGGAAACACTGCTCATCTACATCATTACTGTAATCTGCCATGATTGATGCAATTTCCGTGTCTGAAACCTTAAGTTTCGTCTTAACAAAGTGATTTCTCTGTTCTTTATGGATATTCCGCATAACTTCATAAAATTTTTTCGCAATATATCGATCTGAGTGAAATTAGTTGATGTTTTTTGTTGAAAAGAATAAAAAAAGTATCCATGAAATTGATAAGCAAAAATTTCAAGCCATTTTAAGCCTTCAATTTCTGAGGGTCAGACATTTGAAATAAGAAACAAACACAATCATGTGTGCTAACATCTATATCAATAATATACGCAAAACCGTAGACAGATAAAATGTACTAAAAGATTCTGTTATAGGGAAATATCCAATTGCTATGCCAAGAACAACCTAGATAAACTGAACTGCAGTGATAACTCAGTAGTAGAACATACTGGTAATTCGTTCAAGATTGGTGTTCGACTAATGATTTTTTCGAGTACCGAAACTTTTTTGTCATGGAAAAAATGATAATTATTTTAATTCCAAAATACCCAAAATATTAACAAAATGTGTAACCCTACCCAAATAACAATAATTACTTGAATGTGTATATAATCAAGAGTAATAATAAAGACAATTTTGTATCAGTTGCTGTAAGTTTGAGCAAATTTCTGTGGGCTATATTGGATTCGTTTTTTTGTGTGTGATGAGCCTCACATTCTGACGATTTCGATTCAGTCATGAAGAATCCCGTACTGGTAGTCTACTGTGCCAGATTGCATTCCACTTGGGGTGACATCATCTCACTGGGGTGCTCGAGCACCGAATTTCCGTTAGAGTACCGCTGCATGCGACATCTTTGACTTCATTTTTTGGTCGACTACCGAATTGTTCGAGTATAGAGTCGCTCGACTACCGAGGTATCACTGTATACTTATCGCGGTTTCAAATTCAGATTCGTCAATATTTTTGTGACTTTGTCAGTTGCAAAGACAACACAAATCATATCCAATACAAAAAAATAGGCCTCCTAGTATCAAAATATCTACACCAATTCGATAAGGAGCATACTTTCTTGCAGAGAACCCTGAAGTTTTTGATTTAGAAGTTGAGGACTAACATTTCCCATCACTTCTCTCCAGGCTAAATCCAAACATTCAATCACCTCATCATCTCTCTTCTTGTATCCTGTAATCACAAAACAATAAGATCAAAAACTTTCTACGATTATTTCATTTTGTATCATAATTGGCAGGCAGCCGTGTGCGGCGTGGCAATATATTATTCGCCATCCCATTGGCCCGTTTGTTTCCCGCGGGTACGCTAAATGTGTTGCTAGCAAAATTCATTGAGAAGACTATGATACCTGTAACAGTTGAAACAAAAGAAAATGAAAAACTAAAAAAATTTTCGTACATTACGTTATTTCTCAACTAATACCTCAGAGCATACATCAGCATCAAATGCTGAAATGCCACATGCAGATAAAGTTCTACCTGAACTCTTTATTACCATAGTAACTTTTCCAGCGAGATAACATCTGGTATTTCTGTTCAGTCAAATCATTTGAATCATAAAATAATTCGTCGATGTCAGTCTCTGGTAACCCCAGTATTCGAATGAATTCCCACCATTGCTTGCTAGAAAATTTCTTAATGAAGGAATAATAGTTCTCTGCAAGATTTGATTCTGCACTAAAAAAAAACAGCAAGATTATAGTTGGTAACATAGGACTTCATATCTGAACCATTACATAAAATAATCTCTGCTCATGACTTGAAGCACTAAAGTTTGATATTTAATCAATTCAAGTGCAATATGTTGAAAGAATATAATAAAATTTAGATTCTTATTTGCATATAAAGAGTATATAACTTGGAAACTGAAGCGAATTCCATTTCAACGACATGATGGCCTGAACAATTTAATATTTCAGATGCATTATTATCAACATTGCTATAAAGAGTTGAATTTTCAACTTGCAATCCTATTACACAAGTATACCTGTAACTGTATAGCGTCATACAGTCATACTCTAATATCAAAATACTGAAATATATACAAATTATAGTTTTTTATTGTTTATTTCAGAAGAAATGTGAAATGAGATGGCTCAACAAAAATATTACCTGGCCATGACTTCAACTTCAAAAGCTTGTAAACTTGTAAAAACTAGGTCGGTACATAAAACTGACTTTTACATGCAGTTTTACTATTGCAGTATTTTCAGATTGTAGGTAGACTACCGCACTACAGCACTACAGTCAGGCAGTAGCGTACTGTCAGGTTTCGTTGTAGAACTTTAGACCAGCTGACCAGTGTGTTGGTACACTAGCTTATCGTAGTCTAACGTTATACCTATTGGTTCATAAACTGCTAATAGAATTTAACTTGAGCATTGGTTTTTGATATTTTCCCCAGGTAAAAATATGAGATACCGGTACCGTACCGTACCGCACCGCACAGGTGAATCACGAAATTATAGCTATACAAAGGTCAGAAGGTAGCGTACGGTACCGGTAACGATAATTCGCAACCATTCAACAGTCAGTTAGTTCAATGAAAACAACAAAAACATATCATGACACTTCCGTTTTTTTCGGCAAAACCAAAAAATGGCAAATTACAACTTGTCTTGTATATTGTTGGTCACGTGACCACTGATGATCGTATCTCAGGCAAAAATAAATGATATTACCGTGTTTCCCCGAAAATTAGACTGGGTATTATTTCAATTTTCATCCAAAAAATACCACTAGGGCTTATTTTCAAGGGATGTCTTTTATTTTCATTTATCAAAAACAAAATTATAAAGTAGAGAATTACGAGATTTTCAAATATATAAAATATGAAAACCGATATCCATTTACTTCAAAATACCTTCAAAACATGTTATTAATCATTCAAAACACCTAGGCGAGATTTCTTGCTATCGACTAGGTCAAAAAAAAAAAAAATTCGCGTTATTGACTAGGACTAGGTCTTATTTTAGGGGGAGGGCTTATATTTGGGGAAACACGGTAGATAGTTTATTTTGAAAACTCCATAATAAAAAATTCTAGAGAACGAGCAAAACCTTCAAGTTCAAAACATGAAAATATTATGTGCCTACTCACCAACACACACACAAACCTAGTTAAAAGACGAGAGAGAGAGAGAGATTTTCGGGTTTCGGTCCTCATGAAACATAGTAGCCTACACCAGGGCTACTCAACTATTTTCACTAAAGGTCCATTTAGAAAACTTCAAGCTTACTGGGATTCGGACATCACAGAAAATTTATTTCATTGAATAAACGAAACTTCAAATGCAATATTAAATTAAAAACAAGAGCAAGGAATACATCACAAATATGGATACAAATGTCGCACATCAGTACCAGTACGACAAACTGTGTAGTTGTGTATTTAAATGGTATCAAAAATCATCTAAAACTTTTTTACTATCCGATTTGTGACTCAGACCACCACTTTTAAAAAAAACTTTTTTTTTAATCGCCAATGCAAGCTCTTTAAATAAGCTTTCCAACTAGCCGTCAGTGGGCAGCAGAGGATCATTAGTTTTTCGTTAGTCGATCGATTAGTTGTGGGGGTACAAATGCATAAAATCGGCGTAGCAAATACGATTATTTAATAAAAAATAAAAATCGCATGGTTTATTTTTTGGTTAATTCAATGCAGTACTTGAAGCACGTATGTCTAATTCGAATTTATTATTCGAATATCGCGAACTTCGATTATCGTTTTTCGTGTTTGTAAGAATACCGAATATGGTGCACATATCCTAGCACCGCCGTCAACGTTTGGATTTGAAACATTTTACAATTATTTCATTTTTTATTGTAATCGAAGTCAATCGTAAGTGGGTATGAAAGGATTTCAATTAGCGCTGACTTGAATTTTGTCGAGATAGTTTGTGCGGCCTCGGCAATAAATCTAATAGCAAAATGTGTTGCAATTAATTGTTTTCATTCTTTCATTTCGATAGTGATCGAACACGAGGGCAAATTTCTTGCAATTTAGAGCGTATAAAATATCTCCTAAATAATATTTAGTATCTATCGCGGCGTCGTTGATGACAATATCGTTCAGTTTAAGTTGACGATTAATTTATATTCGAAAATAAAATCATAACAGCCATGAATGAAATATTTAAATCAGCGCCGACTCACAAAATAGAAGAATATATGCGGTCTTAATTCTCTTTTATTGGCAGAAGAGAATTTGGGAATCAGGTTCACTCATTTGATAATGACGATGATCTCGTAATTACATTTACGTTTTTCGGAATCAACAAATGGTGTCGTGAGCAATATAAAAATGCCAATTAGCTATCTGCCATCCCATCGCCCCATTCGTTTCCCGCGGGTACGTACATTAAGTTTCATTAAGTTTCAGTTGAGAAGACGATGATACGCGTAACAGTTAAAACTAAAAAAAAATACTCCGTACTTACGGAATTTTCTACTCACAAGGGAGTTTGGAACAAATAAACTTTGTTCCAGTTACGTAAACCACTTCGCAAGTGGAAAATTCTATATTCACTGCACTCGCGTTACCATACCATCTACTCGAACCTCTTCTGCTAATTGAGTCTGGATACTGATTTTTGCTGATGCCTCACAGTTGCATTTTAGGCAGTGATTTCCCGGTCACACGGACCACCCTTTAGCGGTATAAAGTTAGCGAGACAGATCCAGTTGCAGATGTAACAGTTTACTATCATAAGTGTCGCGGAATTAGGGTTGCCAACTATGAAAAGTCTCAATAAAGGACATAGATTACCGTTATCATTTATTTTGTAACTTTCAGGAAAGAAAAATATAAAACAATGAAATACAAATTATAGCCTATACAAGCTAAAAAAATATATTAAAAAATTCCTTATGTGTTTTTCATTTAATGTTTATTTAACATTGACCAAATCAAGCTGCTTTCTGTCAACAGTTTAGTGCTTTGAATCGTGCCAATTTTTTTTTGAATGAGTGCAACTTCATCGAATAGGTCAAAGATATTCAAATTAAGTTTGTCTTTTAGCTTCAAATGCTCTACAATTTTTGCAAATGTCTGATATTTTGGAGAAAGATTATTCAAAAGAGATAATTTTCTAAATGTTAAATTTTCATCAAAGTCAAATCTTTTTTCCAAATACGTTATCGCAAAGTTGCTACACATTATCGTTACATAATATATTAAATGCTCATATGTTGTTGTCGAGGCACTCAAACCCAGAAAATTTAGGTCATCTCTCTTGAAGTCTTGGATATACCATCTGGGAATATTCCCTGTTTACATTAAATTGCCTCTTTCAAGTATACACTGTCAAAAACAACTTGCTAATAATGACACGAAATCGTCTGGCGACAGCTCGGTTATCATGTTGATATGTTTATTCTTCAATGTAATTAGCCCAGGCGGAGAAAAAAAATAGCATACAGAAGAATGAAGTTTTTATTCATTAATTTTAATTTTTCATAATCGTTATTATTTTTTACATAATTTTATTACTATTTGAAATGAATGGGGGATGATAATTACTTACGTTAATAACATGATTACAAGTATATATATATATATGACAATCTACAGGACTAGAACTCAAAGATGTCGGTTAGTTGTGAACAAGCAACCCGGTTTAATGATGTTGTTCATATATTTTCCACCTGCATCACCGAATGCATACAATTGTGATTGTATGTTTTAAGGGCAAATTTAATGAACTATTCTTTCATTATTTCTTCATTGTAATTGCAGGTGCATCTAGGATAATTGCAGCATGGAATCAGATCTAAAATCCTTGGCTTGTCAACTTCTGACTCAACGGGAACGATAGACTTCTTGTGATCCTGCACTATATCATCAACCTTTTTCAATATATTTTTGTATTTGGGGTCTGATTGGTCCAGTGGAACTATCTCTTCTGGATCGGCCACAATGTCAAATATAAGAGGCGGATCATGCTTCGTGGATCTGCTCTTGAAACCAAAAACTATCTGTTCAATGGAGAAGAAGTTTGTGTAGTCGCATCTCTGATCTCCGAGACTGTTCATGGCGTCCTCTGTAAGCAATGAGCGTCGCTTATTTTACTTATTAGTGTGTCGATTTGGCAAATGCATATGGGACTATTTAACAATTTAGACTAAATTCATAAAATGCAGTAACGTAACATTAATGTGTATTTTCATGATGAATATTTAAATATATAAAAGTAACATAAACTAGAAATCAACACTTACTGACAAAAGACATCGTGTAATAATGAATTTTATATCGCTCGTAACGTACGGCATTCAGTGCCTCGCCATAGTAATAGAAAAGCGCTTCGTGGGGCGATTCCTTATTTCCTTCTAATAGTATTTCGTTTATTTCTTTTCCATCTATTGTAACCTTGTCCAAGATCGTATGATTCGATAGACCTACAATATTAGGAAGTTTCGAACAAAAAAGATAATGTGCAAAAATTGGCATTCCATCCTAACGACTGTTTTAGCGAGATCTGGAGCTCATAGTTTGATTGTTCATATATGGGGTGTTGTGATTTTGCGGTCTATACTCAGTAATACTGTAGCGATAATTCAAGTGACTGCTTTCGTTCTTCACAAATTTCACCCATTGATTACTAAGTAAATTTAATATGAAAATGAGAATAAACTGAATAACGTATTTAACAAGTCTTATGAATTCATCTGTATGTGAAATTAATATATTAAATATATCGTAAATTATAAATTATGGTAGATTACTACTACATTATTTCCTGCAATTTTTAGTAAATTTTTATAAAAGTGTTTCACATTTTTATCACTGCTGAATGATTGGTGAATAGAATATAAAATAGAATAGAAAAGTACATGCATACCTGAAAACTTCAATATAGTCGGGAATAAATCCATCATACTCAGTGTTGTATCACTGACTTGATTAGTTTTAATTGTTCCTGGCCACCACGCCGCAGCTGGAACTCGAATACCTCCATCCCAAGTAGTTGCTTTCCCTCCTCTGTAGAATCCTGTCACACCGCCATTTTTGCATCCATCTTTAAGAGGTCCTTGATCCGATAAAAATACTACAAATGTGTCTTTTTCAATTCCAACCTCGACTAAGTGATCTAACACCTCTCCAACTGCCCAGCCCATTTCATTTACAGCGTCTCCGTATATACCTAAAGTTTTTAATGTAAAAGTGTTAGTATACAGGGTCAGTTTAACGGGCAGATATAGGCATGGTATTTTTGGTTTGTAAATCGTTATTCGTCGAGAATCTATTGAAATTGGTGAACCTTCAAAATGTTTTTGTTACGAAATAACTGTCATGATATCTGAAACTTTTATTCAAACTTTCTAAAATTTTATAACAATTCATATATATATATTAGTTTCTTCGGCCGGAGAATTCTGGAGCATAGAAGTTTGCCTGCGAAGCAACGTTAACGTTATCTTTCAAATTCAGATAAATCAGCCTTTCAAAAACCGCTCGCTTTAGAATGCATTCGTCTGTTCAAACTTCAGTTTTCTTTTTCACAAGGTTTTCTGACAAATGATAAATATACAGAAAAGTACTGTTCAGTACATTACCTCGTACCTCGTTTTGATTTTCCATAAAATGAAGGATTGGCAAATACGGCGGAATGAGTTTGTGGGAATGATAATAGGAAAAAGAACGGACGGTCCTTGTTATCGGTGATAAAATTTTTCGTATCCTTCACAAGTCTTGGAGTTAATGTATTGAGATTGATAGGCTGTTCAATGAGTGTATCGTTTCGATATAAAAAGCACGATCTCATCTGTGAGACTTTATACTGTAAGACATAACATAAACAACAGTAACAAACAAAAACATCATCACGATTAAAACTCATCATCCTGTTAATTATCCACGTGAAGTTTCAGTTTAATTAAAACCAATTTAAACTTTAAGTTAAATAATAATTTTCTTGAAAATTCTCGAAAAAACAAAAATATATATACTTAATTTTTTATTTTACGTGTGCGTCAGACACTGAACAATGATTGTTTTGTTTTACTTTGAGATTTTTGTTCAAACAAAATATTGTGGGAGTGCTCAGATTTGGCATAGCATGTAAGCGACTGGTAAACGTATTAGTGACAATATTTTCCTAGCGGTCTACATTTGATTAAATATTCCAAATATGACTAAAGAAAATGCCACAGCCAATGGCTCGGAAGTGGTCTACAGTATATATTGAAATTGTAGAATCTTAATATTAAATAAATCAATCCTTTTCGTATAATATAATAATCACAGATTTTTTTATAGCATAATCTTCATTACGCATACGTCACGAACGTACCCATATGAGCCAAGCTGTTTATCACCTCTGTGCCTCAGGCGGTCCAGCATGTCTTGCCCCTTTACTCAATAAATCACTTTCAATTATGTCATCATATTCATATTATGTTCTTATCTCATCTGACAGCAATAGCACCGTCTTTATTAGGTTTACTAGTTCCTGCAAATTATCCCATGTATCGTGACCCGGGTTATTTTATTTTACGGTACACTCATGCTTTTGGTTACATTCATTTTATTATTTTAATTTGCATCATGCATTCATAGTTGTGTAGGTAACAACTGTTTAAGTAGAATTATGATAAAAAAAATTAAATTCATTTTACGATTTGTCGTTGAGCCATATTTTCGTTGCATTGAAAAAATACTTTATAGAAGGCAAAGACGTGATTAGCAGCGATAGAGTTATTCAAATTGCAAAGCTATCTTACATTTTTGGAATGTACCCAAGAAATAAATTATTTCAACCAATTTTTCACTTTAAAACATATTTAAAAACTTTGACATGTGAATTTTATTCACTCCGTTATTTCAATTTTAGCATAGAAAACCACACATTTATCATTAATAAACGCACAGTTGCGAAAATATACATAACATTTTTAATTTTTCTTTCGGTTTACCTCGAGTAAATATGACCAGCGCATTGTGAGATACGTGAATGTGAACAACGTCCTACATAGTCAATAATGAAAATAAAAATGGGTAATTAAAAATAGCACCACTAGTTAGTACCCTTATGTAGGAGCTATATTTAAAAATCTTTAGTTATAAAATTAATTTATATTTTGAAGTTCTCGATATGGACCGCTGCAGATTTAAATCAGTGATATTCCAGGTTAATAAATGAAATGTTTGAATTGATCATCTGAAAAATTATTGTTTATGTTTTGAATATTTTAAGATGCTCAAACGAATTCTACCTTTTTGGGATCACAAGCCCACATTTGGGAATGAGGAAGAATTGTTCCCACATAATCAAATCCATGGTGATATGGCAAATATTCTCCATCTGTTCGATTTTTTGCGTTGTTTCCTGAAATAAAACAATTATCATGAGTGAGTCTTTACTATTGTATTTATTGATTCCTAAATAGGTATATTTATATATGTTGATGTACTGATAACTAATAGTCATATTAAAAGGGGAAAATATTTTGTAAGCTGTCAATAGAACCAACCATTTGTATTGTATAATTTCACCACCCAACTGTGGCGGTGAGTAGCCATAAATTAGCATCATATGGGTATGTAATCTGCACATGTAATGTATATTTAGTGCAATGGGGAGCTATCCAAAACATTTAATGCAAATTGAGTTTTTAGTAATGTTTAAATAAATTGTAAACTCGGACTCATCGTACAATAACTGAAAACAGATGTCAGCGTTTTTAGGAAAACGGTAAATATAATTACTGCTACTCACCCAGATGCCATTTTCCAACCATTCCAGTTTTGTAGCCTCCCTCTTTGAGTATTTCCGGTAAAGTTATTTCACGTTTTGGTAGACCACCTGACGAGTGTGGGGCAAAAACATTTCCGTGTCCAAAAATTCCAGCGCGTATCGGATAGCGACCTGTTTAAAGTCAAAATTTCAATAATATGAGAAAAAAAAAGTTAGCGTAAAAGATATAAGATATGAATGAAGATCGATCAGATCAATATTTGCAAGCAGCGGCGTCAGCAAAATTCTATATTTCTCTGGACGCATGTGTCATAGCAGGTTAAACCAGATTTTAAGAGAAAATTCCACAAAGACCACATCTTTCCTCCAACCGTAGCGCAATCTTATATAATGTAACAGTCATTTTCAATGTTTAGGATTTCAAATTAACTGTTGCTAAATTCTAGTTTTGTTCACTAAAAGCAAAATGCTTCTCTGTCTTGTTACCTATGTATTGACTCCAAATCCCCAAATAGATTTGTATGAAGTTTACGGAATCTGAACGATATTTATACATTTCACAAAAGCCTTCTATCTTCTGATCAATTCACTTAATCTTGAGACTTAAATGACAATAGTGTAGGTGTAGGATATATTACTCATTGCTGGGTGTATATAGGGAAAATTTAAATAAAATCACCTGTTAAAATCGAAGCTCTACTTGGAGAACACATGGGAGAAGGACTGTGAAAATCCGTAAACTTAATTCCTTCATTTATCATTCGATCAATTGGGTTTCGTTCCTGAGTTGGATGTCCATAGGATTGTAGGTCGCCATATCCCACGTCGTCCGCGAGCATGATGATAACATTGGGCGGGTGCTTTCCATTCGATGGCTCCGGAAGATACACGTACACAGCGCTGCCCATTACTGCAACCATTGTTAGTCCGGCAAATGTAGCTATCACGTATGATTTATTTAGTTTCATCATGACGAATAGTAATTTCCAGTTATATAATATGTTATGTGACCAACTGTAAAAATGCAATCGAATTTTGTAAATAACTGTCTGTATATCATAAATTTCAGTAAATATCAGTAAATTTCAAAATACTAATTCTTCTCCCTCAAGTCCAACAAGGAATATGTAGTATTATAGTCACTCAAATGAAAACAATGCCCCCCCCCCCCCTGATTTCTTTGACTTTCATCATTAATAAACAAAAATTAGTCTTTCACTCCGACCCAGTTCTGAATAGACATATCTTTTATCAACTAATCATAAACTAATTCCGACAACTTTGTATTCTATTACTCAATCGTACTTTTTCCATCTTATGTGCCCGGACTACATCGTCCCTTTCTGTGATGGAACTAACCAACATTGATGGTGGTATATATACGAGATAATGGTTTATTGAAAATGTCATGATAATATCTTGCATGCTTCTAACATAGATAAAGTTACATTTTGGCCTTTGGGGCAAAATAACTGTCAATATTAAGAGTTGGCGTTCATTTTTGTTTCTGCGTGCTTTACTCTAATTTGTTCATTTACATATTTTGATCTTATTACCGAAGGTAGACACAGAGCAACAATAAACCTCATGACTTCACGTAAGCGGTCATCTGTTTGTTCTGCCTCCCGCCGATAAATCATTGGGCTTACCGGGTTTTGTTCCTACTTGATGATGTTACTTCCACTAATCACAATTTTAGACTTTGGGAAAAACGAGAAGAATAAGTAGAAATAAATAATACCTTGCCAAACTTGAACTTGCTCTTTCACACTCTTCTGTTTGAACATTTTTGGCTTTGGCATTCTTAGATTAGATCAAAAACGTGTGCATACGTGGTGCAATAAAATGCTACTAATGTTATAATAAGGACTTAATTGCCGAAGAATTTAATGAGAAGTATTTATCAATGTCGTATTAATAACACTTTCCGTGTCACAGTCAGTTTTTTAATTTATTTTATCGTCCGTGTCACGGTCAGTTTTTTAATTTATTTTATCGTCCGTACCACGGTCAGTTTTTTAATTTATTTTATCGTCCGTGTCACGGTCAGTTTTTTAATTTATTTTATCGTCCGTACCACGGTCAGTTTTTTAATTTATTTTATCGTCCGTGTCACGGTCAGTTTTTAAATTTATTTTATCGTCCGTACCACGGTCAGTTTTTTAATTTATTTTATCGTCCGTACCACGGTCAGTTTTTTAATTTATTTTATACCATTGAGTGTCACGGAGAAAACGGGAGAGCTTCTCTCCTATTTTATCTCTTTCGTATATCTTTTTTCATTTTATCGAAGAAAAGGGCGAACCCAGTTGTGTCATCAGTTTTCGGTCACTTAGATACATCAAGCGTAGTGATTTAACTAATATACCCCAACTCATCAGATGAATATACCTGTTTAACGCAGACAAAAATAACCACATGTGTTGGCGCTATCGTTTGGTGGATCTGGACATTCACTGAGAAGTACAACAAAATTTGATGATAACCCAACGTGATATAAATGCCAATAGTAATATATAAAACACGTAGTGAGAAGTACATACTAATTGCACAACAAGACCGAACGCCCGATAATTGCCACTCCATACAAATACATATTGAAAAATAATCGGAAAAAGATCAACTTCCTCAATAGCGACTGTTATTAGGGGAATTGATTACATTCATTGCATTTTGATTTAAGTATTGAATTTGCAAATTCCGTTAATACAATAGTGAATTTCTTGGTAACGATCTGTAAAATCCTAATGATTGTGGTATAATAAGTATTGTAGTAAATACCACAAGAAAACGGTAAATCTAGAGGTTATTATTTATAAATGACGCACAGTCATTCACTAGACAGGAGTCACTCAAGTTCTAGATTGTTATGTTGCAGATTTTGGGCATTAGGTCGTATATGTAAAATGTCATCGGGGAAGTACTATTTTGTCTCAGCGCGCTATTCACAAATGTGTTCCTCCTGTTCGATTAATTACCGGCTCCACGTAGTTGTAGCGCCTAAAAGAATGAAAACTGATTGTAATAAAACGGTTTGTATTTATTTTTTTGATATATCCAACAATAATGCATTGTCTACAATCAAACGTAGGCCAATAGGCCGCTAAATTGTAAATTATCTAATCTTTGTTAATCGGGCGTGGGCAGCCTGTGGGTTGGCTTCGTCTATCTACTTATACAAATTATTAAAATAAATTTAAGTCTCACAATTTATAGGACTAGAATTCGAAGATGTCGGTTGGTTGTGAAAAATCAAACCGGTTTAATGATGTTGTTTATATATTTTCTACCTGTATCACTGAATACATACAATTAATATTCAAATTGTGATTGTATGATAAAGTTCAAAATAATGAACTATTCTTTCAATATTTCTTCATTGTAATTGCAGGTGCATTTGGGGTAATTGCAGCATGGGATCAGATCTAGAATCCTTGGCTTGTCAACTTCTGACTCACACGGGAACGATAGACTTCTTGTGACCCTGCACTATATCATCAACCTTTTTCAAAATATTTTTGTATTTGGGGTCAGATTGGTCCAGTGCAGTCACAGTGTTTCCCAACCCAAGTCCGCGGTCTCAAATGAGTCCGCGGAGCATTTGAATGAGTCCGCAGCGAGCCAGAAATTCACTGCGGACTGCAAACGTTTTTGCGAAACTTAACTATCAGCCAAGTTACGATTTAAGTTAGAATTTACATGAAACATAAAAGGCAAGTTTATTCACATTACAATATTCGAGACAATAATTACTGGATAATGAGTAGGACTGGACATATATCCGAATACTCAACTATCAGAATAGCAATTTATTATTCGAAAATTTGGTAACAGGTGACGCGTCGCCTGATCAAACGATTGGATTTCCCAGCTCACTTGCGGATATCCGACGAAAACACGAATCTGCGCACATGCTTCGATAGATAACTTAGTGGTGTTTCTCGCGAGTTCGAACAACGAGGAATAAATTTTTTTTTCTGGTAGGTGTCAATGGTGGCAATTCAAATTTTTCAAATTGAAAAGCGGCAATACAAAATACTGAAAATAAACAGAGAACACCATAAGTTTTGTTTTATGATGGTCATGTGCTAAATCAAGTTGTACTTTCTGGAACTTTATAGCAGATAGTAGGATTTTTCTAACAACAAATTCGCAAGATCGCAAAAAAATATGTATCAAAACTAAATATAATCGGGCAATATCATTCTCACATTATTATGTTTGCAGATTGCCGTGGCATTTCAAAGAAGTAATACTTTCATCTTGTCGTAAGTCGACACAACCGTCGGTTACCATGAACACAATTAAATTAAGATAAAAAGATATTTTATATTCTCGTCGTTGTCATGGATTGAATGTTGTGCGACGGAAACGGCCATTATACACTAAAAAAGTCGGCTCTTTTAACAAGCACGTAATTGATTTAATTGCTCCTTCACACAGAGTACGGTTGCAATAAACGCACCTTGAGTCCGCAAAGGTTTTCGCCGGTGGGAAAATAGTCCGCGACCAAAAAAGGTTGGGAAACGCTGGAATGTAATCATCTCAGAATTTTTCATAGTATATTCTTCATTAAAAATACGCCACGGACGTACCCTAGACCTATTTGCCACGTTGTTTATCACCTCGAGGTCTGAGGCGGTCAAACATGTCTCGTCCCTTTACTCAATAAACTACTTTTCATTATGTTCTTATTATGTGCTGGAACTCACCAATATAGATGGTGGTCATCATTTTATGTATTCATTTTTCTGTATACGAGATAATCTTCCATTGAAAATATATTAGTATTATCGTTCACACGCTGTTAATAGAGAAAAGTTACATTTTGGCCATGTATATTTTGATCTTATCACCGAAGGTAATTGTATCTAGACCTTGCCAAACTTGAACTTTCTCTTCCACACTTTTCTTTCCACACATTTTCGGCTTTGGCACTCTAAGATTGTGGTACAATAAAATCTTGCAAATGTTTTAATAAAGACTTAATTGCTGAAGAATTTAATGAGCACGATTTATCAATGTAATATTGATATGAAAATGTAATTAAAAAAGAATATTTTATACCATCAATCTTCTCCGAGAACAGATAACTTTATTAGTTTGCCAACATTGAAAGAAGGAACGCGTTTGAACGCCAACAATCAAATAAACAATTTCGATTTGCATTCATTAATTAATTCAATCTGCCAGCTATATAACCGTCATGTTGGAAAATTGAATAGTAACAAAAGAGTATTTACCGAAAAAAAGTGAAATTTCCAGTTTTTTGGAACAAGAACTCATCTCTTTCAAAACTTGGTGCATGTGATAAATCAATAAATGATAACAAAATGTTTTGTACGGTGTTTCCATGTAATGGTTTGTATGCTTTATAAATGATGAATGTCATGTTTGTCTGTAACGAACATGATGTTTAATCCTTGAAATGACATTTTGACGTTTAGTTTTGAAATATAATTTCGGATAAATATCCATTCCACACACTCGGGTCACGTTTGACTGAATATCATCCATTGCTGCAAAATACAATCACGAGGAAACAAACATTTGACGTAAAATCTAGTTCAACGTATTGATCCTATGTTGAAAATGTTTTTTGTACATTTACTGATATATATATGCATGTTATGCAACGGCGAAAATACAAACGCATTGATTTTTAAACCAGTCTACAGGTGCTATATTATTTCTGATTGAGTAAAGGTTTTTAAATACATGAATTTGAAAATATTTTTGCCTGTTTTGTTTAAATGGCTGTATTATTTGGTTATGTTAAAACAAAAATTGATGTAAAAACTTGCCAATCACTTTTTATTCGCACTAAACCTTTCGAAACGCCACATATATAGATGATTTGCCCACACTCGCCTTCTCAAGCTGTAGCACAATGCGTCCGCAAACGTGGATAGCGGAGGAAGACGCAGCTGATAAACCATTACCTGAACCACCATACGGCGGCGAGGATTCCAGCAATCCTCTTTCACATTGTCACATCTCCCATCGGATTCGAA